ATTGATTGGCTACCAAGAAAACATTTCCAGAAGGTTTACGGCACTCATTTTGACCAGTGAGTTCATTTAAGAAGTTGAAAAACCTTCACTGACGTGCGCATAACGAAATAACGTAGATATCAATTGAATTCTTTCTTGTTATCTTGAAGTCTTCTACATCTGGTAAATTTAACTACAACCCTCAATTCACAAAATTATTAACTCAATGAAGAACTTGTTTTCGAAGCAAATCTGAATCACCAAAAACATATTTGCGTAAATAATAATGAATATAACTCTACAGCTAGATAAATTAATCTTCTTTCTAAAGCACACAGTATTAGCAGCTATAGTAATTACATTCAACCATTAGACATTTTTTAGAGGATAATGAACTTGTACTATAAAGTTATTGTTAAGCTAAAGTGTGACTGTACGGTGAAGAGTCATCAGGAAAATGAGGGCAAGAAAAGGATTAATTTTGGTTGTAACTGTTCACTTCGTCACGATAGACTTGAAAACAAGAACAAGAGGATATATAATTTAGTGGTTTATCAAGCGCACAGAATATACTTCTGTTTGGTGATCAAAGTAATAGACATCGTCGAACGGTATACATACATCATAACAGTTGCAGTAAGACGTTACTTGTAGTTCACTTAGCTCAACAGCAACGTTTTGGATCGAATCAATTGGTATATTTGACAAGAATTCATTTTGATAGTCAGATCATTACTTAACATTTGATTGATCACTGGGTGGTGAACAATATCATGTATGTCAAGTCCTTATTAGTGCAGATCGAATGCTATCGACCATATTGCAATGTAGCCACTAGTCTAGGTAACTCGACACTGCGTGCACTATGTTGAGATTAGATGGACCCGGGTTTCCTGTCGACTACCTCCAACCACCATCTAGATCATTACTTTATTAGGACTTGAATGACCAATCAAATCGGCATTTCTCAATGGTTCATCTTTCGACTAACTTTTAATCATGTTTCCTTTCGTGTTCAGTATTTTGTATATGAACATGTTCTTTTATTAAGTGAGAAATCTGTTCTCTTTGTAAGTGGTCTTCTATTCTGCTGTATCTCGTTGAGGGAGTGTTACACTAATAAACTGATCCTGTAAGAAGTTATTACCCGCTAGTATTTTATCATTCAACTAAAGTATGATCGATGTTACCCCTTAAAAAACCTCAAGTTACTAGGATAAAGGTTGTTTCTTCAAAACGTCGAACAAAATGTTCTCACAATTCAAAATGGTAACACCAATTGAGTTATCATCTCTGTGCCCGAACACACGATGCCGAACCTCTGCATTACTGACATGGTGTTGCCACTGAATGTCAGCAATCCTTCGGAGACAGCGATGATCAAACACAGAGAGTCGTCTAACGTCCTCAACCCGGAGAGACCAGGTTTCACAAGCATAGAGCAAAACTGCTCTCATCGACGTATTGTAGATCCGACCTTTTACAGCCAGACTGGCATCACAAAGGTGGCCCAGATTGGCATAAGCCGCTCTGGCTTTCATTATACATGAATCGATCTCATCATTCACGCCACCACCAGCACTTATGCAGCTACCCAGATACACGAACTTCTCGACTACCTTTATCTGCTTACCATATAGGGCGAGTAGAGGATTAGAATCCTGCCGGTCTTGTAGAAGAACTTTGCACTTCAAAGGTGCAAAGCACATACCGTACCTACGGACAATGATTGCCAACTGATTAAGTGCGGATTGTATGGCTTGGGCGAGCTTCAAGAAGTTGTAAGGAGCCTGATGAAACCCAGTGCTTATAAGCGGGACGTTTCGCGAAGCCGCAAGCGGCTTTACTCTCAATTTCTATGGTGTCATGCGACTGCAACCAATTCTCACCTATACTTTTCGGTGGAATGGTAGCTAGCCTAGAATCTAGCTCGGTTCGATACTTACTTGCAACCAATTTGCTGACCACGGCATGATCAGAGTCCAGATAGGTACTCCAAAAGGAGCGGCAGCCTTGTACACAACCACGCCAGCGATAGCTGATCGCGATGTGATCAACCTGAGTCCAGGCTTGAGATGCAGAGGGAGGACGCCAGGCGGCACATCGGCGATGACTGTGCCGGAAGTTAGTGCTAGCCAGAAACAGGTTGTGTGCTGTGCACAGTTGCAGTAGACGGCCTCGTTATCTGTCCTGCGACCAACAAGTCACCTTCGGCCACCTAAACGAATCTCTTCTGCGCCCGACCTGAGCATTCAAGATTCCGGCTAGTACTACAATATCTATCGAACGCACTTTCTGTAGAAGAATAATTACCTGATTGCATCCAGGCGGAGATGACGAAAAGACATCGTTTCTCACGCCGATTTCTTCTCAGTTTGATGGAACTTTCTAATCTAACAGCACATAACCGACTGTTAATGGGGATTCAGTCAGCCATACCAGGGCATTTGGGGACCTGATTTTACAACCTCAAGTTGTGTCCGTCTAGGCTGTCCACTATCTCAATTTTTGTTCAAATTCATCGTAGACCTACTGACGGAAAAAACGTTCTCCTCGACTGAACCTTCAGGGATTGATCTTTTATCAGGAGGTCCACTTATCCAGTTAGAATACGCAGATGATATAGTCCTGTTTGGTGAAGACGTTGATAAAATTCAGTCTTTTGGTAGCACTGAGCAACAATGCCAGAATGTTTTTGTTGTGACTTTATGAGCCGCTTGTCATCACGTAATCTATTCGCCAATCAAAATACGATTTATTCGCTCTTATACTGTATTAAACCAATGACGTTCGACCGGTCTGATCAGCCTAGCGTCCCATTGGTCCGTTGCTTGCCTAGCCCTTCCAGCTGAGTCCAGAATGCCAATAACAGCCTCCACTATGCGAATCATTTATTTCAGACACACTGGGTTTATATGCCAAACAAACAGACCGCAACGCAGCATAAAATAGAAAATAACATTCGTACACAATGAAGCCAAAAAGTGGCTGTGAAAGTGGGAGGCAGTAGTCAATAAGCTGAACATGGCTTAAGAATAGTAAATCGTACAATAATAAATTATAGGTCAAATAAAGCTTATAACAAGGGGAATATAGATATATAAAATCTAACTACTGAACAGTTATACTATAAGGGTATCTAAACAATATAAGTCCGTTAATAGGTCTTAGACGTTACACGTAATTCAAATTTCACTAGGATATAATAGTGTGGAATGCGCTTCTCTCGCTCTAAATGCAATGTTACAGCGCTCACCGAGATTGTCAGTTTACAGGTCTATTATTTCCATCTGAAGATCAAAACTGGCTCCCTGGATGTCAGAAAAGATCTAGTAGTCAGCACGTTAAAGTGTGTTTCTAGCGCTCTAGAATCTTCAAAACGTTTCGCGGTTAGTGGTCGGAAGAAAAAATAGTTACTTTCCTAATGTCACTCAGACTGATAATTCAATATAAATCTCTAATTCTCTGAAGTAATTCCTCCGTATACATTTCTCGTGAAATCAAATGGCATACCGTAATTGATCGACCGACATGACATAGTCCTGTTTGGTGAAGACGCTGATAGAATCCAGTCTTTTGATAGCACTGAGCAACAATGCCAGAATGTATGGAATGCGCTTCTTCAAGACTCGCCTGCGTCAACACCTGAATTAAGGATAGAGAACGCGTTGACAACTTCACTTATCTTGGAAGTCTGATGGGCGATAATGCGTTGGTGTCTGACGAAATCTCAGCACGGATTTGAGAAGCTCGTTTGGCTTTTGCTAACTTACGTCACCTATGGAAAAGGCGAGATATCCGTCTATCAATTAAGAGACGAGTATAATGCACAGCAGTTCGTTCTGTTTTACTTTACGGTTGCGAAACGTGCCCATTAAGAGTAGAAGGTATTCGTAAGTTACTAGTACTTGATCACAGATGCCTTAAATATTGCTCGCATCTGCTGGGATCACCGGGTAAGTAATAGTGAGGTTAGACCCAGGGTATTAGGGAATGATGGTAAATCAGTTGATGAGGTTGTGAATCTTCATCGACTGAGATGGTTGGGTCACGTGTTACGTATGCCTGAACACCGATTACCATGACGCTCAATGCTAACCGGTGTTCGGGATGGTTGGAAGAAAGTTAGGGGCGGCCAAACCAAAACATGGAATCAGTGTTTGAAGTCACTAACTTCTAGTCTGAGCCACGTTGGTAGATGCAGACTACTTGGTTGGGTCTGCGTGACTCGTAACCAATGATTGGAGACTCTTGGTGACATGACTCAGAATCGATCACAATGGCGTATTTGTATACAATCTCTGTCTTCCCTTGAATAGTGAGATTAAAATTACATATACACCTTCATTCCTATGAGCTAGTTGTTTCTCACTGCATCATATCTTTTTATGCCGTCTTTCTTTTGTTTATATTACCACCATTGAAGTAACTGCTTCTATGGATATGGTGTTTATTTTCTTATGCTAATTACCTACTTACTTACGCCTGTTGTCCCTCGTGGAGGAGCATAGGCCGCCCAACAGCATTGTTTTGGACAATTCTTCCAGTCGCCATTCATCCATTTTATGTCTGCTTGCAATTCTGGACGCAGTGTTTTTTTTGGCTAATTAGGTATGACGAATTAGATCGATGCCCGGTCCTGCGTTGTAGCTGATTGACTTTCATATGGATCTGTGGTCTGAGATATGAATCTAAAAGACACACTGATCTCTGTTGTCTTAATTCGGTATGGACCTTCAGCAATTCTATCTCAGTTTCCGCTGTTCATCAGGCGTTCAGCTGTGATCGACTGATTGATATACACGAATACATCTTATCATTATTCTCTAACTTGCTGACCGTTGCACAAAACTCGTTTGACACTTGAAATTACGTAATTCTCCTACTCTTTTTCGACAGACTTCAGCTGAATTACAACTGTACAGATCGAGGAAATGATATTGTCGAGAGAAATTTTGTTCGCTGAGTTGTTATTAATTTGTCATTAAGTAATAAAAAAATTAAGTTACAATAAACTACTTCATTAGATGATTTCTTTGTATGATACTAATATTCCATATACGACTAAATTTATAACGGCAATCATTCACAGAAAAAGTAGTGTGTTATTTGTTCAATAACAGAGGTAAAATGGTGGAAAACGAAAGTCTGATTCATAATGTGTAATACGGTGTACTAAAAGTGCATTTTCCGATTAGTAAAACATGACAGATAACTACGGCTTAAGGAAAACTGTTGTGAAGCCTTATATCTGTTTATACTTTAATGAGCCGGAAAAAGAAAAATATAAATGGAATTATGATCTATTAATTTATTGCAAAAACTGAAAATTAAATGTAGGTGCAACTGGTAACCAACCAGAAAACAAATTTTGATCACAAGACTTTAAAATTGAAACTAAATCCAACATTTCACAACAATATGAAAGTGCATTAAATATGATTTTGAATTTCAGGAAGCTACAAAAAGTACGCCACAACATGAAATCAGTAATGAAATTAAAACCAGAAACAGTCGCAACTTAGGCGAAACTGAGCGAATGAGTAAGCGAAAATGAAACCAAGAAAATTATATAACGAAAGCGCAGAAACCAACTAAAATCAGCTTGTTGTAACTAGCTCACAAAAAGTTGTCTCGTAAAGGCTTGGTAGTCGTAGGCATCCAAAATTGCCTGACCACTTTTAGTGTAGTATGGAGGCATGACTCGACTGCAATATTCCGCCTGCTCTTTGGATAAGTTCTGTAATATAAAAAAAATGAATTCATAGACGCAAAAAATGAAAAAAAAATGATCGGACAGATACAAAGCTGTTTAGACAAAGAATAGCTACTTTTGCAATTATCTGCTCATATTCAAAGTGAGTTTATTGTACGCACATAATTCGAATAGTAATATTATATTTAAATTCCATAGTTATTTCAAAAATAAAGCCTCGAATAGTAAATGGTAAATCTATTTTTAACGTAGTCGGAGAAACTAATAAAGAATATACAGAACTTCGTCAAACTGACTGATGCTAAATTTCTCGCTAACATATTAGAACACTCTATAACGAAATAAAAATGGACTCCGAAACTTAACACTTTAAACAAGGTAATTTATTTCACATGGTCAACTCTTAGAGCAAACCATTATAGATACAACTGGTATGTGATTAACCATACATGGTGTACATATATACTTAGCGAAGTTGAATAAATATAGACAGAATAAAATCAAGTTAAATGACTAAGACGCACCGCATATAGCTCTTCTTTGGTGATGTATTCTTTTCCTTCTTTAGTTAATGCACGGAAGGCTTCTTCGACTTCGTCACGAGACTGGACATTTTCAGTTTCTTTACTTATCATGAATGCCATAAACTCTTGAAGCGTTATGTAACCGTCACGATTAGGATCCACCACGTTTAATATAGATTCGAACTCAGCATCTACTTGACCTTCTCCAACCTCGTGCAAATCATGGCCAAGTGCACGTAAACATGATTTAAATTCGCGATGATCCAAACGCCCAGATTTATCTTTATCGAAATGTTTGAACATCATAGAGAACTCGCGAAGTGCCTCTTCGCTTACTCCACTAACATTTCTAGCCTGAATTTGTTGTTCCAAATTGTGTTGCATACGCATCGCAAGTTGATCTAACTGGTCCCAAGCTTGACTTAGACCGACCTGAAAATAATTGTAATCGTAAAGTCCCATTTATTAATTGGAAACAAAAGTAGTGACAAAAATCGAAAAAAGGTATTAACTTACAGTACTATGTTCCGTGTATCGATTATCCAGAATGAGATGTTCTTCCAGCAAAGTACCCAATTTTTCAACCTCTCGCAAATCGTTTTTGCGGGCTCTAACTTCTGAAGATTTTTCCCGAATACCTTCTAACTGTTCTTCTAGAGTTCCACTGGCTTCCATCATCGATGTTCGAACTTTCTGTAATGAGAACCAATTTTATAAAACAGTCAATACATCACGCATACATATGCAGCGAGTAAAGAAAAATAGCACCTAGTCAACAACAAATAGTGGGAACAGCTATATACTATAGGAATTTTAAACCTATAAATTTGGCTACAATTTTTAGAAGCTGTCCACCACTTACCTGTAGCCATTGATGGAAAGAATTAGCTGCTACTGCAAATTGTTGACGAAGCTGGTCATTCTGCTCTTGTCGAACCGTTTCACGTCGAAGTTCAGCATCTCTCTCTAAAATGATTTTCTGTAAGTTACGCCAAGTTTCCACAAGTGACTCCATTGTAAACCAAGTGTACGGATTCATGCCAACCTTAGAAATATGACAGAAAAGAATGTGTGATAATATTTAGCAAACGAAGTAAAAATAAATATGACAGAATTTAAATATCATCCTTCATTACATAAGTAAAAAGTAGTCGAGGAGGAAAGTTGGAATAGTACATAGTTCGTTGTATCCATTTGACTGTCCAATTTTAAATAAAAATTCGGAAAACTTTTAAATGATGACTCATAATTAAAGATAATTTTAAATAAACCAAGCAGTACAGTTATGTTTTTTCTTTAGTTTTGAATTGTTTATTACGCAGAAGCGCCTCCTCGCAGGGGGCAAGGTCGTGGATGCGCACTACTGAGGAGTCCCACAATGGGACGAAACGGCCGTCCAGTGCTTCCAGGTTTTTCATGGTGGTCTAGCTTCAACTAACTCATGATCTTAACCATTGAAGTTACTACAATATCCACAAAACCCATCGAATAGAGATTTGTTAACTAGTGTCTTTTATTACTAAAATCAACTTTCCATGAGCTTGTTTCACAAGTTTACGTCTTAAAAATTGTTTGAGAGAGTTAGTTGAGCTTTCTTTAGTTACTCAGCATATGACATTTTCTAGTGAGATTAACTTATCATAGATGGTAGATATTAACTCCTCGATTTTCTCCAACAAACATGGAGAGAAATGAAATGGAGCGAACGTCATAATGTTTATCGCTGATCATATCAGAAAAGGTGAACGTAACATATTAGTTTACTATGGACCGATGGGGTGAACGCGATTGTCATCACTGTCCAACAAATAAACGTTTAAGAACGATTTTAATAGATTAAAGGACCACCTTTTTCTAAACGTCATATCATATCAGATATTCGAATTGTTTGGTCCTCTATGTTGGGTCAAGTGATGTTATCAGATGTTACCTTGAGTTAAATGTTTCATGAACCGGTTATTTTATCTTAAAATAATGATAGACACAAAAATCGTAAGAATGAAAAGTGAGAAAATGAGTTGTAGTTTCTTATTGTACCTACAATGATGGTAGATTCTCGTGATCAGCAACTGAAATCTATTATTTGCCACTGTTATTTGGCACAGGGTATTCTAGTTAAGTTCTTCAATCCAAAAAAGTTACTTGTAGAGGAATATACACATGAATGCCATCGTACGATAAATACTTACGCCATAGCTTTTGATTTCGCGATCTAATTGAGCTAATTGTTGAAAATCAGCCTCTGCAGCTTTGAGAGATGCTTTGAACTGCTCTTGAGCTTCACAAAGTGCATGAACTTCATCCAAGGAATTACAACGCACGGGGTCAGTTAAGTCCTCCTCAGCATTTTCGAACCAAGAGTTGAAGGTTGATGCCCGCTTAGCGAACGCCAAATAAAGTTCTTCAACCTTTCGATATTGTTCTTGTAGCTGAATGAGATCAGCTTTGCGACGGGCAGATTCACGACGTAGACGTTCCCAACGATCCATTAGCGAGGTGAAACTGAAATCAATAATATGTTAAGAACAAGTGACATTATTCACTGAACCAGAAATAAAGTACTGTGTATATAATCAACTATTTAATGAACAGTTTGCTACTAACCGTTGCTTAATGGCTGGACTCTGATTGTGCTCTGCTGCGATAAGGCGATCGTGAAGTTCAGTAATTGTTTGAATTCCTTCTGTGTGGAAAGATTCCAACGCTGTGTCAAAAGTTGCGTGTTTCGCCAGCAAAATTTGAACACTGCTTAAATCTCGCCCGTAATCATCACTACGTACTTGCGTTTCCCTATCAGCTATCCAAGATTCAACGACATCCGTTCTCCACATAAACTGTAAAAATGCTGAGTTGTCAGTAAGATTTGTTTTGCGACGTTGGGCAGCCTGATTGAGTGCATTCAATTTTTCTATCAATCCTTCACATCGTTGCTGAATAGACAAACGATTATGATTCTCAGATTGCACCAAATCAGATCCAGTTAAACAAAGTTCTTTACACTTTTCATTATGTATCTGTAATAGAAAAATAAATCAGTCAACTCCCAAACAAAAAGATTGCCAATAAAAGTTTTACTTACATTAAGATCTGTTTCGAATGCATCGTGCTTCTTTAAAAGGCCTTGCACAGCAGCAAGAGTATCGCCATAATCCTCACTACTAAGTAAATGTTGTTTCTCGAGAATCCAAGCCTCCTCTTCTTCTACTCCATCAATAAAGTCTTGATATGCCAATGACTCTTCTAATTTCTGTCGTCGAAGTGCTGTAAGACCTTGCAATTCTTCCCACGCGGTTTGGAGACGCTTGAAAAAATTGAAAAATTGACAGATTAGTGCTTTCAAATTATTGTACAAAATCTTTGGAAAACACGAGAAAATCAGGCTAGCTTCAGATGAGATTGTAAATCTTTATCGACTGAGATGGTTGGGTCACGTGTTACGTATGCCCGAATACCGATTACCACGACGTGCAATGCTAATCGGCGTTCGGGATGGTTGGAAGAAAATTAAGGGCGGCCAAACCAAAACGTGGCATCAGTGCTTGAAGTCACTAACTTCTAGTCTGAGCCACGTTGGTAGATGCAGACTACTTGGTTGGGTCCGCGTGACTCGTAACCAATGGTTGGAGACTCTGGGTGACATGGCTCAGAATCGATCACAATGGCGTATGTGTGTACACTCTCTGTCTCCCCTTAAACTGAGATTAAAATCTCTTCATATGTTTCTCTCTACGAACTAATTCTCTCTTCCCGTACTATAACCTTATACCAAATCTCTCTTTTATATACAAAACCATTGAATTAACTGCTTCTATGAATCCGGTGTTCATCTTGCTGTGCTGTTGAGGTATGGCAACTTGAACCGATGCATATATGTGCCTGGTCCTACGTTGTAGCTAACTGAATGATCGACAGAATCTTGGAGACGGGTACGTGATATACATCTAGGACTAAGTTAACATGAAAAGAGTACACGTTAACTTTTCTTTTCGCTTATAACTCGACTTTATTACTGATAACAACCCCAATAAGAAAACTAATCTAATTATTTATCGGGATTATGGACAATCTTTAGTAGAACACATTTTGCCATATGGAAAATGAACAGATACGATATATATAACTTAAGAGCCACTAAACACTCCAGTCTTGTGTACAAACTATATTTACGACTGAACTAAGCAATATTCTACAGATTGAGAGAACATTCTGACACTTCAGATGGTCATGTATGAACTATATACACTAAATAGCAGCAAAATATGAACGAGAAAAAGAGATATAGATCAACAAGAAGTTTGATACGAGTAGTAAGTAGTTTACCCAGAGATTCTAGACAGATCACAGGCTCCTTCAAAGGGACATAGCAAGCAGGGAATGTAAGCGTGGGAAGGATATTATAAGTAAGCAAATTATTTACCTAGCCTTACTCCCACTTATATATTCCTATTCAGACCAATCCAGTAAATGTTAAGTATATACATGAACCATGTGCATTATTTTGGTTCTCAAAAGATTCTTAGTCGTCTCACTCTGCGTAATTCGTCGAGTCAGCGCTAAGAAAAGTATAATGTGAAGGACTCGGACCGGGAAAACATAATACCATCAAAATTAAAATTTGATGACAGTACTCAATTTGTGTTTTAAGAAAGTTGTCGATTTTTCAGTAGATTTATGAAGTAAACCAGAAAAGTTAGTTTATAAATTCATGTGTTTGAAGAAATAATAATAACTATTATTATTATTATAAACTCACCTGAATTCTTTTTTTTATTTCCTCAGGATCAGCAAGTTGAACACCAACAGTAAGTTCCTCTCCTTGTGCAATAACTTGTTTGATGAATGGATCATGAGCTGCTACCTCATTTTCAATTCGTTCATGCTTTTTGCGTAGGTTGCGTACTCCAATAAGATCACGTCCATAATCCTCTGAACTAACCAAAATCTTTTTTTCACGGATCCAAGCTTCTTCATCGTCAATATTGCGATAAAAATCATGCAAACGCTTAGCCTTGCCAAGCGTTACAGCGCGATTTTCTGACATATCCAGAATCTATAAGGTTTATTACAAACGATCAGTGATTAGGTCATAAAGAGCACTATAGTAGTAAGCTGCTTGTCGTCACAATATCAAACAGAACGAAGGGATGAACATAAAAAGGCACTGATAATTCTATAATATACCGATTCTTTTAATGTAACAAATCATTTACCTTTTCATACCGTTCATTAATCATTTTTTTGCGCTCACGGACCATATCAGCATCCCAAGCACCGGACCTAATAAACTCATCTGCGCGTGCATCTAATTCCTTAATACGATCTTCATGGGCTCGAATATCAGTAACAAGTACCTGAGAATAAAGAGTAGTGAAACATGTATAATAACATGATAAAAAAGTGACTCACCATATGTGAGAATGAGAATAACAAAAGTACGCAAAAAATCATTAGGATTGTTTTTCTTAAAAAGTTATGAAACATATGAAAATATTTAGTTGAACATTTCTTTCAATTTTATAAAGTGAATTATACAAACATAAAACAAAATGATGAATAATGATATAACTCATTTACTAATGACAACTGTATTTATTAAGCCTCGAGTCATACTTGCGTGAAGATCAAAGAAAATAACTGCTTACACAAACCAAATCAGAACAGTTTGAACTTACAGCACAGTGATCGAAATTTAAGTGCTTCAATCGATTCACCTTATTAGAATGTAGTTTTTATTTGTTTAATGAAATTAATAAAATGTGTGTTGAGAAGCTGTAGAACAAGCCACTCTTACAAGAGTAAGAAAGATTAGCAAATATTATGCCAACGGTAAATCTGTGTAAAAGAAACCGTTTGCTTTATCATTTGATCTCCATCAGGTTTTGAATGCTAAGAGAAAAATGACAAGAAATCCTACAGTTTGCACACCAGTATTTCAGCGCGAACGACATGATAATAAAACTTTCACTCAAAACGAATGTACCACTTGATTACTCTTAGTATTATTATTAGGTCACTACAAAAAAAGAAAAATTCCGCCTGTAGCTCTTCTAATGCTGTTGCTGGTCCCAAACTCGGGTAAAGGACGGGTTTGGTGTTGAGTCGGCAACCCCATTCTGTAAAAACAAACTCGCTAAAAAACGGTAACCAGAATAAGCAAATTAAACCATTTAAGCTCTGCCCTTCGAGTTGAAGGAAGAATTATGACGCCTCATGATGAAAACCGAAGTTCTTCAGAAATCACGAGGTCGATGACCCTTCTAACAACCACAGGAACAACTTCTATAGATACATGGGACGTCCGTACAATGTGGGAGGTCGAGAGGATCAACCAAATAGCTATGGAAATGAGGAGATACAACCTAGCAGTGCTCGGAATCCGCGAAACCCATTGGACCCAAGCTGGACAGCGAAGTACGGGAGAGATGTTGCTGTACTCCGGTCACGAAGAGGGAAATGCTCCATACACTCAGGGAGTTGCTCTGATGATATCCAAAGAGGCACGAAATGTCACTTATAGGATAGGGAATATCAAACAACTATATGACACAACGAAGAAACTAGAAGGGAAATATAGTAAACTAGAAACCGGTCAAAACAAAGAAGGTAAGCCAATCACTGAGATTCAAGAACAGAGGAACAGATGGACAGATTAATTTGAGGAACTCTTGAATGGATCAGCTGTATTGAAACCACAGGATATCGAAACAGCACAAGCAGACATCCTTATAGCTGTCAATGCACCAATGATCGAAGAATTCAGGGTGGCCGTCAGACAAAGTGCGAGAAGGCATCAGAACCCGACAACTTACCACCTAAAGCACTGAAGTCAGATATAGAAGTGATTGGAAATATGCCTCACACTCTATTCAGGAAGATTTGAGAGGAAGAACAAGTGCCGACGAAATGGAAAAAACAACTCGTCAAGACACTAAAGAAAGGAGATCTGAGCAAATGTGAAAACTACAGAGAAATCACACTACAATCGTTACCAGGAAAGGTTTTCAAGAGTGTTGCTCAACAGAATGAAAGATTCAATAGGCGCACAGCTTCGAGATCAACAGACTGGATTCTGTGAAGATCGGTCATGCACAGACCAAATCGCGACACTACGGATTATCATCGTTGAGCAATGAATTGAATGGGACTCGTCACTATGCATCAACTTCCTTGACTATGAGAAAGCATTCGACACTAAGGTGTGAGTAGTTGAGGAAATCTTTAACATCATCCGGAATTCATACAAAGGACTACACTGCAAAGTGGTGCACGAGGACAGCTGACAGACGCATCCCAAGTAAGGACCAGAATCAGACGAGGCCATTTACTCTCACCCTTCCTCTTTCTTTTTCTAGTCGACTGGATTATGAATACTTCGACATCTGAGGGAAAGCACGGAATACAATGGATAGCTTGAATGCAACTAGACAATTTGGACTTCGCAGATGACCTAAAGCTTCTATCACATTTGCACCAATAAATGCAGGTCAAAACAACCAATGTGACAGAAGCCTCTGAATCAGAAGGCCTCAGCATACACAAGGGAAAAAGCGAGATCCTCAAATGCAACATGGAGAACACCAATACAATCACTTTTGACGGAGAAATTCTGTGACAGGCGGAAACTTTCACGTACCTGAGTAGCATCATCGATGAACATGGAGGATCTGATGCAGACGCAAAGGCGAGGATTGACAAAGTAAGGACAGCATTCTTAAAGTCGAACAACATATGGAACTCAAAACAACTGCTAACCACAATCGTCAATACGAACGTCAAGACAGTTCTACTGTACGGTGCTGAAACTTCGAGAACTATCACAACTATCATCAAAAATGTAGAAGTATTTATAAACAGTTGTCTACGCAAGATACTCAACATCCATTGGCCGGATACCATCAGCAGCAGCCTTCTCTGGGAGAGAACAAACCAGCTTTCAGGTGAAGAGGAAATTAGGAAAAGACGCAGGAAGTAGATAAGACATACATTGTAGAAATCATCGAAGTGGATTATGAGGCAAGCCTTAACTTAGGATCTTAAAGGGAAAAGGAAAAGGGGAGATCAAAGAACACTGAGCCGAGGGTCGGAATCAGACGTCGAAAGGATGAATAGCAACTGGAAAGGATTGCCCAATGCAGAGTTGGATGGAGAATGCTGGTGGGTGACTTATGCTTCTCCACTAGGAGTAACAGGCGTAAGTAAGTACAAAATAAGAATATTTTTTATGGCGTGAAAAAAACGAAGTCGGTCAGTGAATAATACGATGCTACAGAAATAACTACTTAAAAATGAAAAACTTTCAGCAACTAGGTTGAGTGAAATTTCCCGATATAGTATAATTGGTACGACTGCAAACCACCAAGTTGTTCAAGCATAACACCGAAACTAGTTCGAAATTTCCGAGTCAAGAAAGGTTAATAATTGTAAAAATTTTAGTAGACAACTTTAGTGAGTGAGAATTAATTGTTAGACTGGAATCATGTCACTCAAAGGGAAGATGTAAAGGAAAATTACACACTGACAACTGACACATCAGCCACGAAAGGTGAGGACGAATTTGCTTAGTAACGATAACTAACTAGAAACACTGAATAAAATTGGATTGGTACGGTGCAGAGGGTGTATCGACAAAGGAAAAAAAATGATTAATAACATATTTGAAGATAAAAATGACATTTACACTGCTATGCATTTTGTCAGTATCTGGATCTAGCATAACTAAGTCATATTCTTGTCCTAAACTGGTGAGTTTGCAGATGGACTAAGCGAAGAATGTGTTATTGCTAAAAGACTGTTTATGACAAAGTTAAATAAAAAGAAGGATAGTAAGCAGCCCTGGAGAACACTTGGGGTTGCCAATTCACATGTATTAGAGTAATGAGTATTAACAAAGTTAAAGTACTTCTTGGGCACACTTTCGAATGAAACACAAAATTGCTAGATAAAAGGAATTCAATGTCCCCTTGAGGTCATGAAATACTAATATTTTTGGATGCCAGTTAGTAATGTACATGTTTAAGATACTGATCAAAGGTGAATTTTTCAGTCAAGTTGTACGGGGACAGAAGGTAATTAAAGAGTAGTCGAAATATTTCATTGAGCGTTCTGCTCGTGGTTTTAATCTTGTAGACTGAGAGTTGATTATGAATGTATCTTCTACATTCCTATAAGCGCCTCACTTTTCAATGGTTGTCTTCATGGTGAATCGGGACAGTATCATCTGTGACTGCTATCTTATCTCTTGTTTTTGTCCCCCACCACCGTCCACGATTACTAAGCGGACTTTGCATTAGTCAACATCAAACCTATTTTTGATTTTTAATGTTCTGGACAGATCTGAAGATCTATTAGTTTAGAAGAGGCTTCTGAAATACATTGACGTGTGTTAGTTTTGTGATTCGAATCATTAATAGATCTGACTGCTGTCTTCACAGAGGACTACATAACATATCAGACTACTACAGAATAAATGTCTCCTATATGGCCGACTCATTGCTTAGTTGGTTTTATTTTAAATGTATTCGATTTTTTTATCTTCTAATTGATCTCAAAGAGGCATTCTTGTTACACTTTTAACGTCCAGTAAGGTATAGACATACATGAACTCATGATTAATCTGGACGTTTCCTCTAGAAAGAGCATGAGCCTCCAATGATAACCGGGAGGTAGCAGCTACGAGCAAATAAATGATGGGGTCCACGGGACCTAATAGTTGAAGTTGAAAACAAAACTAGCTAACAAGGATTATTTGGCAACCATCCTTTTAGAAAGCTTATTTCTGATTACACCATACATACAGTAAGTTGTGATGCAAATAAGCAAATTAACATCCTGCTATAGGGACTTAGATGTTGACAACATGTATGCATGTAGGATACCACACAAATATACCTACCTGGTGTTTTGACAGAAGACTGTCAACAGATGCTGAATCTCTTCCATGATCGGGACTAACGAGTGATGTTTCCATTTCACCTAACCAAAATTCAATGTCTTTAATACCAGCATTATATGCAGCTTGACGATTGGCTTCCTGTAACTTTTCGGATTTTTCGTGAGATCGATTGACAAGATTATCCCACTGGTTAGCGAGTTTGGCGATACGTTCTTCAACGGCACTTTCCTGCCCCATACATTGATCTATAACGAAATAGAGGACATATAAGCTTTGAAAATAAAATTATCTCAAAAGAAAAATCTTGACGAGAAATAGGCTGACTCACTCTTCTGCTTTAAACGTTGTCCAGCTGCCAAAATGCCTTGGAGACGTTCTGCGTTGGCAGCGAGCTCTGCTTCAAAAGCTTGATGTTTCTGATGTTTAGCCTGAATATTTGTGGTAGGATCTTTATAAGGTTCGTCCATTGTAAATTGCATTTTTTCGTTTATCCATAGCTCCATCTCATCAGCATCTCGAATGAAGGCCTGAAGCGTTTGAACGTCTCCTAGCCTGCTACGATTATCAATCATAGCATTTTTTAAGTGAGTCCAACGATTTAAAACCTCACCACGCTTAGCTTCAATTGCATTTGCATCATAATGATCAGCTTCCAGAAGTTTATCAGCATTCGCCATCAAAGACTGTATCTTAACCTCCTGTAGGGTGATTGCACGGTTAAAATCTTCATGTTTCTTTATTAATGCATCAACTTTATTCCCATCAACATCATCACCAGCTAAAGATGCTTCGCGAATAGCCATCCAATCCTCAGCTTGTTCACAGTCACGCAAAAATAGCTGTTCTTCTAGATTTTGTTCTAATAGTTTGTGCCGATTTAGCCAGGCTCTAGAATGAAAAAACAAATAAACTGTTGGAACTTAATACGAACAATTTACTCGATTTTAAGAGGCGGAAATGGCCGTTAGATCGCATTTATTTTTATTTAAAATGTAAGCTAACCTTATTATTGCCACCATTTTTCTGATTTAATAAACCCATTGTTTAGTAGTGCCTTTATACTAATTATACTGCAATTATTATAATCAACATTGATTTGAAAATACTTGACGATCTACTACCTTGTCCATGACACCTTTTTATATCTCTTATTGCCACAGATTACTATGATACGTGTCAAGATGCTTTAGAGTACACAATTTTGAACAATTTTATCGGTTAGTATATCATAATGATGACAAATTGTTTCACAAGTCTGATAGCATTCATAAAGTCTCTATTTTATTACCACAAACTGGAAATCGTATAGGTGAGGAACCTACAAAAATTTGAATCACTAAGATGAATTACATTGTCATTCACAAACTAGATTTTATCCAGAAAATCACAGGATTTAAAGTAAATAAGATTAAATAAATGTTTCACTTAACAAAAACAAGTCAAACTTATACTCTTAAAACTGTTATAACTGGTTGTCAATTGGTGTGACTGCGTCGCCAATTGTTATGCCTGAATAGCTTATTGCTTATACTTGTAAAATGAGGAGCAACTGGGAAAACATACTGACTGTTACCTTTTATAGAACACTGAAATACAGTATCCTTTTTATTAGCAAGCCAAATACGGTATCAGTCAGTCAGCTACAACGTAGGACCAGGTACATATGTGCATCGGTCCAAGTTGCCATACCTCATTAGCACAACAAGATGAACACCGGATTCATAGAAGTAGTGGTGGTAATATATAAAAGAAAGATTGCATATAAGGACGGTACATGAAGTTAGTTCGTAGAAAGAAACATATGAAGAGATTTTAATCTCAGTTTAAGGGAAGACAGAGAGTGTATACACATACGCCATTGTGATCGATTCTGAGCCATGTCACCCAGAGTCTCCAACCATTGGTTACGAGTCGCGCAGACCCAACCAAGTAGTCTGCATCTACCAACATGGCTCAGACTAGAAGTTAGTGACTTCAAGCACTGATGCCACGTTTTGGTTTGGCCGCCTCCAACTTTCTTCCAACCTGACCGTTGGGACCTGACCATGGGACTGCATCTCCTGACGTTCCTCCACTTCCCTGTAAATCAGACCTTTAGGTCGAAGGCTGCGGGTGTGGGCCTCTAAGAATACCACCTGCTTCGGTCTGGGCACACGGACAGTATCACAGCCCATACAAAAATCGAATGATTTATGTGGCGCATATGTATTTGGTGCCCTCAGTACCAATGTTTATGTGTTTAAATAAATAATAAAATGACTTGTGTCCCGACCGTTGTTGATACCTTGACGTGGTAGTCGGGCTTGCCTATCGTGATGAAGCAACCGAGCTATACTGGATGGAACAACTGTTCCTCAAGGTCCTACCATGTCAGACAGGTCGGTTGAAGAGCAGTAAAACTAAAAGCATCAAACCTAAGGTCCGAAGGCGAAGTCGAACTGCTAACTGTACAGAGGTGACAGCAGTAAGGTGTTTCCTTCAGATAACCAGCATGACAGTGATGCTGCCTTCCCATAAGGAAGGGTGGGGTCAGAAAAGGTCGACCCTAAAAATGCACACCTCGCCTTATCTCACGGATATCCGTCTGCGGCGGTAAGGTCCCAACAAGTACGGAGCTAACACATTAAAAACCTTCCTCAAGCAGTTGTCCCTTGGGCAATGCAGTCACACTCTCAGGTCACTAAGACCACCTCTAATCCAATTTCCTTTTCAGGTACCTCCAGAATAACCCTTCCACGGTGTGGGCAACCGGGAGGTAATAACCGCCCTCATACCTCTAACAGCACTCAAGACCACTGTATTTATAATCAACCTCCGTCTTCACTTCCTATTATTCCTCCTACATCGACTTTCACATCTAAACTTCCTTTTTTCGGCTTCTTCCTCAAATGTCACCATAGCCGACGATTCTAGTGCTCAAAACACTGTCTCAGGTCTACTGAAACCTCGCTCCAAACTACACATTGGCGCCTTCAACGTACGCACCCTATGTCAAATCGGTCAACAGGCTTCCTTGGCTAGAACCCTAGAATCTCGTACCATTGATGTATGCTGTGTCTCTGAAACACATATACAGGATCCCAGTGTGGTCATTCACTTGACCTCACCTCGGCAAAATGGAGAGCCAGCGAGATACATCCTCCGTGTATCTGGTGACCCGATGGCCAGCTCTCGTGAACTGGCAGGTGTAGGCATAGGACTAAGCATGAGGGCGGAACAAGCACTGTTAGAATTGATACTTGTTAACAGTCGTTTATGTGCTGTTCGGCTAAACGGCTCTGTAAGAACTCGGAAGGATAGGGACACACGTCGTTGCCTTTTTGTCATTTCTGCCTACGCTCCCACCGACTGCAGCTCAGATGAAATGAAAGATGAATTTTACAGAAAGCTATCTGAACTTCTTCAGAAAGCTAAACGTTCAGACATTGTACTCGTAGCAGGTGACTTTAATGCCCAGATAGGTAGTTTAAACCAAACAGAAAGGCATTTAGGTGGCTATGTTGATATTCCGGCACAACGAACAGATAATGGTGATCGTCTGCTGCAACTGTGCTCAGACAATCGTTTATTTTTAGTAAACACAAATTTCAAGCATAAGGAGAGGCATTGTCTAACATGGCGACCGCCTACACCAAACCAACGATGGACACAAATAGACCATATTGCCATCAGTCATGGTTGGAGAGGGTCGGTAGAAGATTGTCGCTCATTCTGGAGTACTTGCTTGGACTCCGACCACGCCCTAATACGGGCACACATCTGCTTGCGCCTCACTGGACGCAAAAAAGCCACAGTAAAAAGAGCCATTAGAACTGAATTGAGTAGTGAGAAAACCAAAAGTAGGTTCCAGGAACAACTGAGGTCACGATTAGGTAGTTCTGAAAACGAGGTTGACCCAGATGTTGCTTGGAAAGCTATACAAACAGCAGTGACATCTATCAATGACTTAAACCACAGGGTTACAAAGAACCAATGAATTTCCTCAAGGTCTATTGCACTGATGGATTCTCGTAAACTCATCCCGTCAGGCTCTGAACACGATGAAGAGCGACAACAAATCAGATCTAGGTTAGGCAAAAGTCTAAGGAACGACCGTTAGCAATGGTGGGCAACGAAAGCAAAAGAGATGGAAAAGGCGGCGACTATAGGGAACACAAGACAGCTCTACAGACTAATAAAAGAAACTGGAATTAATAAATCAAGTGTAAGTCAGACTATTTCGGAAAAAAAGACGAACCCCTCATCTGCTCTCAGTCCAGACGTTTAGAACGATTGTCGGAACATTTCAGAGAACAGTTCGGCTGGCCTTCAGCTACTCTACAACTACCCTCCATTCCCAGACAGTGTGAATGGAACATTGAAGTAGGTACCCCAACTCTAGCAGAAGTTTAAAAGGCTTTAGCTAATCTGAAACGAGGAAGGGCAGCTGGTCCAGATGGATTAGCTCCAGAGGTCTTTAAGGATAGTGGTCCAATTTTAGCGATTAAGTTGACTAATATTTTAGCTAAGATCTGGGAGTTAGACGTTATTCCTTTTGACTGGTCACAATCACTTATCGTCCCAATATATAAGAGAGGGTTAAAATCATCCTGTGACAACCATAGAGGGATTAGTTTAACGAATATAGTATCTAAAATACTAGCCTCGATAATTATCAGACGCCTAACTAAGACTCGTGAACTGCAAACACGAGAGAACCAAGCTGACTTCAGACCTGGTCGTGGCTGCATCGACCACATATTCACCATTCGTCAGGTTCTAGAACATAGGCATACTTATCGGCGTCCGACAATGGTGATCTTTCTCGACTTAAAAGCAGCATTTGACTCGGTAGACCGCGAGATACTATGGCAGTGTCTGTCATTGAAAGGCGTTCCTCAGAAGTAAATAAACCTTGTGAAGGCTCTTTACTCGAACACTACTAGTCAAGTCAGAGCTTATGGCGAACTGTCATCTGCTTTTGCAACCTCAAGTGGTGTCCATCAAGGCTGTCCACTTTCTCCATTTTTGTTCAACTTCATCATAGACTTATTGATGGAAATAACGCTCTCATCGACTGAATTTTAGGGCGTTGATCTCCTTCCATGAGGTCCACTTATCGACTTACAATACACAGATGACATAGTCCTGTTTGGTGAAGTCGCTGACAAAATGCAGAGTCTTTTAGTAGCACTAAGTAACAGTGGCAGAATGTTTGGAATGCGCTTCTCTCCCTCTAAATGCAAGTTGTTGCTTCAGGACTGGTCTGCGTCAACACCTGAACTAAGGATAGGGAGTGAAGTAGTCGAACGCGTTGACAACTTCACTTATCTTGGAAGTCTGATCAGCCCTAATGGGTTGGTATCGGACGAAATCTCAGCACGGATTCGAAAAGCTCGTTTGGATTTTGCCAACTTACGTCACCTATGCAAAAGGCGAGATATCCGTTTATCAGTAAAAGGACGAGTATACTGCGCGGCAGTCCGTTCTGTTTTAATTTACGGCAGCGTAACATGGCCATTAAGAGTAGAAGACACTCGTAAACTACTAGTATTTGACCACAGATGCCTTAGAAATATTGCTGGCGTCTGCTGGGATCACCGGGTAAGTAATAGTGAGGTTAGACGCAGGGTATTAGGGAATGGTGGTAAATCAGTTGATGAGGTTATGAATCTTCATCGACTGAAATGGTTGGGTCACGTGTTACGTATGCCTGAACACCGATTACCATGACGTCCAATGCTAATCGGCGTTCGGGATGGTTGGAAGAAAGTTAGGGGCGGCCAAACCAAAACGTGGCATCAGTGCTTGAAGTCACTAACTTCTAGTCTGAGCCATGTTGGTAGATGCAGACTACTTGGTTGGGTCTGCGTGACTCGTAACCAATGGTTGGAGACTCTGGGTGACATGACTCAGAATCGATCACAATGGCGTATGTGTATACACTCTCTGTCTTCCCTTAAACTGAGATTAAAATCTCTTCATATGTTTCTCTCTACGAACTAATTCTTTCTCCCTGTACTATATCCTTATTGCAACCTCTCTTTTAAATATTAGCACCTCTGAATTCACTACTTTTATGAATCCGGTGTCCATCTTGTTGTGTTAATAAGCTATGGCAACTTGGACCGATGCCTGGTCCAACGTTGTAGCTGACTGACTGACTTTCTTACAACCAACTGAGATGTTTTATTCGTGGTTCGTTGCGGTCTTTTAGCTGAGGCAAATAATCATGGAAGTTTTTAAGTCTGAAATAATACGAATTGTTAGAATGGCCTACTAGTGTTATGCCCTCACATTGCCACGTGCATACAACCATTGTCAGGGAAGTCCTACTCACTACATCCTAGTGACGGGGGTGTTTACGAAATTCAGAAGACGAAAAGCGAATGTCCGGCGCTTTAACCGGGTTAGTCGACACGGATGGTTTAACTAGGGGAGTTGGAAAACCCTGAATTCAAACCAGTGGTGCACATGGGCTCCAGAATCCTGAAGAAACAAATGGCGTGTGAAACTAATGTTGGTCACCCGCTACCACGGGACTGCATCTCCTGACGTTTCTCCACTGCCTTGTGGACCAGACCTTTAAATCAATGGCTCGGGGCGTGGCCCTCTAATAAAACCACCTGCCTCGGTTCGGGCACCCGGCCAGTATTTCAGCCCTCATACAAATCAAGTGATTAATGTGGCACATATGTATTTGGTGCCTCTGTACGAATATTTGTGTTCAAATAAATAAAATAATTCTGGTTAATACTGAATGGTTTATCAGTGTAAATAGTAAGCACTAAAGCCTGGTAAATGTTGAAAAACATACGAATTTATATCCATATTTTAACTAAGATGATATGAGGATTTATTACATGGTCCAAAGAACCAAATTATGTTCTGAGAAAGTGCAAACTGTACACATAAAGCACTTATTTTCCTCATAAAAGTATTAACTTACACATTAAGAGCTTCTCTTGCTTCTGTGATTTCTTGGAGTTTTTGTTGTACGACCTCCGAAGCATAATGTCCATTATCAAGTAACTCCTTACCGAAGGATTCGAAGTTTTGAAAAGCTGGAGCACGAGTATCGATTTCCGTGCGGTATTCCTGTGAAAATAAATAATGTAAATGAAATGACTTACACGGTGACTATCTAACAACGATTCTGCACTTGTAACATACGTGCCCACTTGCTTTGACGATACCAAACCATTCATTGTACTAATCCAAGACTGGAGATCCCTGAAAACAAGAAGTTATACATAAACAAACGGAATTACTATTTGTTAAGAGATCAGAATATCAAGCATTAGTTTAATTTACTCAAATAATAACGTGTTTTAAATTAAGCTTAGAGACAATAATAATTAGACGTCCGTTTATTATTGACATCTGTGGGACCCAATAAAACCGAACATCTTTATACGTCAGATGTACGAAGAGACGTAAGTTGCTCTAATAAGTCGGTATCGGAAGTAAATAGCACGGAAAACTAGTTGATTAGTACTTTCAAAACTATTCTTCAAAAGTAGGATTATGTCGCTGAAAGGGAAAACAGTAACTTAATACCTAGGAAAAGAGCACTATTTCAAAACGCATCTCATAAGCAAAATTACGAAAACTAGGGTAACGAATATAAATTTCGGATGGGTTGAAAGGTACTTGTTGATAAAAGTACATTCGTATATTTTAAAAGCTCGTTATTATACGCTTAGTCAACCTTCTATTTCTCTGGGCTTTTTTTAGAAGTGTTAAACTATATCAACCATTAGTTTACTTACCATTTTAGATTAACAAATTGAATAAATATACTAGTCTAGGGGTTGCATGTTGTACCACCTACATGAGCAATAGGTTAATAGTTAAATTGTTTAACTTTTAATTATCCATTCGTAAATTAGAAACTTACTACATTTACTCTAGAAATGTTACTAGGCCACAGAAAATTTGGTTTAAAGCCTCCTGTGTGAAATGACAGGTCAAGCAAACTTTCGATCAACAGCTGAACAACTAGACTATAATTACCGACTGAAACTAGATAATCTTATATTTATCCGGAATATAGCATGATATATACATAAATAACTGTGAGTAATTATTACCTTGCATCAGCGAGGAACTTTTGGAGATCTAAGGAATCTAAAAGTTTGGCTTTTCGTTTTTCAGCAGTTGCAGCTAGACCATCCCACAAATGGTTGATTTCTTCTTGATGTGTACATATAGCTTCTGCATCCTGAGGATGGATCTGTATCAAGTCAGCAGCTTTTGAATCTAATTGTTTAACCCTTTCTCCCAAAGCTACCAGGTCCCTTTCTAATGCATCATGTTTACGTATAAGACGCTGAACAGATGTGAAGTCATTACCTACATCATCTGTTAGTAATCTATTCTCCTTCTCTTCAATCCATTCTTTCGCTTCATCACATTCTCTGTGATAACGTTGAACGGCATCAATATCTTCTAATTCTTTAGCCTTTTTGGCAGTGACTTCTTCTAACTGTTCATACTTCTTTTGGAGTTGCATGATAATACCTTCTATCTTCTCAACAGCTTCAGTCTGACCACCTCGCTTGAGTTTATCTGCCTTGGCACACAATTCTGTTACTCTAGCTTCTCTTTCCTTTTGTTCCATAACAAACTCATCTACCTTCTTTTTCTCTGACTCTACTTCCTCTAGTCTTCCAGGAACGATGGTCTCCGTGACAGCAACTAGTTCTTTCTCAACTACCCATTGATGTAAATCGTTAGCCTCTCTAACTAGTTGGTAGGCTTCGACGGAATCCTGTAACCTCTCTCGACGATCACGACCCAGCTGAAGAAGATAATTATATTGCTCCTCCAAACGTTGCTGCTGCGACGCTACAGTAAGTGGCTTGGCTGCTAAACCAGCTTGAGTGTCAGAAACAGGAGCCTCAACTTTCTTGACATACGCTGCAGGAACAAATCCTTGGCGATCATTCACTTCCACTTTCCACCAGTCTTTGTGGTTACTGGCTAGCAAGGTTAAGATCTCTCCTTTCCGCATCGAAACTTCCCTAGGAGACTTTTCTTGGTAGTCATATAAAGCAATAACTACATCTTTGCCGAGTAGATCACTTACTGGGGCTTCCTGCATCCGGCAACTACTAGCTTGAATGCCGAGAGCTTCAATGGTTGAACCATATGCCTCAATATCGGCAAGGAGAGCGTTATGTTTTTTCAAGAGTGCTTCCGTAGAGTCTTCATCCCGACCAAACTCGGACGAACCGACCAATGGTTCTTTTTCTCGCATCCAACTTTCTGCTTCACTTGCATCAGCAAAGTACTGTTGGGCCTGCAATGAATCTTCTAACAGCTGTCGTCGACGGTCTGCCTTTTCACAAAGTTGGGACCAATCGGTAGTTAAATCGGTTATACGTCTTTCAATGTCATTAGCCCCATAATGGTTGGCGCGTATCATGGCCTGACCTTCTTGAACAACCTCCTCAATGCGTGGTGAGTGACCATTTATTTCCGCATATATTGCTTGATGTTTTTTTATCAAATTCTGCACGCCAATCAAATCACGACCTGAAATATATTTAAAGTGATCAGTTAGGGGGAGGCACATATAAATACATCCGAAAACAATGAACAAGTAGTAGGGGCCACCTGAATGCATAATTAAATCTGAAATATTGTATTTGAAATAGATATAACTTACTTAACTAATCAAAAACCTATCAAAAACACAAGGAATATTCTAACTTTTTGTTAGGTTTCTTATCCACTACTCAAAATAATCAATAAACACAAAGTAGAACTTGATACCGAATGTACACCGGTTTAAGACATCACAATACAATGTAGAGCAATAGAGCTAAAACGATAATACCAATAGTAAAGAAATAAAGATATGGCACCGAACAAATGAAATAGGGGAATGAGAACCAACTGTAAACACAAAATCCAACAAATGTGAAACAGCTGAAGGTGATAAAAGAAGACGAAAGGGTGTATTAGCGATCTCCGACCAACTGAAGAAAGTTAGTTATTTAAGCGACCAGGTTTAAAAACCAAAGTTTTCCGAGTATAATCGTTTTACTATATAATTGGAATAGTTGTGAGTTGAGCATTCGACTCTCGGCTTTTGGGTTAGCGTCTATTTCAGTTTTGGAAACTGAACAGGATTGTTTGACCTTTCCCAAGCCGAGTACATAAATTTGTACACGATTCCTGAGTTAGAGTAGCACTGTCACAATAAGTGCAAATAACGACAAACTCCGTAAAAGTTATGTAACAAGCTACACGAAAGTCACAAACCGTGATTTAGAACTTCTTTCGGAAAGGGTTATGTCTGTTTATATCTAACAATCTATAAACGTGAAGATATCCGTTAATTGGTAGTACCCTGGGTTATGAAGTTGTAAAGACTATAGTTGGAGTAGGAGCAAGTTGGATACGAGCTACGAGCGAACAAATCAACATGTGTGATTAATCCATGAAATAACTGACTGTTTCTCTGATCCACGTCGGTAGGTGTAGAATAAGTGGTTGGAATTCAGTGACAACCGCGACTACTGGCTGGCAACACTGGTATGACATTGTTCAGAGCAGAGCACAGCATTCCTTGTTTATCATTTTCTAGGTCCCGACCTCCATTATTTTACCATACATGCCTTTCTACTTCGTCTTTTCAAACCATATGTCAAACCACAGCCTACCTCAACGGGCGATGTTTTTTGGTGCAAAGGTATGCCGGAAGCTAGGGGTGGCCACACCAAAACATGGCATCAATCGATGAAACCACTGACAATTAGACTAAGCCATGTTAATAGTTGCAGACTACTTGGTCAGGATTCGTGTGATTACCGTAACCAACGGTTAGATACATCAAATGACATGGCTCCGAATCATTTGTGATAGTGCAGCTGCACCCATTCTTTGTCGTCCTCCAAATCCTGAGTTACTAGATTCCTCATTACCTTTTTTGTCTAGCTCATCAATATTTTCTTCACGAGTCGTATCTCCAATGCCTAGTCTTTCAATTACGACGGACACTGTTATGACCCCTACCATTCTCGGATTCGGTCTGAAAACTTCATCTCTGTGCTAATGGGGTATGGCAACTTGAACCTATACTTACGTACAGGTTCCATGTTGTGGTTTACTGACTATATTCACAATATTTAGTCATTCTCACCATCGGCACCACTAAGATTATTCGACCACATTACTGTTTATCTTGTTGAGTTCCTTTCGTTGTGATGAGGTTTAAAAGTCCGGATTAACGCACGATAACTACGACTGACTGACAGTACAACGAACTGCCACAAGATTATTAACGCAAGTATAGATGGGTTACCACATACATATTTTAATTTAAAACCAACGGATACGTGGATGGGGCTAACAGTGACTAAAGTAGAAAGCACTTCGAACAATCAGAACAGAAAAACGGACTTTACCCGATAAGTACAGTATTCCATGACCCGATATTTGGTATGTACTGACCCTAATATGATATGAGTCTGTCTAATTCATTAAAAAACATCTGTTTGGTACATTTTCGACTTGATATTACTTGTGGAGTCCTGTTTTTATGGCTGAGCATACAAAAACCAAAGCCAACCATTAACAATGTAGAACCATGCACGGTTGTGTACCGACCAAATTTTTACACAGAAGTTGAAGCAAATCAGTACATATGTAGACCTTAGCCAATACATATTTGTCCCGGGTCTCAGAATGATTTACCAAAACGTATTAGTGACAACAGTCCATACATATATCGTTAAAAAATAAAATCGGATATCAGGTAAAAACATATGAGCATCTGCAAAAGGCAGCATACTGCTACTGCATACTGCAGTGAAAAGAAGCTAATTGCTTTACGGCACATAAAAACCGTACACATGTGTACGGGGAACGGGTGCCGACTAAATAATTAATTTTTCTGCTTACCTACATTAGTGGAGCCCGCGACTGGATCTTTCTCTCGAATCCAATCTTCCTCGTCTTCAACATCCCTAAAGAACTGGTGCAACTTGTAAGCATCTGACAGTTTTTCACGGCGTTGATTTAATGGTTTCTGCAAATCGTAGTAACGTTGGGACAGCTGCCGCTGCTTCTCCTGGATTATGGGAGCATCAAAATGACCCTCAGAAGCAAATGTGTCAGCTTGGACTTTAAATGCTTCTATGCGCTCACGATGGGCAGCAACATCAGATTCTAGTAAGTTGAGTCTCTTCTGTGCATTCATTACTCCGTTAAGGTCTCGGCCAACATCTTCTGATGCGATTTGGGCTTCAACATCATCTAACCACAACTCGACATCCTCAACATTGCGGACGAATTGTTGTTGTCGACTGGCTTGATCTAAATTTTTCTTCTTGTTCGCCATAGCATTTATAAGATAAGACCAAGTCTCATCTAACTGGTCGATTTTTAGTTTTATTTCAGCTGAATTGCAGTGATTTGCGTTTAACAAATCTTGACCTGTTTTCTTAATATCTTCAACACGAGACTGGTTAGCTTGTATCTCAGCTTCGAAGTTCTGATGTTTTTGAACTTTTGTCTGTAAATTAGTTGAGTCTTTATAGCTTTCATCAAGTGCATTTTTTAGTTTTTCCGATATCCAAGATTGCATTTCATCGGCGTCACGATCAAACATCTGATAACGGTGAGAATCTTCAAGACGCTGACGGCGCCTCTTAGCTTTATCCTTTAAGGCTCTTCGTCTATCTTCCAAAGAATGCTGCAACTCTGTGACCTGTGCAGCAGCGTAGTGATTCGTTTCTATAAGTTTCTTTGCCAACTCATCAAAATGATGCATCTTTTCCTCTTGAGCTAACAACGACTTCTCAAAATCTTCGTGCTTTCTAATAAGTGCCTCAACGGAATCGAGAGAATCGCCAACATCCTTGATTTCCAAAAGTGCTTCTTGTTTTCCGATCCAAGACTCTGACTGTTCTGCATCCCGATAGAAATACTGAAGACCCATACATTGTTCTAGTTGCTCGCGTCTCTCTTCACATAGTTCCAGAAGGGCAGCTTTTTCTCTTTCCAAATTGGAAAGCTTTGCAGCGATTTCCCCGCTAGATGGATGGCCAACATTGATCAGTGCTTGACCCTCTAACATGCACGTGTCGAAACTATCGTTTCGCGAGTTAATTTCCGCAGTATATTCCTTATGGCGTTCTACTTGGGCCTCAGCACCAGCCACATCCTTTGCTAGGTCATCAGCAGAGATCAACCCTTTCATGTCTGTCATCCAAATACTAAGGTCTTTCCAATCGGCGAGAAAACGCTGCATCTTGAAAGACTCTTCCAGTTTACTTTTTCTATCCACAAATTGATTCTTAAGTTTCTCCCAAGCAGCAATTAAAGCTTCATATTTACCCTGAATTGTGTCTTTAGAGTCTGGATGTTTCTGTGCAAGAGCCAAAGCATCATCTCCTAGTTGACCAATCTTTTCATCCAAAGCAGCTAGATCCCTCTCCAAAGCGTCATGTTTCCTTTGCAGTGCTTGTACTGAAGCCAAGTCACGACCACAGTCTTCAATAGATAGAGGAATAGACTTTTCATTCACCCACGATATGGCTTTATCTGTATCCCGGAAGAAACGTTGTATTTCATAGGCTTCAAGAAGTTTATCTTGGCGCACCTTAGCCAGATTTTTTAAACGTTCTAGTGCTTCACGAACCTCACGTGACTTTTCTATTACCAAGGTGTCTTCAGGAAACTCCTCCTTCAAAAGTTCGTCTGCTTTGTGGTAAATGTCTTCTGCACGACTTTCCTGATACTCAAGATCCTGAAAAATATTAATCATAAAACAATGACAAACCTTCATAAACTCGTCAAATTTCTTCTGTAGTGCCTCAACGTGCTCTAAATCCTGACCGAAATCTTCAGAAGTTACGTAGGTCTCCTTCTCACGTGTCCAGAAAAGTATCTCATCAACCTGACGTAAGAACTGAACGAACTTAAGAGTCAGGTTAATGAGACGCGATTTTTCTCTGAACATGGCCATCAACCTTTCCCAAAGAGCGTGCAACTCATCGAGCCGGTTCTATGAATGTAACGTAGATACACAGAGAAAGACCTTACCTTAATAATCTCAGAAGCATAATGTCCTTGCCCTATCATCTCTTCACCCGAAGAATCTAAGGCTGATAGTGTCTCGGAGTGAGCTGTGACTTCGAGCTCAAAAGCCTGATGCTTTTGTTTTTTGGCCTAACCAAACGGTCAGTCATTAAATAATTTACCTGGAGGTTACTCAGTTCCTTGAAATCCTCATTTGCATAAGTTTGCAACTTTTCATTAATCCAGCTCTCAAGTTCATCAGCATCACGCTTAAAATACTGGTACCTTCGAAAGTAACATTTAGCCGTATTAGATATTACCTCTTAGCTTCCTCTAACTTATGACGACGATACTGAGTTGCCTCTTTAAATGCAGAATAGCGAGACAAAACTTGCTCACGACGTTCACGAATATCTTCAGGAGTTTCTAATATCTTCACCTTAGTTGGAGGCTCAGCCATCCTAGTCTATGAAAACGAAACCTGCTTAGACCTGGGAGAACAACGAAGTGGTGCAATTAAACACATGAAATTGTTTTATACGATTAGAGAAAGATAAGTTGAAATGAAAAGTAGAAGCACAATAACACATCACTTTTACAATTTTGATTCACTCATTTTGCCTCATATACAAATAATATGTAACACTGATACAAACCTACCATCCTCTTAGTACGATCACGCAAACTCAAACGTCTTGCGTATGCTTAGTGACATTACCTTTTGGCGTTGCTTGTTTTGCTTAAAAAAGTCCTAACCTCAGTTTCGCTTCATTTTCTCTTACTTCTCGACTTATTTTGGCTATAATTTTTCCAAGTTATTTGGAAATCTATGGTGGACGACCGGGCAATATAAAAAATTGCTAACGCCAAGGTTGGATATCCTATGGATGGTGTTATGCAACGCCAGACGAGCAGTGAGTTTTACCATGAGGTGTTTGCGAATCTAAAATTTTTAACTTTTAAAAGGTTTAATAAACCTGAATGTGTGTGGTTGTGCGAACGGTGCAGCTCGGACGCAAAGAGCTTGCAGTAGTTAACACTACTAAAAGTAGCGTAAGCAGGCCCAATTCTGCTGGACCAAACTACAGTGAGTCTGATGGTGGTTGATCTATCGTTGCACAAATCGTAAGGCAGTCGTCTCAAGTGTGATGAAGATCGACTGATTCACGTGAGCGTATGAAAGACCGACTTAAAAGAGGTCTGTAAGGAACTCAAGAAAGTAGCTTTCCTCGGCACTTCAACAGAACCGTAAGGCTGGGTCCGTTTCCCAACAGGAAAAACAATAAAAGTTATGACCTGGTTAGTAAGTTATTGAATTTTCTTTGGAATCTCACAATGTGTGTAATCCAACTAAAATCGCTACTCCATGTACTACCGATGAATGGATACTAAGTGAGAGTAAGAAGTAACCTAACATCACAAGAGAAACACGGTTTCCTTAGCCGTAGTTAGCAATCGGAGAGTGACCACAGTAACAGGCCAGTTATCTTTGATAGTCAAGACAAGCAAACTTTCAAAGCTTTGGGAATGGCACTGAAGGGCTAAAAGGCATACTTGGACAGCTAAAACCTGAAGATACCTCTGACATCACCTTGCTAAAGGCTTATAGACTAGGTAGCTAGACAGACTTAAAAAATAATTGGACCAGGCTTCTAAAGATAGTATTTAAACACCCCCATGGAAGGGATATAAAAACACAAAATCGATGTAAACTGAAGAGATAAGGAGTCACTGTCCTTACACACCTTGTCGCTTACTGACCTTATGAAAAAACGAGAAGCTGAAAGTGAGCTGAAGCTAAGATTAGGTGCCGATGAAAAGGACATGTGAACTGTAAATTTCGAGTAGTGAAGCGTCGACTGAGAATACTATCGACGGTAATTTGGGTCCATCATGAAACTTCTTGAATGACCTTTGTATCTGTTACACGAATTTCAGGAGCTTCCTCAATAAGCAACCAAAACCGGGTGTGCAGATTGATTTTATCAAGTCAGATGTGTTCGCCACCATAGAAGTATATTGTAGATAATAGGAAACTTAGTTTTGGGAATTCAAGAGAACTCGGGAGCGTAAATAAATAGCAGCTTTGTTTGTTGGAAATACTGTTCCCATTACCATTATCCCATGAAAGTCGGGCTCACTAATTAATTAGTTTCTGCTTGTAATTCGAGGTACGAGAGCTGCTAATTTGTTTGGTTTACCTCATCCCGGATTGTTACGTAAATAAAATTTTTCTCGGCGGTTTCAACTCACGTTCTTCAATTTGTTGGTGTTTAATTTTAGGAGACGTCAATTCACCTACTATAGACTGGATTGAGCTGTTCAAAAATTCTTTTGAACATAGTCAGTTGACGTGGTTATCATATGTGCCCTGGCACAACATGTGAGAAGAGCGGCTAGACACAACTTGGACTCCAAATCATCTTTACTGTACCTCATATTAATTCGTAATGGAGATGAGGTCACCACTAGGTACGACTGACCATGAAGTCACAAATTTTTATTTTCGTATGGTTATCAACAACGATGTGTTAGCCCAAGCCAGACTAAACGCTTGAAAAGTAAATACACATTAAATTATGCACTCAGCATCCTAAGTAGATTGAACAATAGAACCATAAGTCTTTGGAAATTTACACATAAAAGTTATAACACCTCACGTTATTGAATTATAACAGGGAGTCTGAGAAGCCCCCAATATGATTCAGTAAGGAGGTTTGTACGCTTCCCAGTAGATAGAAAAAGATAAGGAAGAGATTTAAGTTACTGTTTATTGATGAGGTAGAAGTCTCAATACCAGGAAGCAAAAAAGCTTTATGTAGGCGAATCTAAGGGATCCGGTGAAGTGCATCTTACATTACAAAAAGAGCTATGAAAGTTTATCACGAATCACATAAGAACATGTATAATTCTATTTGTAACCGAGGGCAAATTACCGAAGAACTAAAACAACTCTGTAGTAATTGTTATCATTCAACCAGGTGTGGGAACTATCGGTCCATAAGCCTAGCCAGAGCGATTTGTAAGGTTCTACAAAAAATTATTCGAAATGACTTATTCCAGTATCTAGGCGAAAACTTGATTTTTTCTTAAAGACAGTACGGTTTGAAAACAGGTTGTTCATGTCTCATATACGTATTAGTAGTCCGTGAAAGTTGGCGTGCTCTGAAATATCATAGGCTATCTACAGATGTGACCTTCGTCGACTTCAGTAAGGTTCTCAACAGTTCCACATAACAGGGTGCAACTTAAGATCAGTGATATTGGGAATGGAGGTAAATTGTGTATTTGAGTAGACAATTTCTTAGTTGGGCGTCAACAAAACAAAAACAGATCATCGATCGTCGTCAAAGTTGACGACAACCAACGGGCATAAATTAATCGGATGCCATGGACTTTCCAATGCGGTGATAGTTTCATTAACTTGAGTACGTACTCAATCATTCGATATAGATCAACTACTTTGGTAATCTACACTCCATATGTTTTAGAATATACTCATTAGTATAAGAATTAACAACTGAAATATGAACAGACTCACCTGGTTCCTGTAACTGTATTAAATTGACCTATCGGTTGTGTGTACTTATGAAGTGTTGGTTACTACCTGACTGATATGACTTAACCTATCCATTCTTCTTAGGTCACGTTTTGATCTTGTAAATTTTTCGCTTATCAACTCTGACTATTTTTATGTAAGCGTATGTGTGAGAATTTGTTATTTGACAAATCATATGTCTTTAACTTAATTATGTTCGGCTATGAATATTGACTAACTCTTGATTAAAGGGACTTGGTTCACATGCCTTCTCCACAGCGCATCATTTTGTTTCTCTTCGTTCCTGTGATCGTATGCCTGGGTCAATGATTGTACAAAATATACGCATTCGAAACTTTTTCTTGCATTTGAGTTATCTCAATTCCGTTATTCACCAACGCGTGTTAAGTCGATGATTATATACGAGGTTAGACGTCATGTGTACTACAATAACATCCACACCATCCAATCGGAGTCAAATCAGGGTCCACTATATTTAAATCCTTGATATCTAGAACTTACACCATAGATTTCCCGACATTCTCCACCACAATTCCCGTAGATGGTCGGAGATCATTACCACGATAACATGTATCTTATGCAGACTCCAAACACCTCATATACGAACGAAGAATCCCTCCTTTCAAAAGATTTGTTGGAGTCTCTTACGTTACCGAATGTCTAAAATTTCTATATTGTAGTAGAAATTAATCTATTCCACCCTCCAATCCATCAAATCTTGAGGCAGCAATAAAATAAATAGCGATTTTTAAAGTCCTAACAAATTTTTCCGCCTCACCATTAGAGTAAACTTGCCCGTGAGCAGTTAACAAACATCTACACTGTAAAGTGTCATCGATAAACGAATCAACGAATGATAAAGTGAAACACCCACCACCGCATTAACTTTCTTTAAACTGATATGGCTACGCCTCGTTTATTCACCACTCACAGGCCATTATCAGTCACTAACACTATGGGAATCGCATCTCGACTAAATACCCTTCTTAATGTTCGGATTGTGAATTCCAAATTTGATGAAGTTTTGAAAAAATTCAGACCAATTGGGAAACGAATCAATAACAATATGTGCATAGTATCTGCCAAGAAATGAACCACAGTAGTTCGCATGAATTCTCTACCAGGCATCAGATAATACTGATCATGGAGTCCAATTCGAAGAGAGACTTTTCAACTTATAACACTTTCCAAAATCGTTTGCCACACGACATATATCCGCATTTATCTCCGGCCACCAACATGTGAGCTTTGCCAGGAACTTCATCTTGTCAACAACCAAATATCCACTATGACGATCTTCATGAACAGATTCACGTAATGAAGAAACAACAGCAACACTATCATTAAGACACAGAACACCATCTGGAGTAGTGGTGAGCTCGTACCGCCTTGAAAAACAGGCAGGAAATCTACGTGTCATATTGGCATTCCAACATTTTCGTGTGGCACTGAGTACACATCTAAAGTATCGACGGGTTTATTTGACGATATCTTGATGTCTCACTGGTAAACATTGCAATAACAAACGGTTTGAAGTATTGACAGATCTATCTTGTAATGATTGCCGATAAATATAGTCAACTCATTGAGCTTATTTGGCACCTCTTTGATGAATCGTATAGTCATAGGCAGACAAAGCAATACTCCATCGTTGAACCATGGCAGATGACGGGCGTGCAATGGAGTTTTCAGGATGATAAATGAACATTAAAGCTTCATGATCTGTAACAATAGTCAATTTCTTTCCAAATAAATATTAATGAGGTCTTTTGACGGTCCAAATCACAACTAGTGCTTCGCGCTGAGATTGCAAATAACTTTACTCATCAACACTAATTGTGCTTGAAACACAGATAGCTGGTCTGAATTCCTACCCCTAAACCGTACCAATACCCACAGGTGATTTAGAACTTCTTTCGGAAAGGGTTATGTCTGTTTATATCTAACAATCTATAAACGTGAAGATATCCGTTAATTGGTAGTACCCTGGGTTATGAAGTTGTAAAGACTATAGTTGGAGTAGGAGCAAGTTGGATACGAGCTACGAGCGAACAAATCAACATGTGTGATTAATCCATGAAATAACTGACTGTTTCTCTGATCCACGTCGGTAGGTGTAGAATAAGTGGTTGGAATTCAGTGACAACCGCGACTACTGGCTGGCAACACTGGTATGACATTGTTCAGAGCAGAGCACAGCATTCCTTGTTTATCATTTTCTAGGTCCCGACCTCCATTATTTTACCATACATGCCTTTCTACTTCGTCTTTTCAAACCATATGTCAAACCACAGCCTACCTCAACGGGCGATGTTTTTTGGTGCAAAGGTATGCCGGAAGCTAGGGGTGGCCACACCAAAACATGGCATCAATCGATGAAACCACTGACAATTAGACTAAGCCATGTTAATAGTTGCAGACTACTTGGTCAGGATTCGTGTGATTACCGTAACCAACGGTTAGATACATCAAATGACATGGCTCCGAATCATTTGTGATAGTGCAGCTGCACCCATTCTTTGTCGTCCTCCAAATCCTGAGTTACTAGATTCCTCATTACCTTTTTTGTCTAGCTCATCAATATTTTCTTCACGAGTCGTATCTCCAATGCCTAGTCTTTCAATTACGACGGACACTGTTATGACCCCTACCATTCTCGGATTCGGTCTGAAAACTTCATCTCTGTGCTAATGGGGTATGGCAACTTGAACCTATACTTACGTACAGGTTCCATGTTGTGGTTTACTGACTATATTCACAATATTTAGTCATTCTCACCATCGGCACCACTAAGATTATTCGACCACATTACTGTTTATCTTGTTGAGTTCCTTTCGTTGTGATGAGGTTTAAAAGTCCGGATTAACGCACGATAACTACGACTGACTGACAGTACAACGAACTGCCACAAGATTATTAACGCAAGTATAGATGGGTTACCACATACATATTTTAATTTAAAACCAACGGATACGTGGATGGGGCTAACAGTGACTAAAGTAGAAAGCACTTCGAACAATCAGAACAGAAAAACGGACTTTACCCGATAAGTACAGTATTCCATGACCCGATATTTGGTATGTACTGACCCTAATATGATATGAGTCTGTCTAATTCATTAAAAAACATCTGTTTGGTACATTTTCGACTTGATATTACTTGTGGAGTCCTGTTTTTATGGCTGAGCATACAAAAACCAAAGCCAACCATTAACAATGTAGAACCATGCACGGTTGTGTACCGACCAAATTTTTACACAGAAGTTGAAGCAAATCAGTACATATGTAGACCTTAGCCAATACATATTTGTCCCGGGTCTCAGAATGATTTACCAAAACGTATTAGTGACAACAGTCCATACATATATCGTTAAAAAATAAAATCGGATATCAGGTAAAAACATATGAGCATCTGCAAAAGGCAGCATACTGCTACTGCATACTGCAGTGAAAAGAAGCTAATTGCTTTACGGCACATAAAAACCGTACACATGTGTACGGGGAACGGGTGCCGACTAAATAATTAATTTTTCTGCTTACCTACATTAGTGGAGCCCGCGACTGGATCTTTCTCTCGAATCCAATCTTCCTCGTCTTCAACATCCCTAAAGAACTGGTGCAACTTGTAAGCATCTGACAGTTTTTCACGGCGTTGATTTAATGGTTTCTGCAAATCGTAGTAACGTTGGGACAGCTGCCGCTGCTTCTCCTGGATTATGGGAGCATCAAAATGACCCTCAGAAGCAAATGTGTCAGCTTGGACTTTAAATGCTTCTATGCGCTCACGATGGGCAGCAACATCAGATTCTAGTAAGTTGAGTCTCTTCTGTGCATTCATTACTCCGTTAAGGTCTCGGCCAACATCTTCTGATGCGATTTGGGCTTCAACATCATCTAACCACAACTCGACATCCTCAACATTGCGGACGAATTGTTGTTGTCGACTGGCTTGATCTAAATTTTTCTTCTTGTTCGCCATAGCATTTATAAGATAAGACCAAGTCTCATCTAACTGGTCGATTTTTAGTTTTATTTCAGCTGAATTGCAGTGATTTGCGTTTAACAAATCTTGACCTGTTTTCTTAATATCTTCAACACGAGACTGGTTAGCTTGTATCTCAGCTTCGAAGTTCTGATGTTTTTGAACTTTTGTCTGTAAATTAGTTGAGTCTTTATAGCTTTCATCAAGTGCATTTTTTAGTTTTTCCGATATCCAAGATTGCATTTCATCGGCGTCACGATCAAACATCTGATAACGGTGAGAATCTTCAAGACGCTGACGGCGCCTCTTAGCTTTATCCTTTAAGGCTCTTCGTCTATCTTCCAAAGAATGCTGCAACTCTGTGACCTGTGCAGCAGCGTAGTGATTCGTTTCTATAAGTTTCTTTGCCAACTCATCAAAATGATGCATCTTTTCCTCTTGAGCTAACAACGACTTCTCAAAATCTTCGTGCTTTCTAATAAGTGCCTCAACGGAATCGAGAGAATCGCCAACATCCTTGATTTCCAAAAGTGCTTCTTGTTTTCCGATCCAAGACTCTGACTGTTCTGCATCCCGATAGAAATACTGAAGACCCATACATTGTTCTAGTTGCTCGCGTCTCTCTTCACATAGTTCCAGAAGGGCAGCTTTTTCTCTTTCCAAATTGGAAAGCTTTGCAGCGATTTCCCCGCTAGATGGATGGCCAACATTGATCAGTGCTTGACCCTCTAACATGCACGTGTCGAAACTATCGTTTCGCGAGTTAATTTCCGCAGTATATTCCTTATGGCGTTCTACTTGGGCCTCAGCACCAGCCACATCCTTTGCTAGGTCATCAGCAGAGATCAACCCTTTCATGTCTGTCATCCAAATACTAAGGTCTTTCCAATCGGCGAGAAAACGCTGCATCTTGAAAGACTCTTCCAGTTTACTTTTTCTATCCACAAATTGATTCTTAAGTTTCTCCCAAGCAGCAATTAAAGCTTCATATTTACCCTGAATTGTGTCTTTAGAGTCTGGATGTTTCTGTGCAAGAGCCAAAGCATCATCTCCTAGTTGACCAATCTTTTCATCCAAAGCAGCTAGATCCCTCTCCAAAGCGTCATGTTTCCTTTGCAGTGCTTGTACTGAAGCCAAGTCACGACCACAGTCTTCAATAGATAGAGGAATAGACTTTTCATTCACCCACGATATGGCTTTATCTGTATCCCGGAAGAAACGTTGTATTTCATAGGCTTCAAGAAGTTTATCTTGGCGCACCTTAGCCAGATTTTTTAAACGTTCTAGTGCTTCACGAACCTCACGTGACTTTTCTATTACCAAGGTGTCTTCAGGAAACTCCTCCTTCAAAAGTTCGTCTGCTTTGTGGTAAATGTCTTCTGCACGACTTTCCTGATACTCAAGATCCTGAAAAATATTAATCATAAAACAATGACAAACCTTCATAAACTCGTCAAATTTCTTCTGTAGTGCCTCAACGTGCTCTAAATCCTGACCGAAATCTTCAGAAGTTACGTAGGTCTCCTTCTCACGTGTCCAGAAAAGTATCTCATCAACCTGACGTAAGAACTGAACGAACTTAAGAGTCAGGTTAATGAGACGCGATTTTTCTCTGAACATGGCCATCAACCTTTCCCAAAGAGCGTGCAACTCATCGAGCCGGTTCTATGAATGTAACGTAGATACACAGAGAAAGACCTTACCTTAATAATCTCAGAAGCATAATGTCCTTGCCCTATCATCTCTTCACCCGAAGAATCTAAGGCTGATAGTGTCTCGGAGTGAGCTGTGACTTCGAGCTCAAAAGCCTGATGCTTTTGTTTTTTGGCCTAACCAAACGGTCAGTCATTAAATAATTTACCTGGAGGTTACTCAGTTCCTTGAAATCCTCATTTGCATAAGTTTGCAACTTTTCATTAATCCAGCTCTCAAGTTCATCAGCATCACGCTTAAAATACTGGTACCTTCGAAAGTAACATTTAGCCGTATTAGATATTACCTCTCAGCTTCCTCTAACTTATGACGACGATACTGAGTTGCCTCTTTAAATGCAGAATAGCGAGACAAAACTTGCTCACGACGTTCACGAATATCTTCAGGAGTTTCTAATATCTTCACCTTAGTTGGAGGCTCAGCCATCCTAGTCTATGAAAACGAAACCTGCTTAGACCTGGGAGAACAACGAAGTGGTGCAATTAAACACATGAAATTGTTTTATACGATTAGAGAAAGATAAGTTGAAATGAAAAGTAGAAGCACAATAACACATCACTTTTACAATTTTGATTCACTCATTTTGCCTCATATACAAATAATATGTAACACTGATACAAACCTACCATCCTCTTAGTACGATCACGCAAACTCAAACGTCTTGCGTATGCTTAGTGACATTACCTTTTGGCGTTGCTTGTTTTGCTTAAAAAAGTCCTAACCTCAGTTTCGCTTCATTTTCTCTTACTTCTCGACTTATTTTGGCTATAATTTTTCCAAGTTATTTGGAAATCTATGGTGGACGACCGGGCAATATAAAAAATTGCTAACGCCAAGGTTGGATATCCTATGGATGGTGTTATGCAACGCCAGACGAGCAGTGAGTTTTACCATGAGGTGTTTGCGAATCTAAAATTTTTAACTTTTAAAAGGTTTAATAAACCTGAATGTGTGTGGTTGTGCGAACGGTGCAGCTCGGACGCAAAGAGCTTGCAGTAGTTAACACTACTAAAAGTAGCGTAAGCAGGCCCAATTCTGCTGGACCAAACTACAGTGAGTCTGATGGTGGTTGATCTATCGTTGCACAAATCGTAAGGCAGTCGTCTCAAGTGTGATGAAGATCGACTGATTCACGTGAGCGTATGAAAGACCGACTTAAAAGAGGTCTGTAAGGAACTCAAGAAAGTAGCTTTCCTCGGCACTTCAACAGAACCGTAAGGCTGGGTCCGTTTCCCAACAGGAAAAACAATAAAAGTTATGACCTGGTTAGTAAGTTATTGAATTTTCTTTGGAATCTCACAATGTGTGTAATCCAACTAAAATCGCTACTCCATGTACTACCGATGAATGGATACTAAGTGAGAGTAAGAAGTAACCTAACATCACAAGAGAAACACGGTTTCCTTAGCCGTAGTTAGCAATCGGAGAGTGACCACAGTAACAGGCCAGTTATCTTTGATAGTCAAGACAAGCAAACTTTCAAAGCTTTGGGAATGGCACTGAAGGGCTAAAAGGCATACTTGGACAGCTAAAACCTGAAGATACCTCTGACATCACCTTGCTAAAGGCTTATAGACTAGGTAGCTAGACAGACTTAAAAAATAATTGGACCAGGCTTCTAAAGATAGTATTTAAACACCCCCATGGAAGGGATATAAAAACACAAAATCGATGTAAACTGAAGAGATAAGGAGTCACTGTCCTTACACACCTTGTCGCTTACTGACCTTATGAAAAAACGAGAAGCTGAAAGTGAGCTGAAGCTAAGATTAGGTGCCGATGAAAAGGACATGTGAACTGTAAATTTCGAGTAGTGAAGCGTCGACTGAGAATACTATCGACGGTAATTTGGGTCCATCATGAAACTTCTTGAATGACCTTTGTATCTGTTACACGAATTTCAGGAGCTTCCTCAATAAGCAACCAAAACCGGGTGTGCAGATTGATTTTATCAAGTCAGATGTGTTCGCCACCATAGAAGTATATTGTAGATAATAGGAAACTTAGTTTTGGGAATTCAAGAGAACTCGGGAGCGTAAATAAATAGCAGCTTTGTTTGTTGGAAATACTGTTCCCATTACCATTATCCCATGAAAGTCGGGCTCACTAATTAATTAGTTTCTGCTTGTAATTCGAGGTACGAGAGCTGCTAATTTGTTTGGTTTACCTCATCCCGGATTGTTACGTAAATAAAATTTTTCTCGGCGGTTTCAACTCACGTTCTTCAATTTGTTGGTGTTTAATTTTAGGAGACGTCAATTCACCTACTATAGACTGGATTGAGCTGTTCAAAAATTCTTTTGAACATAGTCAGTTGACGTGGTTATCATATGTGCCCTGGCACAACATGTGAGAAGAGCGGCTAGACACAACTTGGACTCCAAATCATCTTTACTGTACCTCATATTAATTCGTAATGGAGATGAGGTCACCACTAGGTACGACTGACCATGAAGTCACAAATTTTTATTTTCGTATGGTTATCAACAACGATGTGTTAGCCCAAGCCAGACTAAACGCTTGAAAAGTAAATACACATTAAATTATGCACTCAGCATCCTAAGTAGATTGAACAATAGAACCATAAGTCTTTGGAAATTTACACATAAAAGTTATAACACCTCACGTTATTGAATTATAACAGGGAGTCTGAGAAGCCCCCAATATGATTCAGTAAGGAGGTTTGTACGCTTCCCAGTAGATAGAAAAAGATAAGGAAGAGATTTAAGTTACTGTTTATTGATGAGGTAGAAGTCTCAATACCAGGAAGCAAAAAAGCTTTATGTAGGCGAATCTAAGGGATCCGGTGAAGTGCATCTTACATTACAAAAAGAGCTATGAAAGTTTATCACGAATCACATAAGAACATGTATAATTCTATTTGTAACCGAGGGCAAATTACCGAAGAACTAAAACAACTCTGTAGTAATTGTTATCATTCAACCAGGTGTGGGAACTATCGGTCCATAAGCCTAGCCAGAGCGATTTGTAAGGTTCTACAAAAAATTATTCGAAATGACTTATTCCAGTATCTAGGCGAAAACTTGATTTTTTCTTAAAGACAGTACGGTTTGAAAACAGGTTGTTCATGTCTCATATACGTATTAGTAGTCCGTGAAAGTTGGCGTGCTCTGAAATATCATAGGCTATCTACAGATGTGACCTTCGTCGACTTCAGTAAGGTTCTCAACAGTTCCACATAACAGGGTGCAACTTAAGATCAGTGATATTGGGAATGGAGGTAAATTGTGTATTTGAGTAGACAATTTCTTAGTTGGGCGTCAACAAAACAAAAACAGATCATCGATCGTCGTCAAAGTTGACGACAACCAACGGGCATAAATTAATCGGATGCCATGGACTTTCCAATGCGGTGATAGTTTCATTAACTTGAGTACGTACTCAATCATTCGATATAGATCAACTACTTTGGTAATCTACACTCCATATGTTTTAGAATATACTCATTAGTATAAGAATTAACAACTGAAATATGAACAGACTCACCTGGTTCCTGTAACTGTATTAAATTGACCTATCGGTTGTGTGTACTTATGAAGTGTTGGTTACTACCTGACTGATATGACTTAACCTATCCATTCTTCTTAGGTCACGTTTTGATCTTGTAAATTTTTCGCTTATCAACTCTGACTATTTTTATGTAAGCGTATGTGTGAGAATTTGTTATTTGACAAATCATATGTCTTTAACTTAATTATGTTCGGCTATGAATATTGACTAACTCTTGATTAAAGGGACTTGGTTCACATGCCTTCTCCACAGCGCATCATTTTGTTTCTCTTCGTTCCTGTGATCGTATGCCTGGGTCAATGATTGTACAAAATATACGCATTCGAAACTTTTTCTTGCATTTGAGTTATCTCAATTCCGTTATTCACCAACGCGTGTTAAGTCGATGATTATATACGAGGTTAGACGTCATGTGTACTACAATAACATCCACACCATCCAATCGGAGTCAAATCAGGGTCCACTATATTTAAATCCTTGATATCTAGAACTTACACCATAGATTTCCCGACATTCTCCACCACAATTCCCGTAGATGGTCGGAGATCATTACCACGATAACATGTATCTTATGCAGACTCCAAACACCTCATATACGAACGAAGAATCCCTCCTTTCAAAAGATTTGTTGGAGTCTCTTACGTTACCGAATGTCTAAAATTTCTATATTGTAGTAGAAATTAATCTATTCCACCCTCCAATCCATCAAATCTTGAGGCAGCAATAAAATAAATAGCGATTTTTAAAGTCCTAACAAATTTTTCCGCCTCACCATTAGAGTAAACTTGCCCGTGAGCAGTTAACAAACATCTACACTGTAAAGTGTCATCGATAAACGAATCAACGAATGATAAAGTGAAACACCCACCACCGCATTAACTTTCTTTAAACTGATATGGCTACGCCTCGTTTATTCACCACTCACAGGCCATTATCAGTCACTAACACTATGGGAATCGCATCTCGACTAAATACCCTTCTTAATGTTCGGATTGTGAATTCCAAATTTGATGAAGTTTTGAAAAAATTCAGACCAATTGGGAAACGAATCAATAACAATATGTGCATAGTATCTGCCAAGAAATGAACCACAGTAGTTCGCATGAATTCTCTACCAGGCATCAGATAATACTGATCATGGAGTCCAATTCGAAGAGAGACTTTTCAACTTATAACACTTTCCAAAATCGTTTGCCACACGACATATATCCGCATTTATCTCCGGCCACCAACATGTGAGCTTTGCCAGGAACTTCATCTTGTCAACAACCAAATATCCACTATGACGATCTTCATGAACAGATTCACGTAATGAAGAAACAACAGCAACACTATCATTAAGACACAGAACACCATCTGGAGTAGTGGTGAGCTCGTACCGCCTTGAAAAACAGGCAGGAAATCTACGTGTCATATTGGCATTCCAACATTTTCGTGTGGCACTGAGTACACATCTAAAGTATCGACGGGTTTATTTGACGATATCTTGATGTCTCACTGGTAAACATTGCAATAACAAACGGTTTGAAGTATTGACAGATCTATCTTGTAATGATTGCCGATAAATATAGTCAACTCATTGAGCTTATTTGGCACCTCTTTGATGAATCGTATAGTCATAGGCAGACAAAGCAATACTCCATCGTTGAACCATGGCAGATGACGGGCGTGCAATGGAGTTTTCAGGATGATAAATGAACATTAAAGCTTCATGATCTGTAACAATAGTCAATTTCTTTCCAAATAAATATTAATGAGGTCTTTTGACGGTCCAAATCACAACTAGTGCTTCGCGCTGAGATTGAGAATAACTTTTCTCATCAACACTAATTGTGCTTGAAACACAGATAGCTGGTCTGAATTCCTACCCCTAAACCGTACCAATGCCCACAGGTGATGCGCCAGTGATAAGTACAGAGTGTACACTGGGGAGTAAGTTCGAGGAATAGCATCACTTTGAAGATAATTCAGTGGACTTCGTAAGCATGACTCTTGTTGCTGACCCCATTTAAGCGTATTGGATATCAAAATATTAAGTAAACAATTGGCACAACGAGAAAAATCAGAGATTAAACGTGAATATATTGAAGATCACCCACTAGTGAATGTGAATCTGTAAGATTTTTCTGAATTGGTGCATTTGTCAGTGGAGCTAGTTGTTTCATATCTGGTCTCAAACCATTACTATCAACTAGGTATCCAAGACATTCAAAACTAGGTACACTAAATGAACACTTATTTGAATTCACCGTAATATTCTCAATTAGACGACGCCAAAAAGCAATAAGTCTCCGGTCACGAACTGCCTTATCAGAACCATGAACCATGTGCCTATCTGGAAAAGAAAGAATATCCTTCAGATGCACCCTGTGCTGCTTATCTTCATAAACTGGAACACATGTGCTATAAATTTGATTTTGAATGGGGTCGCAAAGTGGAAGCTTTCAGTATGGAAGAAGTGGGACTTCATCCTAACACTTTGGTTATTCAAAACTATGCGAATTTATTTATTTAAATGATCGAACAGATAGACTACGTACTAGAGCTATTCTCTGTCATATTTATCATTTAGCTCTTTATCTGCAATGGTTCAAAGCTCGTGACTTGATGCTTATGTCTGATTTGCAAATGTCAGTTGAACATGCTGGTCAGTCAACCATGATTCTGTATAACCGTGCCATGGTTCAATTAGGCTTATGCGCTTTCCGTCAGTCCCATATTCGTGATGCACATAATGCTTTAGCCGATATGATAGGATCTAATCGTATTCGGGAACTACTTGCTCAAGGTCTTCATACTCAGTCTAGATATGAGAAAACTACTGAGGAAGAGAAGCGTGAACAAGCCTTGCAGATGCCATATCATATGTATATAAATATTGATCTAATAGAATGTGTCTATCTGGTATCCGCAATGCTTTTGGAAATTCCAAATTTAGCAGCTCATGAAACGGATTTACGTTGGCGTCCTATCAGCAAACCGTTTCATCTTGCCTTACGTGTTCATGATCGTGCTGCATTAGTTGGACCACCTGAAACACCAAGAGACCATGTTCTAGCTGCTGCTAAAGCTATGCGTTATGGAAATTGGAAAGCTTGTACTAATTTTATCATTAATCCCAAAATGGACGCTAAAATTTGGGATTTATTATTTGAATCGAATAAAGTAAAACAGAATTTAGAAATCAAAATTAAAGGAGAATAATTACGCAGTTTTTTATTCACTTTTAGTGCAATACATGATTCAATGACATTAGATCGTTTATCTGTGAGTTTTGAATTACCGAAATCTGTAATTTATTCAGTTATTTGTCGAATGATCATCAATCAAGAATTAGCTGCCTCTTTGGAAGTTCCTAGTGATGCATTAATAATGCATAAGACAGAACGTTCACGTCTTCAGGCTCTTGCTTTACAACTAAGTGATAAAGTCAATAGTATAGTTGAAATGAATGATAAACTAATTGAATCACGTACTGGTGGTTTGTCCGGTTTGAAAGGTTCTCAGTCCTATCAAGGAACACGTCGTGTGGGGGCTCGTTACGCATTGAATAAATTTAAATGAAAACATGGCAAATTCATTCGAGATTGACTGATAATTTGTTGACCTATCTCCTAGTACACTTTGCAGATTTCACACACCTATCTGTTTTATTGTTACTATAATCTTAACTTAAGCTTTGTGAGCTACATATTACAAATGTTATCTAGGTATGATCCTACGTATGCTCGTAGAATGTCAGTGAATTCAATCTTGAAACCACCTTGACCAACTCCAACACCTTCAAGATCACTCAATACCATATTAATCACTACCTGGTGTGGATAGAGAACAACTTAGACCGAACGGAAGGAAATGAAGTTTGAATAGGCCACAAGGAGTGCTAATTGTCGTCAAAATAGATGAAGATTGACCTAAAAGGTATTGAAGAAATATTAGGATCCAAAGATTTCAAGTTCTTGAATGAAATAATGGACTCTATACTGCTTGTGTCAATAGTAATGTCATGAAATGAACCAAGATTATATATATATATATATATATATATATATTATCACCTTAGTATATGAACATTGCTCTTCAAAATCGTGGATAAAGACAAATGATCATTAAGGCACCCTGAATAATGGGATCTAAATTAAAAGCTTTAGTATTACTTGCAGAAAAATCAAGATAACACTTGCATACTGACTAAATTAGTCATATGTTATCACATTTAAAACATTTAGCAATACGAAATGAACATGAAATACTTGAAAGAAATTTTCCACAGAGTAAACATTTACCAAACACGTGCTCACAGTTGTGGTCTGCTTTGCAACTCCTTGTTGAGTCGCCTTCCATATTTTCACGACAATAGGAATCACTATTAAGCAAACGCAAGTTTGATTGACCATGACAGTGTATTTCATCATCACGACTGAGCAAAGTATTAGAAATTCTCACCGACTGGTTATCAAGTTCATTCACCGTCAAATAGTTGACACATGCAGTTCTATCATCTTGGAAAGAACAGTTCGGCATTTTAACAGCACTCTTTCCAGATATTGTGTGCTAGCTCTTGCAATCAGTCGATCCCTCAGCTGGATGAAGTTGATTATCGAATTTGCACTTCTAAGCTTGTGTTTGAAATCCAAGGATGAATTTCCTAACCCTCTGGTTATTCTGACGAATCATCCTGTGTAATTCCGCTGACTCACGACTTCCAAAACTGGTGCACTATACATGACTTAATAGTAGTTCCTCGAAGTGAAGTGACATAGGCTTTTGTGGAAATGCCACAGTTTTTAATAAACTGTAGGCTTCTTTTCCAAACAATGTGAGGAAGTGAGCGACAGTTTTATCAACCTTCACATCTTTCTTGGTCAGGCTCCAAATTTAGAATATTTCTATAAAATCTTTAAAAGCTTCAGAAATTCTGTGTATGTTCATCTATTCTATCACAGGCTCCATCGTGTCGCCAATGTGATGAGTAGAAGTATTTGAATTACTAAACGAACTATGAATCCCAGAAGAACTAGGTGAGCACGAAGGAAACCAGGTAGTCATCAAATACAAGGGAATTATTAGTTCGTACATACATCACACAAAGAAGAGAAACGGAGAGAATAGACAGGAACAAACAAACAATCGGAGAAAAGAATTGGGGCTAGCAAGTAGAAACACGTGGAATACCCAGCAACAACATCGAAACAACGGCAGGAAATGCTTTCAGACAAATATGGAGAACTAAAGCGACTAGTCAAAAACTAAAGAAGCAAACCAATCACTGAGATTCGGTAACTGTTGAACAGGTGGGCGAAGAACTTCAGAGCTCTTAAAACGACTGGTTTTACAAAATCCACTTGACACTGAGGCAGTATGCACCCCCTGAAGATGATACCCTTTCCACAAAATAAGAAATAAATTTGACCATCAGATGAATTAAGAGTGGGAAAGCAGCAGGACCTGACAATATACCAGCCGAAGCACTAAAGTCAGATATAGAAGTGATTGGAAATATGCCTCACACTCTATACAGGAAGATTTGAGAGGAAGAACAAGTGCCGACGAAATGGAAAGAAAAACAACTCGTCAAGACACTAAAGAAAGGAGATCTGAGCAAATGTGAAAACTACAGAGAAATCACACTACAATCGTTACCAGGAAAGGTTTTCAAGAGTGTTGCTCAACAGAATGAAAGATTCAATACGCTCACAGCTTTGAGATCATCAAGATGGATTGCGTAATAATCGGTCGTGCTCGGACCGAATCGCGGGAACATTAACCATTGGTGAAAAATAAACCAAATTAAACTCGTAATTATCCATCAACTTCCTTGACTATGAGAAAGCATTTGACAACGTGGATAGGAGAAACTCATGGAATTCCCTTTCACATTGTAATGCTGTAAATCGCCAACGTAGGCGATCTGTGTTGGTGGTTAGGTGCCTCTTTGAGTTGGATGGGAATGGCATGACCAATCACCTTTGTTGAAGTCATGCCTCACAGACAATATCTAACGTAGATTACACTTTCATCGTATCCAGGCGCCATGGATACTTTTGTAGCGTGTGATCGGGCTGAGATTAACTATGAACACCGCTACAAAGAAACACGTGCCAAGTTAATCAGAAGGCGAAGGTAGAACGTAACCAAATAAATCCATCAGATCTCCGAGAAGCCAAATATCAGAAGGCAATTAATGGACCAAATCGAGATATATATTTACTGGCGATCTCGTGGTATCGAAAGGATACCGAGATCGTGCCAGGATACAAGCTTGGTTACAGAACATAACCGAATTCGCGCGAAGTTACAATCAAAGTGTAAGTAAAAGAATGGAAGCACAAAATAGCTGTCATTAGCACAGTCAAGCAAAAGCACATTAAAACAAACACTGGTACAGTTGGTTATAATAATGATTGTTTTTATTAAACCAGTCGTGTTCTCGTGATAAATGTGAGTCACTACACTTTGATGACTGTGTAGCGTGGCGTCGAGTTGAGATTAACTATGAACACCGCTACCAGGAAACACGTGCCAGATAAATCAGAAGGCGTAAGAAGCTCGTTCCAAATGACTCCATAAAATCCCCGAGAAGCCGAATACCAGAAGGCAATTAATGGACCAAGTCGATGTTTATTTGCTGGCGATCTCGTGTCATCGAAAGGATACCGAGATCGTGCCAGGATACAAGCTTGGTTACAGAACGTAACCGAATTCGCGCGAAGTTACAATTCAAGTGTAAGTAAAAGAATGGAAGCAGAAAATAGCTGTCATTAGCACAGTCAAACAAAAGCACGTTAAAACAAACACTGGTACAGTTGGTTGTAACAATAATTGTTTTTATTAAACCAGTCGTGTTCTCGTGATAAACGTGAGTCACTACAGGAGCCCCCCGCTAGAAAGGGTTTACACTTTCGATAAATAGCGGTTTGAATCGTGGGACTGATCGGCTGATGAGCGATTGTAGGACGGAAGAATTGGCGAACAGGAAAGCGATCGCTGATCGTCGAGTTGCCAACGAAGGTCGTTATCGGAGAACGGTACCAGGAGCGATGTGTTGTATTTATTGCTTGAGTTGGTATGCTACACCAGAGTGGTTTGTATCCAGAATCTGAAGAGGGCGTTCGTAGAGGTGCGCACCAGAAACGCTGCAGACGTAGGACGAAACCACGTTGAGCCAAAAGCCAGAAGCGACCGTTACGACCAAGTTCGTGACCAAGCGTGTGCCAAGCATTCGAAACCAATGTATCGACTGAGTGCGTTGACAAGAGCATGGGTGATCAGGCCAGCTTTCGCCAAAGTTGACTGAAGTCGACGGAACCAAACGGGGATGGTCGAGGGCGTGGGCTCAGGAAACAAAAAGAAAATCAAAAAAAGAAGAGTGTAGCATACGTGTAGTATAGGAATAATCCTACACCGTATCGGTAGTTGACTGTGCGACTAGTCGCGGAAGCGTACGGGTAACCGTACTCGGCGACCGGAACGTGAGACGGCAGTCTCGTTCGTATTTCGTGAGCCTGCAATCTCATCCGAAGTCAAGGGCGGCGTGGTCTGCTGATCTGGACGTGAGACTGTCGTCTCGTCCGTAGACGGTGCAGATGACGCGTGCTGTTGACTGGGACGTGAGAATGAGGTCTCAGATGCATCTAGCGTGGGACCTGAAGAAGATTTAAGGATCCCGCTAGGTGTGATAGGTCTAGCATTGAATCTCAGGGTGTCAGATAGGGCACTGTCATCGACGTGTGCTGGTTTGAGACGATCAATGCTGACGATCTCGACGCGTCCATATCGATCAACCTTGAAGGTCTTTTCGTGACGAGCGATCACGTGAAAAGGGCCTTCGTAAGGTTGTTGCCAAGGTTTGCGTACCGAATCTACTCGTACAAAAACATGTGAACAGGTAGATAACTCTCGAGGGAGAGCGACCTGTCGATGTTGTATTCGAGTTGACACCGGAGGCAGCGTTCGCATAAATGCAGACAGTCGATGGACGTAGTCTGATTTACCGAAATTAGGTCTGCTCCGTGGTGTGAAGAATTCTCCGGGCAGACGCAATGTCGTGCCGTATACAAGTTCAATGGCGGAACATTGGATATCTGCCTTTAAGCTCGTTCTCGCCCCTAAAAGAACGAGCGGTATGGTTTCGTGCCAGTTGCCGTTTTCATGTGCTCGTAGAACACTTTTAAGTTGGCAGTTAAACCGTTCAACTTAACCATTTGGTGCTGGGTGGTAGACGAATATGCTTATGCGTATGCATTCCGTACCAAGCAGCCGGGTCAGCGAGGAGAATCGTTAATAGGATAACATTTCTCGAATAAAGCGTGGAATTCATCATCACGCGAATAAAAAGTGACAAGGATTCGGTACACATACGTGTGAGTCTATTATATTAATACTATTCTTATCGTTATCCGTCATGTCGCGTATATTATATATTAAAAATATGAAAATATACGACAGACGTGGATAGATAAATCATAGACTCACCGAATTGGCTTCTTTGGAAGATTTGATCAGAAGTTGAGGCGTGTTCCAAAATACGGCTCACCAATTGTAGTCGAATTGGGATTACCAATTGTAGCGTGGAGTCGAGTTGAGATTAACTATGAACACCGCTACCAGGAAACACGTGCCAGATAAATCAGAAGGCGTAAGAAGCTCGTTCCAAATGACTCCATAAAATCCCCGAGAAGCCGAATACCAGAAGGCAATTAATGGACCAAGTCGATGTTTATTTGCTGGCGATCTCGTGGCATCGAAAGGATACCGAGATCGTGCCAGGATACAAGCTTGGTTACAGAACGTAACCGAATTCGCGCGAAGTTACAATTCAAGTGTAAGTAAAAGAATGGAAGCAGAAAATAGCTGTCATTAGCACAGTCAAACAAAAGCACGTTAAAACAAACACTGGTACAGTTGGTTGTAACAATAATTGTTTTTATTAAACCAGTCGTGTTCTCGTGATAAACGTGAGTCACTACAACTGTATAACTAAAACATAACGTCATGGTAGAAATTTGTTGGTAAGAACAGACACAAGAACGAATCGCGATTACAGTTGCATGGACCAGGCCATGATGTAGAACTGACTGGTGCGCGTCAGTTGTCTTTGGCCTTGACGAGGATCGATAGACTGATCGACATTCAGTGACCCCATTACCGAACGACTTGGCTAGGGCCAAGTGATATTTCATGACCCTACAGAATAACTTAGAAGATTTCCGATATTGTGAGGAGCTTACACGATGGACTACAGTGAAGATTCATTCACAGAGGACAGCTGGTAGATGCATTCCAAGTGGGAACTGGTGTCAGACAAGGCCGCTTACTTTCAACCTTTCTCTTCTTGTTGTTGAATGAACTGTAAACATCGGTTAACATCAGCGAATTCACACTTGATGAGCAAGCTCCGAAAGCGGTACAAAACTTTTACGTATGTGGTCAGCATCCTTGAGGAACAAGGAGATCTGATACAGATGTGAAGTTACGAATTAGCAAAGTAAGGCCAGGATTCTTACAGTTGAAAAATGTATCGAACTAAAAACAACTATCAATCAATATCACAGTGAGGATCTTTAATACGAACGTCAAGATAGCTCTACTGTACGGAGCTACAACTACTGTGCCATTACAGGGTTCTTTCGTAAAATGTGAAGACCATACATTAAATACTTCATTTACAAATCCTCCATCAATTGTCTTTTATATCCTTTATGACTTGCAATTCTGAATTACTTTATGCTTCCCTCTCTGTTTTCTTCAGTTTAACCTTCAGTTACCAGGCATTCCATTTCAGATTGGTGTTACTTTTTAAGAATCTTATGAAGATGCTTCAGAAGGTAAATCAATAAGAAAAGAGTCAAATCTACATAGGTAAATAATATGACCTCCATTTATATCGTTAGTTTTGAGTCATAATAATAGAAAGTTTATAAGATTGACATTTTTGTCACCTCACTAGCTATTGTACATAGATTAATCTCAGCGGACTTATAGGAGATTTCACGATAGTTAGTGTGCTTGGTTGAAGAGATTATTTTTATGATAAATGTAAAACATACTCTTGTTTTTCGATTAAATGAATGTACAAAGGGTGTAGGTTATCACATTACCAACTCGATGATCAGTTTAATCTGATAGGCTGATTCACATTAAACTGATTGTGGATGTTTATGCACCACTAAGGATAAATTTTAAGTGTATGACCACATATATTAAAAAATTGTGATCTGTTTGAGTGCTATTGTAATATGTGCTCAGTTTATCTATGGTCACACTTTTTCCAACTAAAATAACTATTTAATTGGTTGTAAGTCTGATTAGTTGAATTCCACGAGAAGCATTGTGATTGGATGTGGAATTCTTATGAAATTTATGATTTTAAAGTCAGATATTTTCAAAAATTTTCTGGAAACCATTTCACTGGTGTTTAAAAATAAATTTTCTTAAGCTACTTCGGTACATAATGAGTTAAAATCACAGTGTTGATGGATAACTCTATACTAACCAAATATTTTAGTCACACCATATAATAAACAATAAAATGTAGTAAAAGGTCAAATATTGATCAATAAATTAATAATGTAGAAGTAGAATATTATGAAGAGTATAATATGTGAAACGATTTAGGTTGCAAATTTAAAGAAACTAGTATTATTTGTTATCAACTGAGTTTCTAACACAATCAGTTCATTGAATTGTTAAACTGATCATTTACGAATTATGTTTATAAGACATAATGCAAACTAGTATTCCTTAGATATGAGCAAACATTCTGACTGTACTTTCACTTGACTAATTACAATCTCATAATGATAATGACCAGAAAATATAGATTACCTACAGGATGAAACTCTCACGACTTCTGCATCAACATGTACAATATTGGCAATACTGTGCGGAAAAACTAAACCATACGTTCAGTCATCATAGACTCTTGCATATTTGTATTAGGATATATTTTTTTAGTCCTTAATCAAGATTGAAATAAAAAGTTAACGTCTGTTCTGTTAACACACGTTGTAAAGTTCGTAAGCTTGAACACCGTCTAAGTTGTTGATCACGCCACTTAGTTCTTCCAAATTTGTTGAGATAACATCCTCCTGTCACGATCCCTAAAAGGCTTCTTTTACTTATTGCTCGTTTGGAGAAATGTAAGAACGGAATAATCGTTGCGAGAGTTTCTCGACTGAGGAAGGCGAAACAACCTGGCATTGCCATGAAATTCGTGTTGTGAGTGCAACAATTTTACAAAAAAATAAGTATTAGTTGTTTGTTTTATAGGTTCCATCTAAACGGAAAGCATAAAGGTAACGATACGTTAGGTTCCGTTGCCAAATAATTATTACTGCAACTTATTACCTCTATCTGGCCTATATTCTCAGCATGTACACAAGTAGTTACTGTAATTTAGGTGTTAGATGAGTAAAATTACATCAGGATATGAATCTTCTAAACCAATGAATATGAAATTACTGCAAGTGAACAAAATTATTCAAAGGAGCGGAAACTAATGATTATTTATGTCATAGTATTGAACATTCTACTGGTATGACGCAACATTAACTCCAATTGTTTGCTGAAGAATCCTAACCACTTTTTTTAAAATTGTTTGCAATCAGTATTCTTAATCTCCCATAGATAATATATGCTTCCGAAATACATTGGTGAATATATACGTATGTATTGTTATTTGTAATATAAAGATGTAAATATGAGTGAACAACTAAAGATAATGAAGTAACAAATCGATAGTAATAACAATTTATGATAAAGTATCAATTGTTTATTTATTCTTTATAGATTTTTACGTTTATCATAGTTGGCACTTAGCATTTTACAACCATGAACTAATTTTCGTATTACCGCATATTCAGTACCTGATCTGTAGATTTACATAATAAGCTCAAATGTGTTTTTATAATGTTACTTGTGCTTGCAGAGATCATACTAGCCTCACACTACTTTTTTCAACAACCTCTTTGAGTATTAAGTTTAACAGATTGAATATCAATAATTTAATTTTACAACAATTTGTCATCACTGGAGTAAAACAGTTCTATCAGAACCATCTACCAAGCCAAATAAATCGATATCACAAGGCGTTCAAAACAGAATCAAATGCACAACTGAAAATTCAGTAGTTCAACAATACAGATTCATATTTATTCAACCACGGTCATCGAATGCTTCCCAATTTTTTTCTACAACAAAAACTATTTTCTTCTTCACATTTTCACGTCTACTCAGTGAACAACCAATAATTGATCATTAACCACTTGACAAAAGACTACTACTATTATTGTGGAATATGCTACTTATATCGACATAAGTAGTATATAACACCAATCAGAAGTGGAATATGTCAGATAAACAAATATGCGATTCAATCCACATATAAAATTTGATAATATTCACTTAAAATAAGATGAGAGAAAAAGTAAATCTATACATGATTAAAATGAAAACAATGATATTTAACAATTTTATTTTTTCCGGGAAACAAGTAAAAAAGAAAATGGAAAATAAATGTAATTAGTATGTATCTGTTTGATGATAATAGTTTGTAAATAATAGCAAATTGAAAAGAGGTTCAGATCTCTATTGTTCAAATATTTATTCTCTTATGATTAAAATAATTTGTTAAACATTTCTATGTATATTTCATTTGTTTAAGAATTTGTGCCTTTTTTTAACTGTACTGTGTGAACGACGAAAAAACGCTGTCTTCCTCTACTTTCATTCGACCAAAACATATGATCTGTAATAATTGAAATGAAAAGATAATGTCTATATATGATACAAATTTCTATTATTCGACGCACACAGACAAATATATAGAGAGCAAAAAAATTACAAAGCAATTAAAGATAGATGAATTAACTGACAACTAGTAACGAATAATGTACTCCAAATTTGATTGTTGGCCGTTCATTACTACTAATATTCAGCTAACTCTAAATTACATAATTGATTTGTGTTTCTTGTTAGATGACTCAGATTAGCATACAAATGGATTGACAATGAATACTAGCTGATGAGGGATTATCGCAAATAACCTACTCTTCTAAATTGGTCGGCTATTAATTACGGCGGTAACATTTTCTTCAGATGTTTATGCTGACATACAAATATATATGTAAAGTAACTCCGAGTATTTTTTTTCCGTAAAAAAGTCACTAACTTCAAGTCTGAGCCATGTTGGTAGATGCAGACTACTTGGTTGGGTCTGCGTGACTCGTAACCAATGGTTGGAGACTCTGGGTGACATGGCTCAGAATCGATCACAATGGCGTATGTGTATACACTCTCTGTCTTCCTTTAAACTGAGATTAAAATCGCTTCATATGTTTCTCTCTACGAACTAATTATTTCTTCCTGTACTATGTCCTTATTTGCAATCTTCCTTTTATATGTTACCACAACTACCTTTATGAATCCGGTGCCCATCTTGTGTTAATGAGGTATTGCAACTTGGACAGATGCACATATGCTGGCTGATCCTACGTTGTAGCTAACTGACTAATTTTTTCCCATAGAATGGAGCTTAAATTGTATCATGTTTTAATCAATTAAATATATATTTACATTTCAGTGAGTTTTTTTCAATGAAAATGGGAAAGTGAGTATTCTGTATCTGAAACAGCAAATTATTATCTACGGAATCATTCAGTTAACTACATCATTAATTTTTAAGGGAAATAAACAAAATAGATAATCATTTTTCGTCAACTTACTCGGCCTCGATTATGTTGGTTTGTGTAATCTTGACGATAACGATGAAGAAGATTGCAAAACTCTTCATTTTTTAACGCTACATCGACATCATGAATAATTATGCCACAAATAAATGCTTGTTTCATTAGTAGAATTGATAAGTGCTCAACAAACAAATCTGTGTTGAAGAGGGACGTAAAACAATACAACTCATTTATTATTAGGTATATTTTGTTTACTTGAATGCATCACAACTTTTTGTGTTATAAAAGTTAGGATGTCCATTACTTAATGAGGAGAAAACGATTACAATCATCCTCTTAACGAAATATAATCTTTAATATGGATATATACTTTCATAGGTATATACAACAATTGTGCATCCTTCAATAAATAAATTACTTCCTTTTACACACACAAACTGGTTAGATTCAATTTTATGAAGTGCTTGTTATTATTCATTCTAGAACAAACGTTCGTTCGTGTAGTTAGTGGAGTAGTGAACGCTGCTGACAAGGTTGTTTGAAAGTAGTATGTTGCGGAACGTGAAGTCGAATATGCGACGACTGTCAAATGAAGTGGAGGATTTCAGTGCATGGAAAGCACAGTGGGGACGAGATACTTGGAAACCCCACAAGAAGACAGTTCAGATGTCAGAACACGCCGTAAAATGCAAGTGGAAGATTGAAGGCTATGTATAATGTATTGTATAAATACACACCTCTTGCCTAATGTCGTGTTTTACAGTAGGAGATATGAGTGATGCTTTAAATCTATATTATAACCTGCCTGAAGTTTTTCACATTCATGAGCTGAATCGATTACCTTTTTTACAGCGTTTATCTGTGATATCTCAGAGGAACAGTTAACCAGCTGCACGATGCACAATATTTATCACGTCAGACTTGTGAGACAGTAACTGTAGAGCTCCATGTAGGACTAGATTATTATAAATTTTTACTCGTTATCTGTACATATGAAATTAGATAGATAGACTGTTTTCACCGAAAGAGTTTCGATTTGTATTTGCACTGATAAATGCTTATTCGCAATATCATTTTTTCCATTTTTTATATAAACAAACACGATCATAGTGACATATCCCATATATAATGGAGATTAGAGAAAAACTACGGTTGGAAGAGATGGATTGTGCTATATTACACAATTAAAGTTCTATCATGAGTAATTTCTATATCGCACTTAGATTTGTTCAGCCTTTAGAATTGTCTTTTAGATGTACCGTTTTACATGAGACAAAGTGAGTATACTAATTTTTGCATTGAGTGAAGGCTGTCTCCATCGACTACACACTCTAATTAGACTCGAGTCAAAGAACTAAAATGCAGACGTTCACCCAAACCCGTATGAGTAAAGAAACTATAATTGACCTTGTATAGTTTGAAACAACTGTTGCAAATACTGAATATGAAGTGAATGGTTTCGACAAAATCAATAGGACAAGTGTACTCTCGTGAATAATTATAAATTCAGTGTTGACTGGATTCTAAATTGTGGAAGTATTTTGTACAATTCCACTTAACTAAAATCTTTAATACGGATTGAAATTTATTCAAGTAAATAAATACTATGATGAGATAAAACATAAATATGGATTTTCTATGTATGAATATCTAGAAGTTTGTAGTCACAGATAATGAATAATAGCTTTTTATCAGTTTTATTTTTTCAACTTTTTATAAGATATTTGCTGATATTGCGAAAAAAAGGAATTGTACTTGTTGGCAATCATAAGATATCTTATTTGATAGCGCGTAAAAATTACAATGTTTACCTAACCTGACAATTCCGATCGTTTCCGCTACCTTGACAGAGTGGTCAGGCTTACCTATCATGATAAATCAACAGTGCCATACATACTGGGACAATTGTTCCTCAAGGTCCAGAGAGGTCTGTTGAAGAGCGATAAGACTAAAAGTAGCAAACCAAAAGTCCAAGGGCGAAGTCATACCCTTGTTATTTGAAATATAATTTCGTTCCTGTTCAACCGTGTTCTGATTTGGGGACTTGTCGAGTGAAGTGGTGTCCAAGAATACTAAGCAACATAAATAACTGGGTCGTAAATAAGAGAAATTATAACAATACCATAATATCATCTACTTTTCTAATTGAGAGAACAACTAAACAGTATGTCTGTCCACTTTATACAAAAATGTGTGGCTCGAAGTTTCAATTCATGAGCCAACCGCTATTTATTGAACATTATTATTATTATTATTATTATTACAATAATATAATATCATGGTAACAAAAGCAAAACAAACTAAGAAATCCTACCAGAGGTTGTAAGTATCAAATCAACTTGTGTTAATTTTTTTACATCACAAGGTAAGTGAGCAATTTTTAAAGGACGTTGAGATGTATTATTGTCATTATCTGATCTATAATGGAAATAAAAACTTGGTCAAATTTTCTTTAATATACAACATGAACATATAAAAATGTAGAATTTACTTGATGTTATTCAAATACAATTGAATGAATTAAAATATAAATAAGTGAATAGAAAATATTCTATGCAATAAATTTAAATAATGTCCTACTACAATGATGAATTCAAATAAAACTGCAACATTTATAATTAGAATAAATATGGACAATTTTGAAGTGCATATGATAACCACGATCAGTCGCCGAAGACTTTGGGTGATATAGCTCATAATAGCAAAGATGCATTCACTCTTTATCTTCTTCTTGACCTTGAAATCCAGTATTCCTTCGTTAATACCTCCCCAATTTTTTTTCGAACCATATCCCTAATGTTCATTCTTTATGGTTATCCCTGTTACCATATTATTTTGATCTTTTCTGCTATTCATCCTGTTATTCTAACGAAATTTATTCCTACGCCATATGTGGATGATGTCACCTTTTCCTATAGGTAATGTAACGTGAGAAAAGAAAACAAAGAGTCCTACTAACTAGGTGATCTACAAAACCAATATTTCTCAACCACTTATTAATTTAATCTGGTTGGCGTTTTTTTAGCAAGACATTCCTACTGTACGGAGAAGAAACGTAGAGAACTACTACTACAACCATCATCAAGTAGGTACAAATATTTATAAATAGTTGTCCACACAAGATACTCAATATACATTGACCGGATACCATCAGGAACAGTGTACTGCACGAGAGGACAAACCAGATTCCAAGTGAAGAGGAAATCAGGAAAAGACGCTGGAAGTGGATAGAACATACATTATGGAAATCATCAAACTGCATCATGAGGAAAGCGCTAACCTGGGATCCCAAAGGAAACAGAAAAGAGGAAGGTTAAAGAACACACTGTGTCGGGAATTGGAAACGGACAATAAAACGATAAATAGCAACTGGAAAGGATTGGTCAGGACAGGGTTGGATGGAGAGTGCTGGTGGGCGGCCTGTCCTCATCGACGAGGAGTAACAGGTGTAAATAAGTAAGATTATTAAATAATTATATATTTTTATTGAATATTTCGTAAGTAAGCATCCGATATTAATAAAGGGAAAACTAATTTCGCTAACAACCCATAACTTTCGATGTTAGTTCATTCAGAGAAAGAGGTTGCCGGTAATTATTTTCTATGAAGTTATTAGCCGATGATGGCATCGTATCATTCTGTATTATTTATCGATTATTTATCACTTTAGCCAAATTTATCAAATAATCGACCGCGACTTTATTGGAGTAGTTAAGAGTGTGATGAAAGGTGAATAACTTGCGCAAAAATATAACAACTAAGGTAGTAATGTACGATTATTTTTAAAAAATATAGTCATAGAGAAAGAACCTACACATATTTAGCACACAAAGTTTTGAGAATTAAATTCGAATGGCTTTTGTGATTGTATTTGAATGATACTGAATATCGGGATGTGGTATTAAGAATAAAAATAGTGGAAAAAACTAATTCCCTTTCTTCTCCATCGCATATCAATAATTAGTAGTTATTTATAACTTGTATAACTGACGTTTCGTGACTCATTGTAAGCCATTGCCTCAGAGAATAAATAACCAAGTCAAAATTAATCCAAGTTTAAATAACACAAAGGAACAACGCAATAATATAATGTGCGATCAATCCAAAACAGGTCTGAACAAGTCAATGTCGTGTCATTTCAGTCAAGGTGATTTATAAGCGAACTAGATTTTATTACTGACGTTTTCATATATTTTCTTCTTTGACCTTTTCTAAATTTTTTGATTCGACGGTGTTTCGGTGAATTTAAATAATGTAATTCTAAATCTATCCATCTACCGAGAAGGTACATACTCAAATCGTTATATTGACTTAAATTTAGCACAATCATACAGTGCAAAGATCTCACTAGCCCTAAATCTTTTTAGAAGAGCTAACGAGATTATCATAATTGAAGACCATAAACAAAAAGAACAAAAGAATGTAATTAACATCTTAAAATTTAATAATTTTCATAGGAAAATTATTAGAAATGTATTAAAACGAGACGTTTCACTGTTTAATAATAATTCGAATGAAATACTATGGATTGGTACTGCAGTTTTACCATACCGTCATGGTACAACAGAAGAACTCCAAAGAATTTTAAAACAACACAGAAGTAAATTAAATTACAAAACATCGAACACACTTCGAAATACTTTAGTTTACTCAAAAGAAAAACTCCCATTTATGTCAACACAGAACTGAGTCTACAAATTAGGATCTGTCGATTGTGATGGCTTCTATATTGGAGAGTAATCACGTGAAATCTTGACTCGAGCCAAAAAATATATTAGGTACATGAAGAAAACACCTAATAATCTCGTAGAGCTGTATAAACTTCAAATTAAATCGACAATAGCAGTTCATGCCATTTTTAACAACCACCAAATCGATTTCAAAAACACCAAAATATTACAAAAACGTTTTTCCAACTACAAAGAAAGGAGAGTAGCTGAAGCGTTCTATATAATGCTTAATCCTAATGCGCTCAATAGAAAAGAAGGCATCACTACACATCCGACTTGAACTATCTATCCTAGCTATTATGTCTGATATTATTCATATTTCACATTATTATCCTACATACAAACTAAACTCTATCCTTTCTCACCACAAAGGTCACATTTTTCATCCCTGATCATGCACACATACACACAAATTTACGTACATTCGCTTATAAATCACCTTGACTGAAATGACACGACACTGATTTATGTGATACGGCAACCTATCCCGGACAAATGTCAAAAGGATTTGACCATCCTGACATGGGATCAAAACGCTAAGAACAAGTTACATAACACCAAGGAAAAAAGCACCATAGATGACATGGAATAGGAGAACGGAACAAGGATCGAGAGATTGCTGAATCTATGGCCAAAATTAATTCATGGATAACCTGTAAGCCAAATTAGAGACAGTGAAAAACTTTAACAATTTACAAGTTTCATAACAGGGTTATCGATTAGTGTGACTAGTAAGAATTAAGTCTTCAAATTAGAAATTGGAATAGGAATACAATCAATGTTTTCACCAAGTACTGACACAAGAAGCACAATAATCAAACTAAATAATTCGTCAAAAGGTAAGTAAGAAGGTTTCATCAACAACACGCTGCACACAAAATTATGAACCACAGAAGTAAATTTAGAAAGACAAGATTCGGAATGAAGAAAATCCTTCATTCTCGACATTAAGCAGAGTTAAAATTAGTTAACACATTTATTATTATTTATTTGAACACATAGATGTTGGTAATAAGAAGCAACGAATTCATATGTCTACATAAGTGACTTGATCTGCGTGTGGGTTATAATACTGTCCGGGCGCTTAAACAGATGCAGGTAAAACCTCAATCTCCGTAAACCCGGTTAAAGCGCCGGACATTCGCTTTGTGTACTCTCAACTTAGTGATCAACAACCTCGTCACCGAGTAGGAGTTCCCTGGCAGTGGCTGTAAACGCGAGCCATGTGAGAGCATTTGGAGAAGTGGAGCTAACTCTTCTTAACCTCGGCCGCACCACGGCATTTCGGGGGTCACCATTAAGCCACCAACACTAAAGAAATACTTGCTGACATTTATAGTAGGCAGAAAATATCTCACACTTTTATAAGATTCATAGTTTTACATTCCCAATTGTAGATACCTATCTTTCCAAAATAAGAATACCATTCAAAATATTACTATGGAATTCACACTGAGATACTTTTAGAAACACACTTACTGAGATCCAAATACAGAAATCGAGTTAGCTAAGGAACTATCTGTCTTGGGAAGAACCCATACTACCCAGGTAGGAGCAGAAGGACTTGACGAGTCGATAGTTGATAGATTTTTATTAGCTATCAGTAATGCATTTGCCAGATGTATCGCAATACGATCTCGACCGTCAAATGAATCCAACAACAAAACACAATCTTGATCTCCTTTCGCTGAATTCTCCAAAAGCTTAGCCTATAATAATGAATATGACAAATGTAGCAATAACCTATTGATCACAAGAAATATGTAATGCAATAATTCGATCTCATAGAAGTACAATGGAATTCATTTGACTGCCAAACTCTAGAAAATATAGTAGGAAACATAACTGCTAAAACTAAAGTAATCTTCAATAAAATAAATTTTCAAAACCCAATGGATAATACTATGTCTTTTCAAACTCTATAAGAATTATTTTGGCCAAGCTAGACGTTTCAGCACGTGTCAACTCCCCATTCTGGTTGCTTGGAAATAATAGGTAACTGGAGTTCCGTTGAACCGATCGTTAGTGTTCTGTTCATCGTTATAATCTCTTGAACTGAGAGTAGATCATGGTTCTATCTTCTTCAATCTCACTAACTATTGATTTTTTATAAGCCGTTTTCTTGATGAGTCGGTATAGTTGTCCAGTATTACCTATCACAATTGTCTTTTCCATCTATCTTGCTTTCATTAGCGATTCCTCCTTACGATCATTAGTTTTCGTTTAATTTGTCTTCCCTCTTCATTTTTCTCGAAATCCGATGAGTTCGTGCGCAGTCATTAATCAAGTAGGAGTTTCGTAAATCCAATCACCTTTCCTAATCTTTCGATTGTGACTGATATCATATCTGCATTTAAATCTGTTTGAGTATCGTTTCAAGCTTCTTTGAGATGAACCTTTTTCCTATAATCGACTAAATGCCTAGTTAATTTTCCCTTCACTCCATTATCAAACGTTTCGCTGGTGTTCAATCGCATAAATAGCAAACACTCGAAAATGAACGATGTTTATATTTGGTAGAGTGCCATTCAGCAGAACTTTACTCATAATCAGGTGTAGAAATCCCGCTGCACATATCAGAAGTCTACACTGATCTAATGTGATTTGCCAGTTCACTTCACAGAAAGCAAAGCACTGTGTTAAAAAGGTTTTCTTCAAACGAAAACTTTCGGAAAGCTGTCTCGTAAATTATCATTTAACATTGGCACCCACCAGTAATATAAAATCTCGTTTTTGTTTTGTGTCAGTGATTCGATCTCACCTTCACAAATAATCCTGACGCTAATCTTTTACGTAAATATCTGTAACTAATGTAAGGGATGTGTCGCGCGTACAGTACAAGTACAGACGACCTTTATCAGTTTTCTAAACATTTTAGTATATGGTGAATTTCGAATAAATAGACTAGTAACTGATAATAGCGTAGTGCATCTCGCGTATCGATCAAACCATAATGATATTAACCTTGCTTGAAAATATCTCAAGCAAATAGACCACAAATCCGTAAGTGTTTGTGTTCGTAGAGAATTTAATGCAGAATTTGTCTAATTTTTCCTCGTAAATTTGACTATTGTCTCCATAGGTACCTTATGTGAAGGAACAAATACCGAAATGCATAAACGGTCTTTGAATACCTATCGATACTGTTGTTGTGTAAGAAAATCGATTATTAGAATGAAGTCACCCTCAGATTATTTATTTATTACCAATGCCCGCTTTTCTCATTTAACAGTTCGGTATGAAAGTGTTTTGTTGTGAAACGAAAAAGTGATTGGGATGTTGAGTTGTCAAAAGTTTTAGGACTTCGAATTGTGTTTCTATGCGATCGAATTATTGCATTACATATTTCTTGTGATCAATAGGTTATTGCTACATTTGTCATATTCGTTATTATATGCTAAGCTTTTGGAGAATTCAGCGAAAGGAGATCAAGATTGTGTTTTGTTGTTGGATTCATTTGACTGTCGAGATCGTATTGCGATACATCTGGCAAATGCATTACTGATAGCTAATAAAAATCTACCAACTATCGACTCGTCAAGCCCAACAACAAAACACAATCTTGATCTCCTTTCGCTGAATTCTCCAAAAGCTTAGCATATAATAACGAATATGACAAATGTAGCAATAACCTATTGATCACAAGAAATATGTAATGCAATAATTCGATCGCATAGAAACACAATTCGAAGTCCTAAAACTTTTGACAACTCAACATCCCAATCACTTTTTCGTTTCACAACAAAACACTTTCATACCGAACTGTTAAATGAGAAAAGCGGGCATTGGTAATAAATAAATAATCTGAGGGTGACTTCATTCTAATAATCGATTTTCTTACACAACAACAGTATCGATAGGTATTCAAAGACCGTTTATGCATTTCGGTATTTGTTCCTTCACATAAGGTACCTATGGAGACAATAGTCAAATTTACGAGGAAAAATTAGACAAATTCTGCATTAAATTCTCTACGAACACAAACACTTACGGATTTGTGGTCTATTTGCTTGAGATATTTTCAAGCAAGGTTAATATCATTATGGTTTGATCGATACGCGAGATGCACTACGCTATTATCAGTTACTAGTCTATTTATTCGAAATTCACCATATACTAAAATGTTTAGAAAACTGATAAAGGTCGTCTGTACTTGTACTGTACGCGCGACACATCCCTTACATTAGTTACAGATATTTACGTAAAAGATTAGCGTCAGGATTATTTGTGAAGGTGAGATCGAATCACTGACACAAAACAAAAACGAGATTTTATATTACTGGTGGGTGCCAATGTTAAATGATAATTTACGAGACAGCTTTCCGAAAGTTTTCGTTTGAAGAAAACCTTTTTAACACAGTGCTTTGCTTTCTGTGAAGTGAACTGGCAAATCACATTAGATCAGTGTAGACTTCTGATATGTGCAGCGGGATTTCTACACCTGGTTATGAGTAAAGTTCTGCTGAATGGCACTCTACCAAATATAAACATCGTTCATTTTCGAGTGTTTGCTATTTATGCGATTGAACACCAGCGAAACGTTTGATAATGGAGTGAAGGGAAAATTAACTAGGCATTTAGTCGATTATAGGAAAAAGGTTCATCTCAAAGAAGCTTGAAACGATACTCAAACAGATTTAAATGCAGATATGATATCAGTCACAATCGAAAGATTAGGAAAGGTGATTGGATTTACGAAACTCCTACTTGATTAATGACTGCGCACGAACTCATCGGATTTCGAGAAAAATGAAGAGGGAAGACAAATTAAACGAAAACTAATGATCGTAAGGAGGAATCGCTAATGAAAGCAAGATAGATGGAAAAGACAATTGTGATAGGTAATACTGGACAACTATACCGACTCATCAAGAAAACGGCTTATAAAAAATCAATAGTTAGTGAGATTGAAGAAGATAGAACCATGATCTACTCTCAGTTCAAGAGATTATAACGATGAACAGAACACTAACGATCGGTTCAACGGAACTCCAGTTACCTATTATTTCCAAGCAACCAGAATGGGGAGTTGACACGTGCTGCGACTTCTAATTAGGTCAAATGATATCCGTGTAGCTGTATATACGACAAGGACATCTATAAAGAGGTCAAATTTAAAGGTTAAAATAGATCAATGAATTTCGGCTGCGTTTTATGAATTGATAGAAAGTCGAAAATGTATCTTGTAGGACTTAGAAAACGATGAAGAGCGACGACTTACACGTATTGTAACAAAAGGTGTATGATCTTCAGCAATGGTGGGCACTCAATGTGAAAGATGGAAAAGGCATCGGTGATAGGTAGCAATAAATAGCTTAATCGACTAATCAAGGAAACAGGCATTAAATACACTTGTTAGGTTCTAGACAATCTATAAGGAGGGATAGCAGTGGATTCAAATAGATAAACACTACATTTTTAATACATCTGTTTCAGTTCAGATGAAAGAACTAAAATCGCCTTGTGATAATGAGAGGAAGTGTGGCCTATATAGTGTCAACAATACTAAGATCTACAACCATTCGACGCTAATCCGGAAAAACCAGTTTGGTTCCATGCCAGGTCATGGATGCATTGACCAAATATTCACTCTTCGTTATGTCTTAGAACATACTCATACTTACCGACGCTTGATATTTAGGTAGCTTTTGACTCGGTTTTCAGGTTTTGTGGTCTTGTTTGTGATTGAAAAGTGTATTAAAGAAGGATATAAGTCTTGTGGAGATTATTTACCAAGACATTATCAGTTAATTTAGAACTTAAGACAAACTGTCAATCTCAAGTGCAGTTCATTAGTGACTGCCCACTATCTCCATTTTTATTTAACTTCGTAATTGATGTCCTTCGAAAACTAAAACAATCCTGACACTATCAAGTGAGTAATTTCAAGGTTAGGCATAGGACACTAGGCAAAGGTGGCAAATCAGTTGACAAGGTGAACTTTTATCAATTGAGGTGGTTACGACATGCATCATCTAAGCCGATCCACCGATTAACTTGAAAGGTCTTTTTTTGATTTAGGAGTAGGTTGGAAGAAAGTTGGGAGCTATCAGATCTTGACTGGAATTGATCCATAAAGTCACTGATTGTTGGTCTAACCCATGATGGTAAATGAAAGCAACTTGGCTGGGGGCCATGCAATAACTGCGATCAGTGGCTGGAAACTTTGGGTGACATGACTTATAATCGTTCACAGTGGCAAAGATGTACTTACTCTTTATCTTTCTATCGATATTAAATTTCAGTACACCTTCAAAGATACCTCTCTACTATGCCTTTTTGGACCGTTTTCTCAATGGTTAGTCCTTTTCATTGTCAGTTCTACTTTATTACAGTCTCATTTCTCATACACCTTGCTAATTTCATCGCTTTCTGCTAATGTGGTATGGCGACATGGGCCAACGAACAACTATGCCAAGCTCCACGTTGATAATGTACGACAGACTGTCATATCTTCATTTGAGTGCCACTAAACCTGCTACTTATTTCCGTGAGAGCCAGTACAGTATATGGGAGAAGGTAGTAATTACACAAGCCCAACGGATATTTAATCGCTCTGTTTTGCAAAGACTCACTATATGATCGACCACTTTACAGTCTCTGGCTAGTACCGTACGCCCAACCCAAGAACTGACTGATAGCTGAATGGTTGCACGTACTACACAGATAATATTACTCAATGCATTTAGAAACTGAAACTTGAAGTGTTCAATCAAAATTTCTTTGAATTTAATATTCGTATAGTCTTGTAAGTAAACATACCACAGTAAATTAACTCACCTCAGCAGATGTGAACTTGATTGATCCATATACGGGTACTAAGACCTCTCGACAAGATCGTTTAAATTTACGTAGGTGAGAGTTGTCTACACGTGGACTTGATGATACTGATTTTTCTCTTAACTTGCGAACATTCAGTTGATGCTCTTCTGACTCCAAATGTTTCAGTTTCATTGAACTGAATATTACAAATTGACAAATATTGCACTGATAAAAAACAGAAGTCGAGCTTTCGTCACTTGATGGTGACATCTAAAATACATTGAGAAACTGCATACTGTGAAAGATATCCATTAAAAATTAGGAATATTATTGGTGTGAATAATTTTTCAGAAAAAAAACGCTGTTTAGTGAATGATGCAGATAGAAGTAAATAGGTGACAAAGTATCCAGATATATGAACAAACTTTAGTGGTCTTACATATGACTCCAGTTAGATCGTATGCTGATTACTACCGAAATATGTATCCAGCGACCCGCGTATACAGTGATCGCGTTAGTGAATAACGGAATCATATAAGTCAAATACGAGGATAGATTTTGAATGCATATACTTTATAAAACCGTTGATCCAGATAGACGATCAGAGAAACGAAGCGAAGAGAAAAGAGCGGAACGAAACGAGATGACTCGCAGTGAGCCAGCTCCATTTTATAAAGCTTTACTCAATATTTATATTCAGACAAAAATTAATTACAGACAAGTAATGAATAGGATAAGTAATTAACACACATACGATCATATCAAAACAGTCATGGTTGATAAGTGAATAATTGACAAGCTCAAAATGTGGCTTGAGATGAATGAATAAATTCGCCTATTCAGAAGCTAAAATAACCTATGTGGGTTTGATAAAGTACAGTAACTAAAAAACAGAGTGCTGATAGCGAAACAGATAAGATAAAGAGCGAACACGCTAGCTAACAAAAATAAGCAAGCTTTTCAACCAGAGTACAGAGCGACGGTGATATTAAGATTTATTAACTTAGTCACATTAATGCCGACTAATACGCGGTGGATTTATTTGCTTAAGTGCCGTGAAATAGTTATTACCAATATTTTTTTATTTATTTGAACACAAATATTGGTACAAAGGGGAACCGAACACATATGCACCACACAAGTCATCAGTCAGCTACAATGTAGCACCAGGCAAATATATGCATCGGTACAAGTTACCATACCTCATTAACACAACAAGATGAACACCAAATTCATAGAAGTAGTTAATTCAGAGGTGCTAATATATAAAAGAAAGATTGCAATAAGGATATAGTACAGCAAGAAAGATATAAAGCGACTTTAATCTCTTAGTTCAAGGGAAGACAGAAAGTGTATACACATACGCCATTGTGATCGATTCTGAGTCATGTCACCAAGAGTCTCCAATCATTGGTTACGAGTCACGCAGACCCAACCAAGTAGTCTGCATCTACAAACATGGCTCAGACTAGAAGTTAGTGACTTCAAACACTGATTCCACGTTTTGGTTTGGCCGCCCTTAATTTTCTTCCAACCATCCCGAACGCCGGTTAGCATTGCACGTCGTGGTAATCGGTGTTCAGGCATACGTAACACGTGACCCAACTATTTCAGTCGATGAAGATTAACAACCTCATCAACTGATTTACCATCATTCCCTAATACCCTGGGTCTAACCTCACTATTACTTACCCGGTGATCCCAGCAGACGCCAGCAATATTTCTAAGGCATCTGTGGTCAAATACTAGTAGTTTACGAGTGTCTTCTACTCTTAATGGCCATGTTACGCTGCCGTAAATTAAAACAGAACGGACTGCCGCGCAGTATACTCGTCCTTTTACTGATAAACGGATATCTCGCCTTTTCCACAGGTAACGTAAGTTGGCAAAAGCCAAACGAGCTTTTCGAATCCGTGCTGAGATTTCATCAGACACCAACCCATTAGGGCTGATCAGACTTCCAAGATAAGTGAAGTTGTCAACGCGTTCGACTACTTCACTCCCTATCCTTAGTTCAGGTGTTAACGCAGACCAGTCCTGAAGCAACAACTTGCATTTAGAGGGAGGGAAGCGCATTCCAAACATCCTGGCATTGTTGCTCAGTGCTACCAGAAGACTCTGCATTTTGTCAGCGTCTTCACCAAACAGGACTATGTCATCTGCGTATTCTAAGTCGATAAGTGGACCTCCTGGAAGGAGATCAACGCCCGAAAATTCAGTCGATGAGAGCGTTATTTCCATCAATAAGTCTATGATGAAGTTGAACAAAAATGGAGAAAGTGGACAGCCTTGATGGACACCACTTGAGGTTGCAAAAGCAGATGACAGTTCGCCATAAGCTGTGACTCGACTAGTAGTGTTCGAGTAAAGAGCCTTCACAAGGTTTATTTACTTCTGAGGTACGCCTTTCAATGACAGACACCGCCACAGTATCTCGCGGTCTACCGAGTCAAATGCTGCTTTTAAGTCACGAAAGACCACCATTGTCGGACGCCGATAAGTATGTCTGTGTTGTAGAACCTGACGAATGGCCAGCTGAACTGTTCTCTGAAATGTTCCGCCCATCGTTCTAAACGTCTGGACTGAGAGCAGATCAGGGGGTCGTCTTTTTTTCCGAAATAGTCTGACTTACACTTGATTTATTAATTCCAGTTTCTTTTATTAGTCTGTAGAGCTGTCTTGTGTTCCCTATAGTCGCCGCCTTTTCCATCTCTTTTGCCTTCGTTGCCCACCACTACTTTCGGTTGACCTAGATCTGATTTGTTGTTGCTCTTCATCGTGTTTAGAGCCTGATGGGATGAGTTTACGAGAATCCATCAGTGCAATAGACCTTGAGGAAATTCATTGGTTCTTTGTAACCCTGCGGTTTAAGTCACTGATAGATGTCACTGCTGTTTCCACAGCTTTTTGTATAGCTTTCCAAGCAACATCTGGGTCAACCTCGTTTTCAGAACTACCTAATCGTGACCTCAGTTGTTCCTGGAACCTACTTTTGGTTTTCTCACTACTCAATTCAGTTCTAATGGCTCTTTTTACTGTGGCTTTTTTGCGTCCAGTGAGGCGCAAGCAGATGTGTGCCCGTATTAGGGCGTGGTCGGAGTCCAAGCAAGTACTCCAGAATGAGCGACAATCTTCTACCGACCCTCGCCAACCATGACTGATGGCAATATGGTCTATTTGTGTCCATCGTTGGTTTGGTGTAGGCGGTCGCCATGTTAGACAATGCCTCTCCTTATGCTTGAAATTTGTGTTTACTAAAAATAAACGATTGTCTGAGCACAGTTGCAGCAGACGATCACCATTATCTGTTCGTTGTGCCGGAATATCAACATAGCCACCTAAATGCCTTTCTGTTTGGTTTAAACTACCTATCTGGGCATTAAAGTCACCTGCTACGAGTACAATGTCTGAGCGTTTAGCTTTCTGAAGAAGTTCAGATAGCTTTCTGTAAAATTCATCTTTCATTTCATCTGAGCTGCAGTCGGTGGGAGCGTAGGCAGAAATGACAAAAAGGCAACGACGTGTGTCCCTATCCTTCCGAGTTCTTACAGAGCCGTTTAGCCGAACAGCACATAAACGACTGTTAACAAGTATCAATTCTAACAGTGCTTGTTCCGCCCTCATGCTTTGTGCTATCCCTACTCCTGCCAGTCCACGAAAGCTGGCCATTGGGTCACCAGATACACGGAGGATGTATCTCGCTGGCTCTCCATTTTGCCGAGGTGAGGTCAAGTGAATGACCACACTGGGATCCTGTATGCGTGTTTCAGAGACACAGCATACATCAATGGTACGAGATTCTAGGGTTCTAGCCAAGGAATCCTGTTGACCGATTTGACATAGGGTGCGTACGTTGAAGGCGCCAATGTGTAGTTTGGAGCGAGGTTTCAGTAGACCTGAGACAGTGTTTTGAGCACTAGAATCGTCGGCTATGGTGACATTTGAGGAAGAAGCCGAAAAAAGGAAGTTTAGATGTGAAAGTCGATGTAGGAGGAATAATAGGAAGTGAAGACGGAGGTTGATTATAAATAGTGGTCTTGAGTGCTGTTAGAGGTATGAGAGCGATTATCACTTCCCGGTTACCCACACCGTGGAAGGGTTGTTCTGGAGGTACCTGAAAAGGAAATTGAATTAGAAGTGGTCTTAGTGACCTGAGAGTGTGACTGCAGTGCCCAAGGGACAACTGCTTGAGGTCGGTCACACACGACCTTATTATGGGTAATTCTTGTGTTAGCTCCGTACTTGTTGAGACCTTACCGCCGGAGATGGATATCCGTGAGATAAGGCGAGGTGTGCATTTTTAGGGTCGCCTTTCCTAACCCCATCCCTCCTTTTGGGAAAGCAGCATCACTGTCATGCTGGTTGTCTGAAGGAAACACCTTACTGCTGTCACACCTCTGTACAGTTAGCAGTTCGACTTCGCCTTCGGACCTTGGGTTTGTTGCTTTTAGTCTTACCGCTCTTCAACCGACCTGTCTGACATGGTAGGACCTTGAGGAACAGTTGTTCCAGCCAGTATAACTCGGTTGCTTCATCACGATAGGCAAGCCCGACCACCACGTCAAGGTATCAACAACGGTCGGGACACAAGTCATTTTATTATTTATTTAAACACATAAACATTGGTACAAGAGGGCACCAAATACATATGCGCCACATAAATCATTCGATTTTTGTATGGGCTGTGATACTGTCCGTGTGCCCAGACCGAAGCAGGTGGTATTCTTAGAGGCCCACACCCGCAGCCTTCGACCTAAAGGTCTGATTTACAGGGAAGTGGAGGAACGTCAGGAGATGCAGTCCCATGGTAGCCGGTGACCAACGATTGGTTCAAACGCCATTTGTTCCTTCAGGATGCTGGAGCCTATGTACACCACTGATCTGGAATCAGGGTTTCTCAACTCCCTTAGGTGGACTCACAGTGCCCACCGGCCCGGTTAAAGCGCCGGACATTCGCTTTTTGTCCTCTTAATTTCGTAAACAACACTCCAGCCACGAGAAGGCAGTGAGTAGGACTTGCCTGGCAGAGGCTGTATACGCGTGACCGTATGAGAGCAGTTCGAGAGGGATGGTGGGCTCTTCTCACTCTCGGCCGAAGCAGGGCATATATATATATATATATATATATATATATATATAAAACTGTGGTTCCGATTCCAGTATACGAACTTGTACTTCAGTTAGTTACAACTAACGTAGAATCTCGTGCAGATATCTGTTGCTCTAAATTGTCACAATTCAAATCAGCATAGGGATATGAAATCAACGAGATCAATAGCCCAGAGAACCACAGTGATATAAACAATCAGTGAAAATTTGTCACTTAAAAATCCGAACTAACGGTATTATAAAAGTTCACTGTTCGATTCCGGTGAATTTATAACCGTGCATTAATCCACCACTGTAAGTCCATGATATAAGATAGTGCTTTCTAATTTATTCAGTTGTTTATGAACCACCAAATTCTATACGTTAATTTGTCAACATGAGTAATTTCAACCTGTGAAATTTACTAAAAATTTCCACAAAACTCATTCTGATAATAATCAACTGCTCACTAGTGACTGACTTCAGGAGAACCTTCTGGAGTTCTAGTGAGAAGCCGTCACCAGTGGAGTTCAACCAGGTCTGTTGTGAGATATCAGCTCACTGAAGACATTGGTGTTCGATGGCGCAACTTCGTGGATTGGTTGAAGTTAGACATTAACACCGTTGGATGCCGGCTCAGTGGTCTAATGGTTAAGTGCTCACGCGCGAAGCCAGTAGGTCCTGGGTTCGAATCCCGCAGGGAGCGGGTTCGTGGATGCGCACTGCTGAGGAGTCCCATACTAGGACGAAACGGCCGTCCAGTGCTTCCAGGTTTTCAATGGTGGTCTAGCTTTAACTGACTCATGATTTCAACCTGTGAAATTAATTAATTAACAAATTTACGGATTTCGCAGCAATAATCGGAGGAAGAATAGGTTAAAAATCTATGGGTGGTAGTGTCAAAACATGGAATTAATCTCCTGAATGTCGGTTTAGGTTGTACATAGACGTAGACTCTCTAAAACTGTCACGCGTAATACCCATAATCTGTGGTAGGAGATGGGTTCCATAGATCACAACTGAACTCACTATATCTTCCTCTTGAACCATATTTTTTTAATTTTCCACCTAATGTATCAATTCTTCTTCTATGCTTGTCATTTCCTATCTAGTTGTGATGTGGGGTATTGAGAGTCAAAACCGAGATACATTTTTAATTCTTTTACTAACTTAGAGAATTTATTTATTTATTGGTGTAATTGGTTTTATTCATACCCGAAACAGGAAAGATACAAACGAATAAAAACAAGTTGTGCCATATCTTACTGCTGTATCGCTTGAAGACAGACTGGAAACTGAATTAAGATTTATTTTACTCTGATGTTTTCGACCACGAAGGTGAGAAGTATATTGATCTGAAGAATTCATATGTATACCGCATAAGTTGCAGGTAAAGGAAATTTCGGAAGCTGAAGATAACTGGTCTGACTTTGTCCAATTTGAACTAGAATCAATGAAACCTACGTATGAAGAGGATTCTTGATCATAGATTGAATTTCTCGTTGGCCCTGTAGAATAAGTGGTGGTATCTAAGAATGAATCTTTCGGTGAGCCCGAATCAGGAGTAACTAGTGTTGGTAAGGAAACTTTTAGGGGATAATTAATATGATCCACTATGTTTAAACTGTCTAAAGCAAGACATTTAGAGCGATGTTTTCTCCCCGTTTCATGAGCTCGTAGGACATTCTCAGTGTCACACCATATATTGCAAACATTACACGAAAATCGATGAGGATTCATCTAAAGAATAATAAAAAATCTGGAATTAATAGCAGTTAGTAAACTGTATGTACGTTTATAAAACAAAATCATTTAATATGTTATTTTACTTACAATCATTAAAAAACGGTCAAGGTTGTAACTGAATGAACGACAATGTCATAGCATGTGGATAATGACTCAAAAGAAACAAACTAATTGGTCTGTTCAAAAGCCAGAATAATCCATGCAGGTATGACGTAGTAGTAGTAGTAGTATGACGTAGTACTTTTTACCCTTCAGTTTTCAAGAAGAACTGCTTAAACTAGGATCATGTACACTGAATTTTACTATAGTTAAATGCTTGAAGTGGTTATTTTTCCAGAACCCAAGTAACGGTTGGTGAATTTGTTGGAAATAACTATTTGTCCCCAACACTACAAAACCTAGTCGATCAACTCGTTTACGTCTAGATTATTTTGATATTGTTGGAGTTAAGAATAACTGACCAAGACTACTTATTTTTATCGATCATAGTCATCCGTAGTACTTTCGTACAATTATGTCACTCACTATGTCTACTTATATGTCGCAAGAATTTCAAATGAGAGTAGATATGCAAACTAAATTTAAACACTAACTTGCTGAAAAAGTGAGATAATTAAAAAAGAGCCACAACAAACGTCTAGTTTATTTCTCCAAGTAAACAAATTTCATTATAGATCATCTTGTGTAACTGCACTGAAGTGACTAGTGTAATATCACGTAACGTATCTATGTTAACCATGGCGTATGAGTCAGTTACCTTATTGAAAATAGAAAAGATGAGAAAAACTGAAGAGGACCGTATTTACTCTGTAACATTTGAATGTAATTTGTAGTCCAATGTTGATATCATAGTAGTTAGTTTTGGATAATTTAATGAAGCCACGAACAATTGAACTGGGCCATATACGTAAGTTTAGACTGCCCGCTTCAAATTTGCACGACAACCGCTGAGTGACGTGAATGAGAGTAACTTACATTTTATCTCTCCTTAGATCATTCGGACCGAAAACCCTCTACACTTTTTTGTTTCTTCCTTCTATACCTAATATGTTGTACTGCTGCTGATATTAATTCTACTACTCTAGGATGTTGCAACATAGTAGCTATACACAGTGCTATTCCACAGCACTTTTTGCAATACATGGAGAAATAAAGTCTTTAGCTGCTGAAAATAGAATTCTAACGGAAATAAGCTTTTAGACACTTTTATCCCTTGATTTATTAATTTCCTACAGAGACTACGTAAGACAATACTTTATTCACTGATTCGCAAATAGCTAACACTCCAATAATCTTTTTACCAAGTGTTACCATAGTCTTCCCAGTAGAAACTTGGTTAGTCCTAATCCGCAGTAGACTAAGGTTGCGAAAGAAAGCTACAGAGCTTTTAAGAAGATTAGAGAACCGACTCGAGTATTGATCGAAAGTGGACTATGCTTTTTAAGAACAGGAATATAGTCGAGTAACGTAACTTTTTTCAGAGAAAGGTAAAGATTGTCCTCCGTTTGAAAAATTTGCTGTCCATTGAGAAACAAAAAAGGTCACTGAAATTTTGCTGCTTTTGACGCTTTAAAAAACATGGTGTTTTGAAGTAAAGGCTAGGCACAGATATGTACAGATAGATTATAGCTCAAAAATAACCGTTGATAAGGAAGCGCAGACCATATTAAGCTTCCCACTTGCATTATATACAAAAGTACATGTCATTATGGGACCTCTACCGTAATTTGTGAAGTGAATGCACCGAAATTAATTAGTAAAGCAGGGGCTATATTTATTTATTTTTACGTTGCACTTCTGGATAAGAAAAACTAGACCAACAAGAAACAATAAAGAATTTACTTCCTGAAGATTCCAATACAGATAACACACTGAAGCAACAAGTGCTCCGGGTAAAAGGCAAAAGTAATAGACTAGCTACCCCTCGCTTTGTAAAATATAAAGTATGTAGCCGCCCTACTAACAATGGCACGTCCCAATTTGACGTTGAGAGAGATCAATTTTGAAACCAGGTCGGATTTTGAAATCGCCTATCGAATCCTAAAATCAATACATTCACAACCAATGTGGTTTTATAAGACATAAACCCACATTTCGTTCACTAGTTTGTGAATAGAAAAATTTATTACTATCATACCCGAAAAATTTGTCTTAGCAACTGAAAATCAAATAAATTGTATAAAACTCAGGTACATTGATTGAGACATAGCTAACGATTTGGTGGTGGCTACATCCACAGAACCTCTCCGTTGAAAAAACGTCGTGTTGCCATAAGGCTAGTGTGATTGAAACTCACAGGGAATGAAATTATCCGACAGCGCATCTACATCTAAGTCAGAAACCAAACATGTTATCCTGAATTTGCTCTTCAAGAGACCTATCAAAGTTTCATATGATTATTCAGGTTAATATTTAACGCAGTCAAACTGAATCGATTGTGGCCATAAGACGAGTAACTTCTGCGTTATCTTAATCAGCTTGAAGCACTTAAAAAGTACAAATCTAAACAAAACTGAATAAATGATGAACGGTGTGATTTAGAAAACTATGTGAAATGTACACCGTTGGATTAAGGTATATTGTTCAGCTCTAAAAGTAAGCACTTTATACATTATCAAAATCTAAAATGAACAGCCCAACTGTTATACTTTGGATATATCCGACATGTCCTCCAGAATCTTAAGTCGCAGAAAAAGTGCAATATTTCATTACGGTTGTAAACAATCAAGATAAATTTTTATTCACTTGAAAACTGATATAACATTGAATTATACATCTGTAAGTCACATGCATTTAAATATGGCAATATCAACAAACAATATTTGACAAAAGCTACTTCGTACTTTTTTTCACTAAGCTAAAGATATCAAAAGGAGAAACAGGTGTTTAGATGGAGGGGATAACTGCCTGCACGAGGTCACAACAACCTCTCTGATACCGCACACTCTCGAAATACCGCGCTTCGTAGAGGAATTTTTCGGATTCCAATAATAAAGTACACTGAACAATATTTTCAGGAAAAAACCCTGGAAATCTTCAATTCACTGAGCCACAAAACTTCAGCGCAATCATCCTGTTAAATGTTTTCGTTACTCACAGAAATTGAACACTCCAGATCATAAGTGTTTTTAGTAACGACAAGTGGATACTATAAACGAGAATAAGCGTAGATAAAGATAGGTGCAAGACGGTTTCTTGGGTATTTGTGAAAACAATATGCTGTCTCCAAAAATGCCTGAGTTTTCATTGACTTTAGATCACCAACATACGTGATGTCTGTTGAATTGTTGGGAGCCTAATAGAGTGAGACGAGCAAGATGCAACTAACCAACTTACATCGAAGTCACATTGCACGGCTAGTGCTTATCGCTCAATACCCTTTCATCATATCCGAGTACTATGGCCATTTTAAGGACCGCGCAACACTAAGTACGTTATTACGAAAATGTAATAAATAGACTGGCTACAAAAAAACAGTCAGCTACCACTAACACACAGATCAGTCCGTGACATGCAATTAACTTGTAGCGAGGATTCCAGTCGTAATTGACTATAAACACCACTACAATGGAACGATTGCCAGGATATCCATAAAATCCCCTGGAAGCGAAACATCAGAAGTCATTTAATGGACCAAGGCGAGATATATTTGCTGGCGCTCTCGTGGTATCGAAAGAATACCGAGATCGTGCCAGGATACAAGCTTGGTTAAAGAACGTAACTGGATTCGCGCGTGGACACAACCGAAGCACAGTTAAACAAAGAGCACATGAAACAGTCACTGGTAAAATTGGTCATAATAATAATTGTTTTCATCAAACCATTCGTGTTCTAGTGATGAAAATAAGTCACTACAAGCGGATGTTTGTTGATTTTCCTTAACCTTAACGAAAATCAATTGACTGTTCAGTATTCAGTAATTTGACCACCAGTTGATATAGATAGAGCATCGTGACATTTTACTGACCTACAGAATTCATAAGAGAGAATCCCGAAACCATCCCAAGCAACACAAAAAGGGGAAATAAAGGGGAAGACACATCAGAATGTCGCCTTTTTCGCCTGTCCGGGGGAAATAATGCGGATTTTCCCCTTTTTCGCCTTTTTGTCGACAAATTACAGACTTATCGCCTAAATATCCGCTGAATTGTCGCATTTACGCCTAAATATCCGCTGAATTGTCGCATGTTTGCCTAAATATCCGCTGAATTGTCGCCTCTTCGCCTAAATATCCGCCGAATCGCCTACTTATGCGCTTAATTGTCTACTTTTCGCCTAAATACACACATTACTTCTATTTTCTATCCATCGACAGAACCCCAAAGGTCTCCTATGTTCGCCTTTATTTCCAACAACAGACCAAAATATATCTGCAATGCAGTGGAAAAGCGGTAAATATTTCAAAAATTTTATTGAAAAAGAAAAGCGTATTATTGTACAACAGTAGAGCACAAGCTGAAGCATCGATTGTTATGCATATTAAATGCAATTGCTAATTCATTGTTATTTGAAATTATCTGAAAAAGAACGAACAGGTTATAATTTATTCATAAGAAATGTGCATTTAATCAAAAGTTCACTGAAACTTAAACACACATTCTCAACACTTCAACGGTTTCCCATGTAGGTAAAAGAGTAAGCTGTTTGAAAGAATAATGTTTATTGAAATCGAGGTACAACATCAAAACAATTGCACGGACTAATCAGAATTGAGGTAGTCGTCCTGTGAATTCTGAATTTTAAAAAAAAACAAAAAAAATAGTCACAACCATATCTCAATGACATGCTTTTGCGCAGCCAAATACTTGAAGCTGAACTTACGGTTATGTTTGTTAGTATTGTTGACTGTAACTATAGAGCCGTAGGGAGTTTATCACTTTGAATTAGTACATACCTGATTTTCTAGTCTCCTATTTCGTTTTATCACCTTGTCTCGGATGTCGTGAAAGTAACCTTGTGTCGCGATGTCGTAGAGCTTACCAAGGTCTTTCTCGTTGACAGAGGATGACAAAAAGCGATGAGTTAAGGCACCTGAAGTTTAAGTAATAGATATAGGTTACTTCGTATGCAGCTGTAAAACGTGCATTTCTGTAGTTCTCGTTTTGAAGAGGTGCCAAGTAACGTGAATTTACTGGCAACCTCCGGTGTCAGCAGATGCGACAGAATATAACGCATGGACGTTTTGTGATCGTCACCTAGTGACCATTGCCATCTGTAATAGTAACAAATTATTAAATTCATGTAAATGACTTACAAATCTGTCCCTGGTTTCTTTCTGCGACAAACCAGTATCTAGCATCTGTAGTTCCTCTTCAGATGACAAAGGGAACTGCTGACTTGACAGTCCGCAATGGAATTGATGCGGTCTTTCGCGCTCATTAGACTTTGAAAGCAATTGGTTTACATTAACATTCAAGTCCATAATGGCGGACGACATGTTGTTAATCGTTTTAGTCAAGTCATTGATAGCTGACGACATTTTCAGCACCACAGTATACAACCTATCACAGGTGAAAAAGGTCACTAGATGATGCAGGTTACTTACTGGTCCAATACAGCGCCACCAACATGCTTACATTCCGATGTGGATGATGATGTCTCTAATTGTGTTGAACTAAATAGTGAATATCTAAATAGTAATTAAACATACTTGGCGATTGGCGATATCACTTTGTCGAAAACACGAAACTTGGGATATTGTACGCGGCAATTCCCAGCCTGCATCTCAGCCACATCCATGTCGACTGAATTGTAAAGAAAATCTTCTTTACGCTTCATTACACCTCTAGGAAATGTAAGTAAGATTATTGTACAGACCTTTTTGGCTTCTCAGTGTTAAGTGGCAAAGTGTTTTCATCCGTTGAGGTGTTTATCCGTTGAGATTCCAGTATCTGTAGAGCAACTAACAGATCTTTTGCCGACTGCAGAAGGAGTACTTGCCACACAACCAGATATTAAATTATTTATGTCCCGAATTGCACATGAGTTAAAGTTCCGCAGTCTTCGGCGTGCTAAATCTATCCATAAATTAGCTAATTTTTTGGTAACACCAAGGTACACCATGTGCATAGGATCTAGAGGAAAAGTTACAATCATATTAATAGAAAGCGTTTCCATTATAGAATGTCCTTGATGGTGAATTGATTGAGTCTGACGACGGAAAGTGTCATCTGTTCTTAAAGTATATACTCCATTTGGAAAGGTCTTTTTCCCCTCCAGCCGTCTCCCAAGAACAGTACACCTATCGCAACCTGCCTTACCGTTATGATTCACCGTGTACCTAACAGAAGAACGAGCAGGTGCGTCACATATAACAGCCGCCAACCGAATAGCTATGCATTTATTAAACTTGACACTAAAAAGATCAACGTCAGTCATTTCTTTTATTTCAGAAATTGTGTCCGCAGAAAATTCGTTGAATTCTGCCGGTTTACTATTACCTCCGTAGATCCCTATCATGAACACGTCACTAAGCCGAGGAGCAATGATCCGTCCAAGTATAGGCCATAACTGTTGATTGGAGCTTCTAGACATAGAAAGTCCATCTATATTGAGATATAAGTTTAAAGAGTCAAAATCACTAGTACACAACCAAAGCTCTTAGCAGATTCGTTTTCAATCCTTGATGGTAGTAAACCCTACTGCCGATGAACTTTGGTTGAACACTTGGACATGTCTTCAGAACGCCTCTGATGCTTTTCGGTATGTCCGGGATAAGAAATCTTAGACCATACAGAACCCGATCAGCATCTTTTATGCTCAGAGATGTATTTGACATTAGATACATCATAAAGTCGTTCATCTGTTCTTTGCGATTCACGAACTTTGGAGAGCACAAGTTCACTCCAGTATATCCTATAACATAGATATTCACGTACAAATTTGATTGATGTTGCTAGTGGACGGTGTACTAATCGAAGTACTTTCATTACAACTGACTTCTCTCTTTACTTCTATCAATTAAGTAAACAACATTGTTAAACTCAGTTACCTTTCAGGGTGCTTTCATTAGCAAACTCACTGAACGAAAGAAAGTGATATTTTTTCATTAAAGCAGCTCTCATTTTATTCCACCTCCGATTATAAGTGGTTCTGTGACAACCAAGGGAACGTGACAAGTTCACAGTTGCCCTAAGTCTACGAACATTCTCACTGACATCAGAAAAAGTCATATTACTGGCCTAAGATGGTAATCAGTCACAATGAACCTAAAATCCTGAGAGCACGTCACTCACCTGCATCACGTAAGTTTTTTGTGATGGCTCCAAAACATGTCGGAACACTTTAACTAAACAACAAACGAAGTCACTCTATATACGTATCAACCGAAAGCCTGGTTCCGTATTTTGTACATTGTTTCTATGACAATACTTTTGTTCTTTTATTAGGCGGTGCCTAAATTTGTCGAAGTTTATGAAAACTTCAGTTCCCGATGCGGTTCATTCAAACACTGTACGTTATGTAGAACTGTCGACAAATTTCCCCCAAATACACGACGTAAGGGGGAAAAAGCGACATTTCCCCCAAATACACGACGTAAGGGGGAAAAAGCGACATTTCCCCTAAATAACCGACGTAAAGGCGAAAAAGCGACATTTCCCCTTTCGTCCGCCTTATTTCCCCTTTTTGTGTTGCTTGGGATAGTAACACGAAGTGTGTAGGGTCAGCGAAATGTCACCGGAATTCAAGCAAATAACTTAGCAAGCAGGTCACCGAAATTCGGACATTTTGCCGATTCTCATCAAAATCAACACGTACCGATCACACGCAATAAACTGGAACATGTGGCTCAAGAGGAAATATTGGCTAGTAATAAGGAAACCGACCTGGGATAAACATCTCAGACATTATCATACCGTGCTAGTTGAATTAAAGTAAATTTCGGGTTTTCTTGTGAAGTACCCCTCAGAAGTCGTTTTCAAGTCTATTCTTCAGTTCTACAGTTTTCATGACCCTTATAAAACATAGCTCGTAAGCGCTCACTTTCCAAAACAAAGAAAAGTTTACTGTTACAACTTAGGTTAATTGATTAGATGGTCGCAAACATCTATGTCGATGTCAGAACATGAAATCTAAAATTTTGACCACTTATTACATGTAGGCATCATGGTTCCCATTACCTTACATTGAATTTCAATGGTCCTACCGATTGAGACTACTCTTCTTTTCAATAAATAATGCAAAAAACCATAATCAACAAATTCAGAGCTATTCCAAGTAGGCTAAAAGACGAGACAGTCAAAATGCTACGGACCCTAAAATACAAACTGGGATCATCTCTATCATAAGAGCACCAACCCTTGTAGATTCAATGGGCTGGAAAAAATCCTTAAGACAGATGTCCCATCAAGACCTGTAGTTGATCATAAAAAAATTATTTACGTACAGCCTTTCTGGATACATAGCCATGATTAGTAAACCGTATAAGTGAAATCAAATACGGAAGAATTCTAACGAATTCACAGACATCATCACTTCCATCCTCATAGATGAATTAATGGCAAGTCTTGTTGTTTGCTTTGTTCACTAATGTTCTTATTAGGAAGACTTCAGATATCGTGCATAATCTCTTAGATTCTGACACTGAAATAAAACGACGACGTTCACTAGGTCCCCCAGACATTACTAAAGCTCTGGATCTGTTTGCATTTAATGTTGTCTGAGATTTGTACGGATAAACGGAGGATGTGTCCATGAGGAAACTGGTTTCTTCAATTGATTACTGACGCATGGAAGTCTCAGATTGTCAAATTTGGAAGTGACAGTGAGCGATTAATTCTTAGAATTCAAAATATATAAATATATTTAAAAACAAATAAATATATTGAGAAAATTAGTAATGGTATTCCATTAGAATTTGTAAAAGAATAGCCCTGAGAGATAAAACTTTAATGTAAATATTGAAAGTGTCTTTTATTGTCATGTAGAACTCACACATTATGAAGTATACGGAAAAAGAAACAACGACAAATGATCCTTTATATAATATCACAATTGAGCAACACACTATTTATACTCCCTGAATTTAAATACACACCCACATAGAAAAAAAACTAAAGTTATAAAATAAATTGAAGCACAGAATAAATTAGTTGTAGTAAAAAAAGACAAACTAACTAAAACAAAAATAGCTCATAAATACGCAGCATGAAGAATAAAACTCAAACGCATCTGTTTTAATTATAAGCGGTGATAATTTTCTTTTACCGACTAGGGTAGAGTTTATTTAAGAAAAGGTGCTGCAATATCAGCTAAATTAGACATGAATTTACGTTTCTCATCATCCTTTGAATGTGTACAAGCCAATTTTAGGTGTTGACTAACTACTTGACGATCTGCAAAATGAGAGAACAAAATGATTACAATTTTTTAATCGTTATATATATGAGAATAATCGACTACATCGTATGCAACAGTAATACGTATGTAAAAAGACAGTGAACGAAAATGTCAGTCAGCAAAGCTGTATACATTGGATTAAAGATATTTAAAGGTCATATATTAAGAGAATCCATATTTGTAAAATATAAATCTTTTACGATGCAGATATTCCAAAAGTTAATTTCAGTGAATATCAACTTGTAGTATAAAAAGTACTAAGGAACCAAAACTTCCATTTTCATATATTGCGGCTTCACAACTTAAACACACTAATACATAGCTCAATAAACAATTCATAATTATTTTCACCAAAGTCTTCAAAAGCTGGAAAAAGGCTTTAAACACCTTGTAAAATTAGAGGTTAATAGATACTTTCTGAAGTCCTAGAGAAAAAAGACGGATTGTGTTATACCTTTATTGAACAGCAACTACTTTTGTCACGGATTTCAGCATGTTCTTAGGATCTTCTAAACAATTAATGGCACATATAAACTCGAAAATATTCTTGTTTTACACCTGAAAAAACCTTATAAATCGAGAGTGTTCTCATACTTTCTATTTTTTGTTCTCGTCAGGGATTAATTGCAGATTTTCGGGGATAAGGAATGGGTTAGAAAGCCTATGCCTAGCCTTCAAGTACCGAATGTGCCAAATTATGCGCTAGATTTTTAATGATGACGATGACTATGAAGAAAACAAGAACAACAAAGTTTTGAGGCGTAATGGAAAAAATGAGATATTTGTTAAAAACAACCTTGGAAGAAAGAACCGTTTTGGAATCTTCTCACATTTGGTACCGCTGCTAACCAGATCGCTGTATCTGCACCTTGTTCTGGTGTTCTTAGTTTATTTTTCATTTTATTGTAAAATGATGGCATAGACAGTGCGACAGCCTGAAATTATATATTTAAAAGAGAGAATATCTAAAGTGGTACGGAGAAAAATGGTCACAGAATGAAATCACACAAAAGGCGTGGATAAGTCCTGATTGTGGATAATAAGCGCTGATATGATGTATCGTATTATATTAGTTACAAAACAGCTAAATATATTTAAGACCTTTACGGGAACCACGTTATCCACGAGATCGTAATCAACTTTATCTAAAGAATTAAAGTAGTGAATGATAACGGAACGTAGGAAACACCTGTTAGGTAATATCTCGGTTGTAGGAGAATTCGAAAGTTTCTGAATGAAATCAGTCGTTTTTATTTAATAAACGTTAGCTTAAGTAATACTAAATGAGATCTCTCGCATAGAAAGAGATTATCTAGTAATAGATAAACGGATGATTGTCGTTTATATTGATGTGAAAGAACAATAAATGAACGCTTAGTAACTTGCTATTCAACTACTTTTTATCAGAATTAATAAAAACTATAATGCCAGTAATACTTACTGGTGTATCAGCCCAACCAGGATGCATTGAACAGAAGAATATCTCTGGATAGTTCTTAGACCACATTTCAGTCATAACAACTTGTTGACGTTTATTTTGTGCATAAACCATTGTTCCATCAAATTTGTTGTGCCTAGTTGTAAGCATTGGATCGGCATGATCCAATTTCTGTACTAACATTCCACCTGAGCTAACAGTAATAACACGAGCCTATATACGATAGGTGAAAAGTGTTAACAGTAAAAGAGAATAATCATATATGTGAATTTTATAAGTGTTGAATAAATAGAATGAAAAACTACTAACAAGTTGATATTCCAGCTCCAATATTGATCATTATCATGAATAGAATTTTGACACTGACTATATATTCAGATATTCTGGTTAGTTTTTTAGCAACGTTTAGTTACATGAGATGGGGTTTCTGACCCTATGCCCAACGTTCCTTTTTAACCAGGACTTAGAATCAGCAGTAGCTGTAGAAGAGCTACAGATGGAGGATAAGAGGAACACCAATGAACACAATGCGTCAAGAAGTGGAAGAAGACATCAAAAGGGTGAATATCAAATGGAAACAAGAGGAAAGGATTGCCCGAGACAGAGTTCGATGGAGGGTGTCAATGGGCGGCCCAAGCTTCTCCACGAGGGGTAACAGGCATAAGTAGTATATATTAAGATTTTATTTTCGATCGACTGGATATTATAAAAAATGTCTGATCGAATAACTAGCTGACTTTACCAGAAGGTTTGCTGTTTATAAAAGTAATTATATTAATTGAAAAATCACTTCAAAGCATTGAGATTACAATTAGATGACAAAATAAAATACTTCATATCTAACCAATGAAAGTTAGCTTAACACACGGTATAATCTCTTAAAATTTCTAAATATAGCCCCATTGTCATGAAATGCTGTAAGATAGTTAAGTAACAACGTCACTAAAATTTCTAAATGCCGGCATAGTATTTTTCTTATTTCTGTATGTGTTTAAAATAAAATCTTGAGAGCCAGTGAATTCAACAAAATATTGGAATTTAAACAGTAGCTAAGAAGATCCCAGTGAGTTTTTTGTAAAGGATATGTAAAACATTCAAAGGTCTGTTCATATGATTTTTAAAAGATATTTTTCCATTTGTCTTATATCAATGCTTGTAACATTGTCAATCGTTCCTTTTTGACATTTTGTGGAAGTTCATTCTACGTATTTAATAAGTAGCTCATTTATATTTCAGTTTATTATTTTGATTTTCTTTTACATGATTTTTATGTTGATAGATATATAGTGAACAATCATTGATAAATAAATGTGTGTACTTGTTATATCTTTTGACCGCCAATCGGAGAGCAGTGACTTATCGATCAGACCAAGGACGCGTAAAACACGTGCGAGAAGCCCAGAGTCCTGACTGGTCCCGCTTTCCGCCTAGCCCATCCAGTTAAATCCAGAACACCAGTCACAGTCTCTTTAATATAAATCCTTATATTTCAAACATACTGAGTTTATATACCAATCAAACAGACCACAACGTAGCACGAAATAGAAAATAACATTTATACAAAATTTGACCAAATGTGACTATGAATGTATGAGGCAGTGACTAATAGACAGGGCATAATTCAAGAATGGTAAAACGTATAATAATGGTTCATAGGTCAAAATAAAGTTTATAATAAGAGGGATATGAATATGAATATTTTAGTTATTTAACAATTATATGATAAAAATATACGTTTACTATTGGTCCATAAAAGGATCCCAAAGTTACCATTCATTGTGTTTATCGAGACCTAACACACCTCCCCTTTTTCGAAGATCCGGTGTTGATATCCGGACTTTAAATTTTCCGGGTTCACCCTCCCCCACGAAACAGTGTTGGATCCTCATATTCCCAAGTTATAATTAATTTGAATTTATTTAAAACATATTTGTCGCACTGAGAAGAGAATCGACTGAAAGTGACTAAGTGGTGAGGCTGAACGACGCTTGATATAAGGTAATCGAAGTCTGATTCTTCTGAAATATTGTGACCAAATTTATTGGGAACCTCGTTTGTAGATAATGGATCATCAAGGTAATCAGCATCTATCAAAATTGTATTAGGTTTCTGATCATCATTTGATGCATCTGACATATTTTCTGGTAGAAGAGAATCTCGATAATTAGATTCGTCAGAAACTTCTGTCGCTGAATGATGAGATCCATTTGGAGCAGCTGGATTCAGTGTACTGCTCGATTTGTTTTCTGTTTCATGGGTGGTTACTGCGACAATTCTATGAACATTTAACAGGGCGTCTGTTTGTGAGCTGGATAAGTCACTGTCAGCACATACTGTTTCGGGGATAATGGAGTTTGAATCCATTACCGGGCATGATTCTGAAATGGAGAGTACTGGACCACTGGGCGGATCTTGAGTGACTGCTGTATCGTTTGAAATACGGTTTATCGAGGATTCATGGAGGCTGCAATCATTTTCCAGCTCAGTGTGCAAATGAGAAATTAATCCATCCACTTCCATCGCATCTCCAAATTATGAGTGATTCAGCAGCTGCGTGTGTAATTTGACTAAGAACTCCAACTGTCGCTCAAATAGTATATTTCTTAAGATAGTGGTTGGTATTAGTCGACAGGAAACCCTGAAGCTAGGGTTTCATGCTGTTTGGCACTTGTCAGCAAGGTGTACCCATAAGCTTTAGGGACCAGATGCTGCCTAACGGATTCGACCCCGTGTGACCCAGCTTCACAGACAAAGACGCTACCACTGAGCTATCCGGGCGGCGTCTGACCTCCTGTAGGACTGAGATGTATTTACAAATGATTGATCACTGCGTAGTGATTAATGTCATGTATGTTAGGTGCTTCTTAGTGCCGATCAAACCCTATCGATCAATTTCCTCAAAATTACTGGTAAACCTTGCTGACAAGTGCCAAGTATCACGAAACCTAGGTCCAGGGTATCCTAATGACTACATCCAACCACCATCTTATCTCAACATAGTGCACGCAATGTCGAATCAAATAGACTGGCGGCCAGATTGCAACTTGGTCGATAGGACTCGATCATAACTAAGAAGTACCTGATATACATGACATTGGTTAACTATATTTCGTGCCCAACATAGGTGCAAGATATACATGAAAACTAACAAACAGACAAAAAACACCAATAAATAATTTATTTTTTTTAAAAATAGAGATTAGATTTAGTGAGTAGTTTAGTAGTAATCTACCTAGACGTCTGAAAATTGCAATATTTGTATTAGAAAATAGTTAATATTCAGTATTGAGACAAAGTGAGTTATCAATATAATACACATTTAAATATAAATTCTGTAACAGTCGCTTGAAACCGACATATATATACTACTGATTTCGAAAACTGATCATATTGTAAACTTATTAATTCAATAGCATGCCCTTTTATATCAACGAAATATTTGGACAATTTAGTTGAAAAATTACTTGACTGGGTTACAGTTACGATTTAAAGCTAATCGTTCGACATAATCTATAAACCACAAAATGTTATCAAATTATTGTTCATACTTACATCAGGTGATTTTTTTAATGCAGGTATTAGACTTTCAGTAAGTATATAAGTACCAAGTGTATTTGTGGCGAAATTAGCTTCTATGCCGTTTTCATCAGTTTTATATTCATTAATCATGCAGCCAGCATTATTAATCTATAGTAGTTTAAAATAGATATATGAAAGCAAACAGCAATTATGCGGTAATAAATTAATGTAAGACTAAGCATTTAAAATAAAGAAATTCATAGGTTGGTAAAAATGGACTGGTTGTAAAGTGAAATTGTGAATCAGTCAAGTGGTTTACGAAATCCGATAAACACGAAGTTAACCAAAACCATGAGTAACAACTACGGACAACTGAGCAACCATATGGTGAAACTATATTTACTAATATGACTTCTTCAACACTGAAAAGTAATGACGAAAAGTAAAATGAAACCAAAAGTTATCAACTCTTTTGGTAAATATTTTCAAGTTCCGCTGTTTTACCTATGTTGTTAACTTGAGTTCCATAAACTCAGTTATTAGGCATAGTAACAATCCTTTAACAGATCTCAAAACTACCAAACAGAACACCAGCTAAATGAATTCAAGGCTCGCCTCATGATATAGACAAAATACAAGACCATGAGGTACCATGATTATTCAAACTCAATACATACAAAACTAAGACTGTAGCGAAGTAGAACACAGGTGAGGACAACCGAACTACATTTAGCATAACATTACATAGTTACTTGATAAAATAGAAAAACCATACTATAATAATTAATTTGCAAAATGTTCAATAATTGTCTCGGACTTGACTGTTCTTGCATTTCTATACTAGTTGCTTTCTATTCCCGTTCTTCCTTTCTTGATCTTCCCAATCTTCTGCTACCTGACATTACATTCCTGACTCGCGTTATATACTAATTATGTCAATATAAGTAGCACGCACCACAGGACGTTTATGGTACAAAGCTGAATAACAGGTTTATAGTTAGTTACGATAACTTATGAGCTGAAAAAGATGTTAATACGAGCCCTTCAGCTAGGTATAACAATTATAGATTAGAGGCTAAATGACCTACAAACTAACTCTCTCTAGTTGCCTATTTCATTTTACCATGTTTTTGTTAGTATCTCATAATATAAGCATGCCAATACTCTCTATGACAACCAGTCCTACTGGGGTCTTTATTAAAAAATCTTCTACACAATCTAGATTTTTTTTACTTCACTTAGCTTTATTATTTATTTATTTATTTCAACACATAAATATTGGTACAAGAGAGCGCCAATATATATGCGCCACACAAAGCAATGAGAATTCGGAGAAATAGAAAAAAAAGAGAACAATAACGAAGAGATTGGTGTAAGGTAGTGTGGTAGTAATGAGGGAACGGAAAGGTACAATCAGAACAAATCTTTCAGGTAAGGGAGACACAACCACTTTTTATGAAGAAAGTGAAAGAAGATTACAACAGGATCGCCACTGGCTTCTATTTTGAGCCATATCTGATAACGTCTCTAGCCACTGTGTTGCACCATCTCTCAGACCCCAACCAGGTAGTCGTGAAGGACCAACACAAGCCAGCCCTTTGCAGCTTTCTTTCATACCACGACACCATGTCATGCACTGACCATCTCTCCGCTTCTTCCAACCAGTCACAGAGTCGGCAAATAATGCACGACGTGGAATTCTCTGGGACGACATTCGGAGAACATGTCCAAGCCACCGAAGTCGGTGTTTCAAGATGGTGACACCAATTGAATTATCATCTCTGTGCACGAACACACGATGCCGAACCTCTGCATTACTGACATGGTGTTGCCACTGAATGTCAGCAATCCTTCGGAGACAGCGATGATCGAACACAGAAAGTCGTCTAACGTCCTCAACTCGGAGAGGCTAGGTTACACAAGCATAGAGCAAAACTGCTCTCACCAACGCATTGTAGATCCGGCCTTTTACAGACAGACTAACATCATGAAGGCGCCAAAGGTGGCCCAGATTGGCATAAGCCGCTCTGGCTTTCACTATACGTGCATTGATCTCATCACTCACACCCCCACCAGCACTTATGCAGCTACCCAGATACACGAACTTCTCGACTACGTCTATCTGCTCACCATCCAGGGTGAGTACAGGATTGGAATCCTGCCAGTCTTGTAGAAGTACTTTGCACTTCGAAGGTGCAAAGCACATACCATACCTACGGACACTGATTGCCAACTGATTAGGTGCGGATTGCATGCCTTGGGCATTATTGCACAGTAAGACAATATCGTCCGCATACTCAAGGTCGAGAAGTCTTTCTCCAGGCAACAGATCCACACCACCATTACTTACATCCATTTGAGCTGTTTCCAGAATGTCATCGATGGCAAAGTTGAAGAGGAATTGTGAGATTGGGCAACCCTTTCTAACCCCACTGCTCGAATGGAACAATGGAGAGAGGTGGTTATATGCCCTCACTCTGCCTGAGGTGTTTGTATATAGGGCTTTTAGGATGTTAATAAACTTCTCAGGCACACCCTTCTTCAATAGACAATCCCAAAGAACAGCCCTGTCCAACGAATCGAAGGCAGCCCTGATGTCAAGAAACACTACGATTGTTAACCTTTGATAGGTATGATGGTGTTCTAACATTTGGCGGAGGGTGAAGATATGATCAATACATCCTCGACCAGAACGAAACCCAGCCTGCTCCTCGCGAGTCAATCTTTCTCGGGTTTTGAACAACCTACGAAGTATGACGGAAGCCAATAGCTTGGACGCAATCGGAAGTAGACTTATCCCCCGATAGTTGTTACAGGAACGACGTGAACCCTTTTTAAAGATAGGGACAACTATCGACTCATTCCATGACGTTGGTACACTCTCTAGTTCCCAATCCTTTGTAAACAACGTCGTCAATTTCTTAGTCAAAAAGTCACCACCATCTTTAAAAATAGCCGGAGGTAAGTCATCTGGGCCAGGTGATTTGTAGCGCTTCAAGAGTTGGAGTTCCATGCGGACTTCCTCCTCATTTGGTGGATCAGTCGTCACCGGCCATGGAGGGCAGGACAGTCTGACCGATGTTGCCGGAGCAGCAGGCCAGTTGAACTGCCCTTCGAAAAATTCTGTCCATCGTCCAAGACGTCGATGGATGTTAGTGATTGGCATTCCATCATCCTCGCAGATTGTTCCACTCACACCAGACTTCTTGCTGCCAGTGGCTCGGATGAGTTGGAAGAGCTTCCGGTAGTTACCAGATGCAGCTGCTGCTCCCAGCTCATTAGCACGCTCCGACCACCAGGCTTCTCGGTAATTACACAAGCTTTGCCCAATTTCCTTACGTAACATCCTTCGTTTATGGTCAAACTCACGGTCACCCGGAGTAGACCGAGGGGTTTCAATGAGTTGTAAGGAACCTGCAGAAACCCAGTGCTTATAAGCGGGACGTTTCGCAAACCCACAACTGACTGTACACGCCATTTTCATGACGTCACGCAGTTGCAACCAATGCTCATCTATACTTTTCCGTGGAGTGGTAGCTAGCCTAGAGGCTAGCTCGGTTCGATACTTACTTGCAACAGAAGTTGCAATCAGCTTGCTAATATCAATCCGTTGATGGCGGTCACTTCGTTGTCCACTGAAAAGTAAGGCAAGATTGGCACAGATCAAGGCATGGTCAGAGTCCAGATAGGTACTCCAAAAGAAGCGGCAGTCCTGTACACAACCACGCCAGCGGTAGCTGATCGCGATGTGATCAATCTGAGTCCAGGCTTGAGATGCAGAGGGAGGACGCCAGGTGGCACATCGGCGATGACTGTGCCGAAAGTTAGTGCTAGCCAGAAACAGGTTGTGGTCTGTGCAAAGTTGCAGTAGACGGTCCCCGTTATCTGACCTACAACCAACGAGTCCCCATCGGCCACGTAAACGACTCTCTTCTGTGCCTAGACGCCCGACCTGAGCATCCAAGTCTCCGGCTAGTACTACAATATCTGTCGAACGCACTTTCTGGAGAAGAACAGATAACTGGTGGTAAAACTCATCCTTAATTGCATCCGGGCTGCAATCTGTCGGGGCATAGGCGGAGATGACGAAAAGACATCGTTTCTCACGCCGATTTCTTCTCACTTTGATGGAACTTTCTAATCTAACAGCACATAACCGACTGTTAATGGGGATCCAATCGACTAGTGCTGCCTCAGCTCTAGCGCTTAGTGCGACACCAACGCCAGCAAGACCAGACGAAGATGCCACAGGGTCCCCGGATAAGCGCACGTAAAACAAGCTTTTTGAAGTGACAGATGTAGAGCGAATTTGTAGTACTTCACCAGAGTTTTGAATACGGGTCTCGGATAGACAACAGACATCGATATGAAGACTTTCCAAAGACATAGCCAGTCCTATCTGTTGTCCAACCTGCATAAGTATGCGAACGTTGAAGGCAGCCAGTTTGAATGATGCACGTGGTTTCAGAAAAACTGTTTCAGTACTCATATTCGATGGTAACATACAACTTTCAACCGGACAGTGACTCGAGAACGTTTAGATACAGTCGAATTTCCACCAAAGACGAGCCGCTGTATAAGTATAAAAGAGGTTGAATAATGTGGAAAATAATAATAATAATAACAGTAATGACAATAATAGTAATAATAATAATAGTAATAATAATAATAGTATTAATAATGACAATAATTGTAATGATAATAATTTGAATCAATTGGTTGTTTTTCGAAGCGAGAAAAGTAATTTCCATAGGCATAGAGAGTTCATAATCTGTGTGTGGGCTGTGATACTGCCCGGGTGCCCAAACCGAAGCAGGTGGTTTTCTTAGGCGGCCACTCCCCGAGCCTTTGACCTAAAGGTCTAACCCACAAGGCAGTAGAGCATCGTAAGGAGATGCAATCCCATGGTAGCCGGTGACCAACGATTGGTTCATACGCCATTTGTTCCCTCATGATGGTATAGTGAGAAAATATTGTCGTGACATAATCAGAACATAGATGCAATCAAATTAAATGTCACTGATTATTTAGGAATTCGAGAATATCTCCTCTTAAAGAACAGATACCGATTAGAAATCAATACATGGTGAAGTATTAATCCACTTTTTAATTGATACATAGCGGTGGATTATGTTTTTCATACAACTGAAGAACATGGTAGCACACGTGCTGCTTGTAATTAATTATAATTTAAATTTACGTCTAATGTTCGGAAATACGGTCAACAGAGTTTGGGAATAACTATTGTGAGATATAGAAACAAATTATAAAATCAATGTAGATTTTAGACCTACGAAAGAACTATATAATTTTCTAGTTATAATTAATATGATTGAGAACACATAGCATCTAAAGTCTTCAATTAACTCCGCCTGGAATCCCTCCTCGGGCTACTGCCGGTCCCATGCCCGGATAAAGGAGGAGGGTTGGGCATGGGGTTAGCGACCCCATTCCGTAGAAAACTAACTCGCTAAAAAAACCCTAACCAGAAAAAAATATTCAAACTTTTAAAACTCTGTCCTGGGTGTCAGAAGGTCTTCATTTAGAAGAGTGATGACGCCTCATGATGAAAGCCGAGTTCCTTCGGAAGTCACGAGGCCGATGCCCCTTCTGACAACCAGAGCAACCAATTATTCAGGTACATGGAATGCTCGTACAATGTGGGGGACTGGGAGAGTTTTCCAAATTGCAGCAGAAATGAGGAGATACAACATAGAGGGGCTTGGGATCAGTGGAATATGTTGGACGCAAGTTGGACAGCAACGACTAGCTTCAGGGGAGCTTCTGTTATACTCTGGTCATGATGAAGAAAATGCCCCACATACACAAAAAGTTGCATTGATGCTGTCCAAACAAGCACAAAATGCACTTATAGGATGGGAATCTCATGGACCAGGGATCATCAAAGCCTCGTTTAAAACAAAGAAAGAGGGCATTTCAATGAACGTCATCCAATGCTATGCGCCTACCAACGACTACAATGAAGACGCTAAATATCAATCCTACAATAGGCTGCAGTCAATCGTCGAGAAGTGTCCAACAAAGGACTTGACCATTCTGATGGGAGATTTCAATGCCGAGGTTGGAATGGACGACACGGACTGGGAGAAAGGAACGAAAATGGTGAGAGTTTAACAAACCGATGTGCCTTCAATAAACTGGTCATAGGCGGAACTATATTCCCACATAATCGCATTCACAACATCACATGGACTTCACCGGATCACACTACGCAAAACCAAATCGACCATATCTGCATCAACAAGAAGTTGAGCAATCAATACCAGCCGAACAAGAGCAGAAAAAGCCAAGGCACAAGCTGAATACACGGAAATAAACAAACAAGTGAAGAGGAGCATCAGAACCGAAAAACGTAAATATGTGGAAGATTTAGCAACGACGGCGGAAAAGGCTGCAAGAGAAGGAAACATGAGACAATTGTATGACACGACAAAGAAACTCTCTGGAAATCGCCACAAACCAGAACGACCAGTGAAAAGCAAGGAAGGCAAGGTAATCACCAACATTGAAGAGCAACAAAACAGGTGGGTAGAACATTTCAAAGAACTGTTGAATCGACCAGCTCCACTGAACCCACCCAACATCGAAGCAGCACCCACGGACCTCCCAATCAATGTTGGCCGACCAACAATTGAAGAAATCAGTATGGCCATCAGACAAACCACGAGTGGCAAAGCAGCAGGACCAGACAACATTCCAGCAGAGGCACTGAAAGCAGACGTACAAGTAACTGCGACGATACTCCACATTCTCTTCAGCAAGATTTGGGATGAGGAACAAGTAGCAACAGACTGGAAAGGACTTCTGATTAAAATACCGAAGAAAGGCGATCTCAGGAAGTGTAATAACTACAGGGGCATCACTCTTCTCTCAATACCGGGAAAAGTCTTCAACAGGGTATTGTTAAACAGGATGAAGGACTGCGTAGACACCCAACTTCGTGACCAACAGGCAGGATTCCGTAAAGATAGATCCTGTACAGACCAAATCGCAACTCTACGGATCATTGTGGAACAATCAATTGAATGGAATTCATCACTCTACATCAACTTCATTGACTACGAAAAGACAGTTGATAGCGTGGACAGAACAACACTATGAAAACTTCTTCGACACTACGGCGTGCCTCAGAAGATAGTCAATATCATACAGAACTCATATGATGGACTACACTGCAAAATCGTGCATGGAGGACAGTTGACAAAGTCGTTCAAAGTGAAGACCGGTGTTAGGCAAGGTTGCTTACTCTCACCCATTCTCTTTCTCCTGGTGATCGACTGGATCATGAAAACGTCAACGTCTGAAGGGAAGCGCGGGATACAATGGACATCTAAGATGCAGTTGGATGATCTAGACTTCGCAGACGATCTGGCCCTTCTATCCCAAATGCAACAACAGATGCAGGAGAAGACGAACAGTGTGGCAGCAGCCTCAGCAGCAATAGGTCTCAATATACACAAAAGGAAAGCAAGATTCTCCGATACAACACAACACGCACCAATCAAATCACACCTAACGGAGAAGCTTTGGAGGATGTAAAAAGCTTCACATAGGCAGCAACATTGATGTACACAGTGGATCTGATGCAGACGTGGAGGTGTGCATCAGCAAATCAGGAGCAGAATATTTACAAATGAAGAACATCTGAAACTCAAAACAACTGTCAACCAACACCAAGGTCAGGATTTCCAATACAAATGTCAAGACAGTTCTACTGTATGGGCCAAGAACCTGGAGAACTCCGAAAGCCATCATCCAAAAGATACAAGTGTTTATTAATAGCTGTTTACGCAAAATACTTCAGATCCGTTGGCCAGACACTATCAGCAACAACCGACTTTGGGAGGGAACAAACCAGATCTTAGCGGAGGAAGAAATCAGGAAGAAGCGCTGGAAGTGGATAGGACACACATTGAGGAAAGCACCTAACTGCGTCACAAGGCAAGCCCTCACATTGAATCCTCAAGGCCAAAACAAAAGAGGAAGACCAAAGAACACATTATGCCGGGAAATGGAAATAGACATGAGAAAAATGAACAAGAATTGGGTAGAACTAGAAAAGGAGGCCCAACACAGACTGGGTCGGAGAACGCTGGTCAGTGGTCTGTGCTCCATTAGGAGTAACAGGCGTAAGTAAGTAAGTAAAGTCTTCAATAAAATTTTGAAATGTTTTACAGATGGAGTCTTTTTTGCAATTTATATGGGAGTCTCTTTTCCTTACTTATTTTTTTCGATTTTTAATTATCTTTCCTGTTGACAGTATCCCACTCTAATTTCCAACTAAGGTTATGAACTTATATAAGGATATAATAGAGTTGATTTGAAATATCTCTGAGGTATAGGAATAAACTTTACAGTTCTGAATAGTTAACTGAAACAATACATTCATAGACATAGATATTTATGAAAGACTTAGAAATCAAGTTAATTTATCTGTAAATTATTTGTATGTGATATTTTCTTTACTCAACGTGAAATTTAGACCAAATATAATAACACAACTTAATCAATTCCTATTTAGAAGAGAAAAGAACTTTCTCAGTCACATGTACCATATTTACTGAAGTGATGTTACCAATTAAACAAATGAAATTTACAGTAGCAAAGAACATAATTTAAAAATATATATAGCAAAATGGAAATAATGAAGCTATTAATCAATTATTGCTAATTACCAAAATATCTAGACGTGAATCATTATTATTAGCAAATTGTTTTCCAAAATTGCGGACATCATTCGGTTTAGAAAGATCCAATGGATGAATAATTATATGCTAAAATCAAATTATCGATAAAGTATTATTACATAACATAGAAAAGTCAGATAAATAATATTATTTGTACACAATATAACAAAACAACTGAAAACCTGAATAAATAGTTCGGGAGAATGAAAGCTCAAACTTTGTATTTATCCCCGCCAAAAAACATGATCAAACAAATAGTGTGAATCGGTAAAAATATAAAGTTTCAGCTGGCTGTTTTTAGATTAGAATACCTGCCAACTGTAACTGGTGACAGTCGCTTATATCTCCTTAATCTAATGTAACGCATATAACCCGATAAGGATTGAAGTTCATGTAAGAGAACGTCTATACGGTCGAAGTATTTCAGTGACTTATAGCGCTGAGGGTGTAAGATCTCGGATAGAATTCAAAAGAAATAAATTCAATATTGATTTCAAATATTGTTTGTTATGTTAATTCAGTGTGAACTTTTTTTCTTTTCATTTTAATGCATATTTATAGTATCGATTAATTGTTGGTAATTTTGTGTTCATTTGTTCATTGTTCAGTTTGATAATTTTCGTAATTACTAAACACTGGATTTAATCAGTATATAAATAAATGAACCAATGTACAAAATGAATTCTTCCCGCCTCTTTTTTAAATCAATCTTCTTGCAAGAATTTAGTTTAGAGAAGTAGTGATTAGAAGAGAAGGAACTTGTCATATACTAGTTCAAAAGTTAGTTAGGATAATTGATATTACAGCAAACCATATCACATATTTATTATTATGTAGAGTTATTGAAACGTATTTTAAAACATTTGGTTAAAAATGTTGATTTTGGAGATAAAGGGATGGGCTGACATTTATGTAGGCTGCTTACTACAAGAAACTAGAAAAAGGACGTGTATCATCGACATTCACCGGCATCGTGTCAAACGAACTAACATTCAAGCTATCGGTATTGACAAATGCATGACGAAAAAGGTTAACAAAAATGAGAAATGAAGGAGGAAAAATAAATAATCAGTCATCACAAAACAGTATTTAGATAAGGAGTGGATACATTCGTAGTAGTATGATTGAGTTCGAAACATACCAGTTAGTCGCTTTAGCCACTCAAATCAAAATTCGACAAATATTCTTAAGAGCTGAACAACCTTTTAGAGCCATTATTTATTGTTCAAGCAGTATGCATCCTTAGTAATTTTGATGACGAGAGACAGGACGATATGTTTGTAGTCTCAGCTAATTTCCAAAACATCAATTTCAATACGATGAACGAGATTGTTTCTATACTTTTCTTGCCTTCCCGCCAACTGTACGGAAACTTCATTTCGTATAGCAGTTGTATTAATAGAGAATCCGGAAGAATTAATTTGCATTTAGGTTTATTCAAATTACATGTCAATGACTATTAAATACATAATTTTATCAGATTGAACAATCACTACTGAACGAAAAACCGCAGTACATCAACAATGGATTGAAAGTTAACTGAACGAAGTTCATTTTAAATCAATACGCGAATTTTAAAATTGATTTCTTCCGAATGCATTACTTGAGACTTCAGCATCACCAGCGGCATACATTCTTAGTAATTCTCATAAAAAGACACATACATTGAAAAAGATAGTCACAGGAAACGTTTTCATCATACTTCTTGATAAAAAGAATAACTAACCGAATCATTGATTCCAGTTTCAGAGATTATCTGTTGACGTGCCTCTTCAGCACGAGGTTTACTGCGACAAACCATATGGATTTCTGCACCATGTTTCGCTAATTCTTTACAACACACGAGGCCGATCCCTGAATTGGCTCCAGTTATCAAAACACGGTGATTGTCTAAGCGTACGTTTTTCAACTCATTAGGATCAAAATGTGAAGCAGCTGACTCATAGCCTGACCTGAATAAATGAAAAAAGAGTAATGAACTTTAGCAATGATCTGTAGTAAATGATCATCACATACAACACTAGACACAATTAAGACATTAGATCTTGTTAGTAAAGAATACATTCCGAGGTTCTGATGAAAGAGTTGCGCGTAACATCACGTGAGACATGTCTAGTGTGTTTATGAAAGGCCTGGTGTTTATAATGTAGATCATTAATTTAATTTGATTGTTGTGTGACCCTGAAGTCAGATACGAAAATTCTGGAAAAATTGTTTAGGCCGCCTTAAAATTCAGCCTTCCTTTCTATTGAGTGGTATATGACTCAGCAATAAATAAAGTTTTACAGCTACTCGACTTTTCCACAGCTGGAAATATCTTTTTTGAATAATCATTCGGCCATTTTTAATATTGACTTGATGGTTATTGAATACGAAGTGCACAAGTTATATAGAATTATTAGGTCACATTGGAAACGGCAAAAATCCAAAGTTAGAGGAATGGCAAACCGTTCAAAACAGACTAAGTTTCAAATAGCAGCGAAAACATTCTGAAATTAACGTAAAAAAATATGCACAACACCAAACAAGCCATAAAACAGTTTGAAATATTGAGTAATTATTAAGAGTGCAACGTAACAGGCAAGGAGAAGTAATGTCGAGATGAAGCTAAAAATAGAAACGCATTTGACAGTTAGCTAGTTGTATTTTTAGATATGAGTGCAACAAAGACTAAAAGCTAATGTTTGGAACGTGAAAGGATATCATGAATACAGCCTTTTCGAACTAACAAAATTAACGCTTATATACATGGTCAAACACATACTCATCAGGATTCTAACTGCATTCGTAATTTGATTTAATACTACTTTAATAACGTATCAAGCAAACCGTTACATAGTGATGAAGTTAGCTCTTAATAGTTTTGCTTTGCAAGGTAGTTTTAATCCTAGAACGGTAACAGTTTCGAACTCCACTATTTCTAATTCGATAGTATTCCTATCCACTAGACAAATAGTATGACCGAGCTGAGTACATACTCATGCATAAGTTAAATAAGACAAATTATTTCTGCATTACACGTATGTGGAACAATATGAAGCTCAAATAAATCTGGATTTTGATACAGCTGAGAAATTAAAATTGTTATATCCCGACGAGAATTATGAATGGTACCTTCTGTGAACTATTTATGGACTAATACGATATATATCTTTTTATTGTATAATTAAGTAACTGAACTATGAATATTCAGGTTCATCCTATTGCAAGCTTTATTTTGATCCACGGAATATTACTATGCGATTTGCCATTCTCGAGTTATACCCAATCTATTAATTACAGTCTCCCACATTCACAGTAACTTTTGGCTAGATTTTTACAAATGTTATTTTGAATAAGAAAAGGAGAATTCAGAGAAGAAAATTTTCTTTTCGACGAAATCATTTACTTAAGCTGTACATTCGTATATATAGTTATATGGAAAATGTATGTCCATAGAAAGATAGAAAGGATTGTATCACAAAAAATGGATTCGACAATAAATAACAAATAAGGTTAACGTACTAATCAAGGGGTAAGGAAGAACAAAATTCAAGGGTCAGATAATAGTCCAATTGACAGATTGACAGATATGAAGAAAAACGAACAAAACAACAAAGGTCATAATAATAAACTGAATGATTTCGTCGAAAAGAAAATTTTCTTCGCTGAATTCTCCTTTTCTTATTCAATGATACTATGGGTTATTTTAATTATCTGAAAAGTTGCAAGAAATGTTATTTTCTATTTTATGGTACGGTGTGGTCTGTTTGGTGTGTATATCAACCAAACCCTGTATGTTTGAAACATATGATTCATATAGCGGAGGCTGAGATTAGTGTTCTGGACTCAGCAGGTAGGGTTAGTCAGGAAGAAGGACGGATAAGGACCCTAGACGGTTCGTAAGTGGTTATGTGTCATTGGTGCGGTCGATAAGCCACTGCTCTCCAATTGGTGATATCATTACGTTATATATTAATAGGGCAAAAGGCGACAAAATATGACAAAAATATCAGACCCATATATAAAAACCGATATGTATGCCACATTATAATCATTTGCATACTCAAGAAATCGTATGAAGTTTTAAATAAAATTACCTACTTTGTGTATTCACGCATCCCTTTTGAAAACCAGGCTAGATTACGAAATGCAGACATGATCCTTAAGTTAAACGAAAAGATGAGTTAAAAATAATAGCAAATGAAGAGTGTTAACTGGAATTATTTGATGATTATTCAAATAACTGATCAAAGAGATAGTTGGTAAGTGAAAATGTTGAAAGTCAAGCGACAAAATAGAAATACGTAATGAGCAATCAAATGTAACCCAGAATCAGGCAAATTTGTTTGAGACTGAATTCGCTAAAACACTGGCAGTGTAAGCTTTTTTTTGTATAGCTACTAATTGGCAGATCAATGAAATTGGAAGTATTTTGATTGAGCAGGATAAACATTTTTAAGTAACGTAAGCGAATTCCTGTGGTTACTCCTGAAATTGCATAAGAGACTGAAATGTGCTGTGGCATATGTTTCTTTTGATATATTTATTGGAGAGAGAGTAAAATGAAAACCAAATCGGGCAAATACATATTGGTCTCTAAAATGTTAAACTTCACACAATAGTGAATCAGTTTAAGGTTTGACACATCGTAACAGTTAGGGAGAAAATGACTAAACACGCTCTGTTAAGATACTCTTAATGTAGATCTTATAACCATGATGTAAGACACAGAAATCAAGCGAAGCAAAGCCCATCCTTGATATCGAATGATACATAAAATGTCAGAATCATAAGCAGAATAGGAAGACAAAATAGAAATGAACTCTCTACTTAGCCGAAGTAAACAATTTGGAGAAGCATGTCCAGCTTTACAAAAAATTGATATGGAGGTGCCAGACACTTTTAAAAAATCTACGGATAAGCATCCAAAGCCTTCAAGAGACCTTATCTCTTGGCAGTATTTCCTCATAATAGGACCATATTTTCTGCAAATACTATATAAATCACATTGTCCCTTGATAAACTATTTATCTTAACAGCATCATAGATAAATACAGTTAATCACACCAGTATATTAATGAAAAATCTTATCACATTTGGTTACAAAAAAAGGATTTTCTGATGGTAGATTTTACTAAGTAGATTAACTTTTAGTGAATGTCAATAAGGAGTCATTGTATTAGAACAAATCAAGAAGTTCACAAGAAAGAAATTTAACTTCATTCATCACTCAAAATGTACTGACAGAGGTAACAACGTGAAGGATACGCGATAGAACTTACATTGATGACGTGAAGGATAACAATCCAAATCCCAATATGCCACTGATAGAGATTATCAACCAGTTTATCATTAAATGGGATAAAGATAACTATGACATCGAGAAGCGTCGTTCTAAAATTGATATGGAAATTTCAACAGGATTGGCACTGTGGTGAAAATGATAACAAATCACCTTATTTCAAGTTGAACACAAACAATATTTACACTACTCGGTAATAATAAGTAGCATGAAAAACATCTTATGAAACGGCTGAACACAGAAGGAAGTTATCTAGTTTGTAGTCTGTTTTCTAATTATAAAACAAGCTTTGTTACATCCCAATTCAGATATAATCAAAGTACATCAATTAAGTGTCGTAGATGATGCAACAAAAGTCCTGATTTTAAAAAACTTAGGAGGTCATAACGAGAATTTCCCAATATAATTTGCTGAAAATAACTCCAGCCCGACAAAGTGTATAATAGTAAAACCCAAGACCTAGTGAAAGAAAAAGAATGAATGATCCCGAGACCTATAATCCAGCGTCTCTAAACGCTGATCTAGGATAATGCGCCTATTCTAGCAAAATAGACTGCACCTACCTCCACAGCTCAGTTCAACTGTCAATAATTTCGTGGGTTGATGCCATGTTTTCGTTTGGCCATACCCTAACACATTCTCCTATCTACTCAATCAATAACAAATAACTACCTCGTAAACTGACTCGTCATTCTTACCTAGAACCATGTGTCTAACCTCAACATTGCATACTCGGTTGTCTCACCACAAGCGGACAATGATCTCAGGGAATCTATGATAAAACGCTAGTAACCTACGGAAAGAGTATTGTACTTTAAGTGACTATTAAAAGAAATTACCGACTCAACTCGAAATATATTCGCACCAGTTAAGACAAACGTATGACTCCATACTAAAAGTGCAGTCAAACACACATTATAGCCAGGCAAACTTCAAACACAAACTATAAGTAATTTGTAGAGAAAGACGACTGTTCCAAAAAATGTTTTGTTAAAGAATACACAATGAATATGTTCAAATAAATTATTAAAAATACATGTACATTTCTTGTGTACAAATATACATATATTTCTTTTCATTATTAAAAAATATATAAATATAACCAGGAAAAGAAGAAGCAATGTCTATACATGCAATTTTTTTAAAAATAGAACTTTTATTTCAGACAATTAATGTTTTAAAGATAAAGCGTGTTGTCCATTAATTGTCTGTTTGATAGGTCTCAGCTGACGTAATACATTAGCCAATACTGTTTGTGCATCTTCATTTTTACCAACCAATTTACGTAGACGAATTTTCTTTAATAATTCTCTAACTGTTATAGGCTTTCTCATTAAGTATTTACGTACAGTATTTACTAATTCATTGTCAGTTGAAATTGTTGATGTACCAGATGGTGTGTCATTTCGCAATTTTTTTGCAGCGGGTGAATCTGCTGAGGTGTCTGAATTAACAGATGCAGATAAATCAGTAGGTAAACGTTTTAAATTTGAATTATTGCCACAGCTTACTGGTTGGTTGTCAATTGGACTGCTACCACTATTAATTCCAGATGAAAGTGAAGGTGCATGAATGGTTTCTGAGAGTTTTTGCAACACTTCAGCTTTTTTAGCATTTTTCTGTATTGATTTAAGCCGGTTGTCAAGGTCGGAATCAGATGAAGAATATGTAGAAGAATCATCAGCCGATGAAGAACTCGAACTTGATGATGATCCACTGTCATTGTCGTTGTCTTGACGTTTTTTATGACTACGATGAGATTTTGCAGTGGCCTCTAATCTATCATCTGATTTATGAATGGATATTGAATGTTTTGTACCCTTTTGGAAATCATTTCTTTGAGGTTTTGTCATATCATCTATTTCACTACGTCTCTTAGAAAAGATATTATCCTCATCATCAACAGGTGGATTTTCCTCTACGTCTTGCATGTCATCTTCAGACTTTTCCTCTTCTTCACTACCTGTTAGAGGGAAAGTAAAAACGAAAAATCAATATTAGAAAAATCCCAATACAAGAAAAAAGCACTTTCAATATATATTACATAATAATAAAGCAAGGGCTGAAAATTGCATAGAATGGATAGGATGGTTTGAACAAACAATTACATTGAGACTTGGAGTAAACTACAATACTGTAGGCTTTCACTTAACTTACTAACTGCTGATATATCTTTAGCTGTTCATAAGTTACAATTGATAAAACAAAATAAATAGATACGATAGGTTTCTTTCATTGATACAACTGATTAATTGTATACGAGTTACTCAGTATTATACCACAAATAACCTAGTTTCGTATAAACTGATGTTTTATTTGTGGTGCGTGGCGGTCTTCTAGCTGAGGCATATAATGATGTAAGTTTTTAAGTCTATTTATTTATTTAAACACATAAACATTGATACAAGGAGGCATTAAACAGATATGCGTCACATAAATCATTCGATTTGTGTGAGGGCTGTGATACTGCCCGTGTGCCCAGATCGAAGCAGGTGGTATTCTTAGGGAGCCACACCCTGAGCCTTTGACTTAAAGGTCTGATCCACAAGGCAGTGGAGCATCGTGAAGAGACGCAGTCCCATGGTAGCCGGTGACCAACGATTGGTTCATACGCCATTTGTTCCCACAGGATACTAGAACCCATGTGGATCATTGGTTTGGAATCAGGGTTTCCCAACTCCTCTATGTGGACTCTGTGTGTATATCAACCCGGTTATAGCGTCAGACATTCGCTTATCGTCCTTTCAGTTTCGTAAACAACACCCTCGCCACGAGAAGGCAGTGAGTAGGACTTCCCGGGCAAAGGCTGTATACGCGTGGCCGTGTGAGAGCATTTCGAGAGGGATGACGGGCCCAACCCATTCTCGGCCATACCAGGGGATTTGGGGGCTGCCAGGGAACTCCTAATCACTGCCTTCTTGTGGTGGGTATGTTGTTTACAAAACTGAAAGGACGATAAGCGAATGTCTGACGCTTTAACCGGGTTGATGGACACGCAGAGTTCATATAGAGGAGTTGGGAAACCCTAATTCCAAACCAATGATCCACATGGGTTCTAGTATCCTGACTAAAAGCAACAAACCCAAGGTCCGAAGGCGAAGTCGAACTGCTAACTGTACAGAGGTGTGACAGCAGTAAGGTGTTTCCTTCAGACAACCAGCATGACAGCGATGCTGCCTTCCCATAAGGAGGGGTGGGGTTAGAAAATTTTGACCCTAAAAATGTCACACCTCACCTTACCTCACGGATTATCGTCTCCGGCGGTAAGGCCCTTTGAAGAACGGAGCTAACACATTAAAAACCTTCCACGAAAAGGTCGTGCGCGACCGGCCTCAAGCAGTTGTCCCTTGGGCTCTGCGGTCACGCTCCCAGGTCGTCAAGACCAACACTAATCCAATTTCCTTTTCAGCTTCTTCAAGAAATACCCTTCCACGGTGATAGCAACCGATGGTTAGAAACCCTGAATGACATGGCTCAAAATCGTTTGCAATGGCGCAGGTGCATCCACTCTTTGTGTTCTCCCAAATTCTAATCTTCTGAATTCTTCATGTGCCTTTCTTTTTTCGCTTTCCAAATATATTTCACTGGATTATACTCTTTAAATAACACCTTCAAACCCTAATCTTCACGATTACTGAATGTACTATTGCTACCTCTATCACTACGGGATTTGAATCGACAACTGCATCTGTGTGCTAAGGTGGCGTGGCAACTCGAACTGATGTACGTACGTACGAAGTTCTACGTTGTTACTAACTGACTGACTTCCACGGTGTGGGCAGCCGGGAAGTGATATCAGCCCTCATACCCGTAACAGCACACGAGACCAAGTTGGTCACATTCAAATCCTTCCTACACCCCCTAATACCTCTCTTATCTCCATGACTAACCCTCCTCACGTCTCTTTATCATCTCGCACCGCTAGGGCAAACGATTCAAGTACGCGGAACGCTATTCCTGGTCTCCTGAAACCACGCTCTAAACTACACGTAGGAGCTTTTAACGTCCGAACACTGTGCCAAATAGGACAACAGGCTTCCCTAGCTAGGACTTTAGAATCCCGCGCCATCGATGTGTGCTGAGTCTCCGAAACGCGCATACAGGATCCGAGTAGCTTCATTCAGCTGACCTCACCATGCCAAAATAAAGAACCGACTCGATTCACACTTCGTGTATCTGGAAGCCCTGATTCTGCTTCCCGTGGCCTCGCCGGCGTAGGTATAGCATTGAGTCCTAGGGCAGAAATAGCTCTCTTAGAGTGGTTCCCAATAGACAGTCGTTTGTGCGCTATCCGACTAAACGGAACGGTAAGGATCCGAAAAGATAGGGACACTCGTCGTTGCCTCTTCGTCGTCTCTGCCTATTCTCCCACTGACTGCAGCGCAGATGATGTAAAAGATGAGTTTTACAGAAAGCTCTCCGACCTCCTCCTAAAAGCTAGGCGCTCGGATGTAGTAATAGTGGCCGGTGACATTAATGCTCAAGTAGGTAAACTAAGCGATAGGGAAAGACACCTGGGTGGATCTTATAGCATCGTGGCTCAAAGAACAGATAACGGCGACCGTCTGTTGCAGCTATGCTCAGATAACCGCCTGTTCCTTGCAAATACTAACTTTAAGCATAAGGAAAAACATCTTTTAACATAGCGACCCCCTAATTCGTCCCAACGTTGGAACCAAATAGATCACATCGCTATCAGCCACCAATGGAGGGGCTCGATAGAAGACTGTCGCTCATTCTGGAGCACATGCTTAGATTCAGATCATGCTCTAGTACGAGCGCGTATCTGTCTGCGTCTTATTGGACGTAGGAAAGACGCTGCAAGGAAACCTCTTAGGGGCCTACTTAATGATAGCCAAGCTAAGAGTATATTTCAGGAACAACTAGGAAAACAGTTAGGCAGCCATATAGGTGATGCCCACCCCGAGGCAGCATGGAATGATATCCGAAAAGCTGTGGAAACAGCAGTGATATCTGCTAGTAAGGTAAACCACAAGGTTAGGGAGAAACACTGGATCTCAGCAACATCTATCGCACTGATAGATGCTCGGAAACTCATTCCATCTGGCTCTAAACATAATGAAGAGAGGAGT